CTTCCTGGGCCCTTCGGAGAACTGAGTGAAGGAACCGGGTACTGTTGGGCAAGGGGCACTGATTGAATTCCTGTGCAAGTCCCTCCAAATCATCTTGGTGGGTTTCCCAAACAGCGCCAGGTTCCACTCGTAGCGTCGGTGTTTTAGTGGAAAAGTGTTGTTTTTCTGCGCCGGCTTGGGCCTGACAAGCCTTTTGTAGCCCGGAGGTTGACACCCAGTGAAACGGTGTCCTTTCACAGGTGCATTTTGTTTGGATGTTAGGACTTTAACTTTTTGCCAACTAATGGGTTTTCCATGAAATCATTAAAAGTTAAACTTTTCGCAGGGGTGCAGAAAGCAAACGAGCTTTTGTGAGTCTTCCAAAGGGCCCTGTCTGATGGAAAGGATTTTTTTGTTTTCTCGATGTATTTCTTGTTGCTTTTTGAAGCCCCGATGAAATAGGGTGGCTTCAGAAATGGACCCATGAGGACCCTCTTCTCCTCCCCCAACTTACATCACAGATGCAGCCTGTTGCTCGCATTTCTGCTTGTGCGGACAGAATGCTTTGGCTTACACTTCGCCGAACACATGCGAAATCTGCTGCGTCTCATGTGAGCTATTTGGTTGGATCTTTGGATTTGAGCTTTTAGGTTAGTGGGATTTTCCTCATTCGAACCATACAAAGTTAAGTATTAACTTTTTCTACAAGGGGGTCGTTACAGCAGCCCGGATTTGGGCCAAGCGGTGAAATTTCGTGCCGAGCAACCTTGACAACAAATTTTGGCCAGCCGGGTGGCTGGGCCAGATTTTTGGCCGAAGAGGCAACCCATTTTTGCCACCTTGGGCCAGTTGGTTTTTCACCTGGGCCAACCCCATGTTTTCGTCCCGGATCTAACCTTTCAACATGTCCGATTCTATTTTTTGCCAAGGTGCCAAAAGTGGTGATCTGTTTTAGTTCAGCCATTTGGATCGTTTAATTTTATTTCTGGGTCCTTTCATTTCTGGCTCCCAAAAACCCGAAAACCAGCGCGCTGCTTTCTCACCTGTGGGCCCATGAAAAGCGCCTCCGCTCGGCTCGCGCCGCGCGCCTCCAGGCGGAGCGCACGCCGATCTATGGGCACCTGCCGCCCCACTGCTGCCGCACCTTCGGCGCCGCCGGGGGGCCCCAGAGACACGTCCAGACCTCCGCGTCGACCGGTTTTCGTTCGGGAGACAAAAGCGTCCGGCGTCGGAGGGTGCAACCATAGGTGTCCTTTCTAGGTGAATTGAGCCCAAAATAGATGGCACTATTCAATGGCTAAATTAGTTTGGGGTTTAGCTTAATTTGGGCATGGGTCAACTTAATTTGGGCATGGGTCAAAACCCAAATCGTACCCCCCAGTGAACATCCCAATCCCCACTAAAATAAAGCCTCCCATTGGTAGCCATTTAGCCCAAAATAGATGGCACTGGTTTAGATGGGGTTTCTTCCATTGACCAGGGCCATCCATTTTTCAAACAGGCCACCTATGGTTGCGCCAGTTTTAGTCGCGAATGGGACCAGCCTGAGACCAATCGTAGCTCCAGACGATTAGTCCCAGGCTAGTTCCAGACGGTTGCGGTGTTTTTCAGGGTTTTGTTTCGGTATTTTAGAGGTGAATTGGTATTTGCTTCTTCCCGGATCTTCCAGATCATGGCAATTTATCGTAACACCCGGAGACAACCAGTTTTCTGAAGCGTGTTTCCGGAAGCCGTGGTTGAACATTTGTGTTTGTTATAGTTAGGTTGGGGAATCGAAGCAGAAACCTTGGTTTTCTCGCAACCATCCACATTGTTGCATGTTGCTTGGATGTTAGGACTTTAAAGCTTTTTGCCAACTAGTGGGTTTTCCATAAAGCCACTAAAAGTTCAACTTTTAGCAGGGGAGCAGAAGGCAACCGAGCACAGTGGTGTATGATCATGTATGATCTGTTTCAGTCAGAGGCACAGCTCCTTCTGGCAGATAAACTGCCTAGATAGCCAAGTTGCGATCGCTTTTTTCAGTTCCTGTTGCGATCAGTTTTTGGGGTTGTCCGTGGATGGACCAAAAGCGATCGCAACTGGCGATTTTCGGTGGGCAAAAGCTTCGAATAGCTTCCTATCTCGAGGTCCTTTGGGCAAGCGGGAGACTCTTGGAGACTCTTGGAGTTTCTCCCGTGCCCTTTCTCACGGTTCCCCTACAATAGACAAAAAATAAAAATAAACAACAATCGGGTACCCTTATTCTAACCTCTCCAATCTGGAGGACCTAGCTAAAGGTCATATTTTTTCACATAAACCAAGGGGTAAAAGTTGCGAAAGGGATTTGGTGTTGAAACTCCCTTCGAGTTTGCATTATGCTCGACTTTGAGTTGCCAAACTTTAGACTTGGTTTGGCTTCAATGCCCAATTTGTTGGTTTGCAATGGCTAGAAAGAATCACTGTATCCCCAAACGGATGTACCTTTTTGGAAACCGGGCGCACTCCTTGGACAACCGATACGGTTTCAGTCCCATGCCCGACGATGTCACCAGTCACCACTTGCATGGAACAACAGCATGGGAGGGGGGAGCAAGCCACAAAATACGGGTTTGGCTTTTTGATGTACCACCGAAATGGTTTCCGCTTGGTTTCCCTTGAACCACCCATAGGGGAATTACCCTCTCAACAGACACCCCCACCTGGTCCTTCATTCGCTACATAAATTTGTGTCCCTTGGATGTTTCGTAGCAGAAATTTGGTCCTCGGGCATTTTTTTTGGCGGAGAAGGGGCGCAGATTTGGATTCGGGAGAGCCGTGGGAGCCGATCAAAGGTTTGGAGGACAGTTCTCCGACGTCCAGCAGGAAAAGCAAGAGTCGATGGACGCGCATACGAAGAGCTCTACCAATTGCCGGAAGCTATCTTACACTTGGGTGGAGTTATGCAAAGAGTCCAGAGAGAAGGTGCGTTCCCCTCAGCAGCGATGCAGGTGCGTACCGTCCTCCCGAAGCAGGATCAGCCGCAAAGCATGGCCAAAACGAGACCAACAACCATTCTCGGATGTTTGAACCGCTTGTGGAGCCGATTCATCACTGCGTGGGTGGTTCCGATATGGTCACGAGACTTCCCTGACGGAATGACATGCGGACTTCAGCACGTTTGGCTTTTGCGGCGGCTTCTCTCTTCTCATATAAGATGTTGCGTGGAAACGTGGAAACATACCCGCAAAACGGGCGCAAATACCCGCAAAACAAGCGCAAACACCCGTACAGCGGGCGCAAATACCCACAAAACGAGCGCAAACCCAAATAATGTAACAATTGGTATTTGCAAGAAGCCCGTGTTCATGAAACAAGTGTTTTTCGGGAGCACTTTTTGGATTATTGGGCAAACATAGAGCAGTTGTTTTTCGTGACACAAATTTATGCAACAATGGAAGGTCCAGGCATATATGTTTGTGGTCCAGTGGTCCCAGAAGGAATCCCAACACGTCCGGGTCCCAAACACCCACTTGTCTTTTCAGGAGGGAAATCAGGGCATGAAGATGGCTGGTTTCTTTTGATGTTCCTTCCAAACAACACATGGCTACCATCAAACAAGACACATCCAAACAAGCGCTGAATGACTGAAGTCTTGTTGGGGGCTGGTTTGAGTGAAATCAGTGCCTTTTTTTTTGGGGGGGGGGGGTGGTGGAGGGCTGGGGATCCTGCTATGATAGAGTCGCGCCTCGCAGGACCCCTACCAGATTCAGTGAGCCGCTCCAATTTCGCGGCTTCCGGCAACAGTTGCAAGTCCCTTTTGGGACGAAGGCATCGCCATCGGGGGAAGTGGCAGGTTCCGCTCGAACCCCCCAGCTCTGCGAACTCCACCCCCCTGAAAGCTCGATCCTTTTGCTTGGTATCCCACTAAATCTGTTTTGGCCCTCGAACAACATATATGTTTACGTTTTAGCACCCCATGAAAACTCCTTTTGCTTGGTATCCCACTAATTACAACTGTTTTTGGCCCTCCAAAGACATGGTTGCATTGTAGCAAGGTCGGTGGTTGCAACTCGACTGGTTTCTTTCTGGCTGGGCATGGTGCATGCGATTCCAAGTGCTGTTCCCCGCTCAGTAATTGCTGAGACATGTCCGAAGTGGATCCCGAATGGGATGCCGTCGAATCGGATTCGAGCCGAAAAGTCGAAGCCACCGGGAGTTCTTGCGCGAGACGGAGTCCGTAAAGGCTTTCAGTCAAAATCAACCACCAACAGAACCTGGCTTTGTATGCCTGTTGTATGCCGTTTGTTGTGTGTGTGTGTGTGGGCTTCTCCTTGGAATTCAGCCGCCTTCTCTGCCATGCGGCCATGTGGCAAATGCGACAGCTGTGGCTGGTCAACTGAGGCACATTCGCCAAGCCGTGAGTGAAGAAGCTTAGGAGGAGTCCCAACCACAACTAGGCGCGCCGCCCTTGCCATTCTCTGCATGGTTCTAGTGTGACCTGTACTACCTGCGCCAAAGACCCTTATGAAAGGAGTTAATTGAAGGCTTCTGCTAACGAAGCCTCGCGAAGGCTAGCGCGCAGGGCGCGAAAGCCCCCCAAAATCTGATGGCGAAAGCGGTTGAAGAAGAGCCCGCCGCGAAAGAGTCACCAAAGTGCATGTTTGCAGTTTCTGGTCTTTGTGTTTGTACGCGTGTGTTGGGAGTTGAGGTAAATGCAAACGGCGCCCGCCGCGAAAGCTCCGCGAAAGTGACCATTACAAAACACATGCCCGCGAAAGTGAAACGTTTGGCCGCCAAAGCATCGCGAAAGGTTCCGGGAAATCGGCTTGTTTGTAGAGGGGTTTATATTACACCGCTCAAATTCAACACAGGGGAATTGCGTTCTGTGCGGGATGTGGCCCATGGACCGAGTGAGTGAGCGAGCGAGCGAGCGAGTGAGTGAGAGACAAGAGAGATAAGAGGGAAAATCGAGATAAGAGAGATAAGAGAGAGGGCAGGGAAGACTTCCCTAACAAAGGGAGCGAGAGAGAGCGAGCGAGCGACAGAGCAAGCTGGCGCGCTGCAGCTGTTCTGGTTCAGAACGTCTTTGTCCGTTGCGCCGTGGCCGCGACCCCAGCGTTTGTCACGTGCATAGCCGGACGTGCCCATTTGTCCATTTGGGTGTGGGTCAAAATTAAACCACCAGGAATTGGACCACAGGTTTTAGTCCTTGGTTCCATTTACCAGGGTAACCCATTTTGGGTACCCATGTTTGACCCGCAGCCATTTGAGCCACTTGCTCAAAACCTGGGTAGATCAACGATAGTAAGGGACAATCCCCTTGCATCCCCTTGCCATAAATAGCTGCGGATATCTGCCTTCTTATTTGTTTACATGGTTCTGGGTAGAACCTTTGAACCCGGGTTTTGATTGTGACTCATTTTTTGTGCGCAGGTGAAAGCCGAGTACCATATATGGTTTGTCTTTTTGTGGGGAAACCCCTTTTTGGTTGGTTTTAAGCGGCAGCATAAAGGAACATCGTAAAGCCATTTGGGGGTCCGATTCCTAAACAAAAACGACGAGCCGCTCATATGGCCATGGGTCAAAAGCCCGTACCCCCAGTGAACATCCCAATCCCCGGTTCTAAAATGGGTGGTGAATTCACCTACCCCAAAACCCCCCTTGAAAGATACTCCAGAAGTGCGGGGGATGGTATCATGCCGTTCTCCGGGGAGTTTCTATCAAACCGGGCGCATAGGGGTTTTAGCACACAAGCGTGACCCTTGAAGCAAAGCGTGGCAGTCCCGCGGGCTCACAACCCGTAGCTCGGCGATGGATCAACTGGGCTTGGTGATGGTGACCCACATCGCGGGATACCACTCATGCCGCCGAGTTGGTTCAGCTTTGTCGCATTTTGCCAAGGGATGTTAGGACTTTAACGTTTTGCCAACTGATGGGTTGTCCGAATTAAGCCACTAAAAGTTATTCACTTTTAACAGGGGAGCAGATTTCGCAACCGAGTTCAGCTTTGGCGGGTTCCCTCAAAATCGACCAGCCCACAAAACCCTAGGAGCCCCTTGGACCTCATTGTATGAGGCCTTTGGGAAGGCCCTCTTTAGGGTCCTCTCCTGGGTTTTTTGGGCGAGTCCCTTCCTGACAATTTTATGTTTGGTTGAATGTGTTTTTGCCGTGGATACTGGTTGCAACAAGCCACATAATAGTTCCAGTGGTTTTATGACCACTTTGATCGGTCTGAGGTGGCTCATAGGGGTCTCTCGCCAGCCAGCCCAGCAAGCACGAAAGGGGTGATGTTGACCCCAGATTTAAGTAGAACTCCTGGCCTGGTTGATTAATCGGGGAGTGTCCCCTTTTACTGGCGAATCACCACTTTTGAAGTGAACACGCCCGTACTGTAATAGTGGGACTGGTTTATTAATCCTGGGTCAACATTAGCCTCCTAGCACGTTGGAAAGAAGAAGTCTTCCAAACAAGGTCTCTGCACTACCATGGGTGGCAAGCCTGGAATACGACTTAGAGACAAGCGCCGGTTTCCGGGCGAGCCGGTGGAGGTCTCGAGCCGCTGGATTTGCAGCGAGGGGTCACCAAGCCCAGTGATCACAGGACTCAAACCAAACTAAACTCCACGCTCGAAACCTCCAAGACTCTAAAAGCACCAAAACTCAGCTCGGATTCCTAGTTCCTGACTGAGTGGGAGCTTCTGGAAATGCCGAGTTCTGAGCTTGTTCGGCTTTTAAAGCCCATGAGTCAAATGCCCGTGGTCGGGGGAGAGCAAGAAGGCAACCTGAAGATACCCTTTGTCAGACCAGCCCTTTTCTGAGATTGGTTTGTTTGATCAACGAATCCCATTGAAGACATGTTCCAAAGGCACATAGAGGATTGGCCGGAAACCTGTTTCGGCCAGCTTCCCAAAAGGATCAAAAGGCAAATTCATGGTTCTTGGCTCATGTTGTTTCCTTCTTTACTTCGTTTCTGTACCTATTCTCTCTTGGGGCTCCACAAATGCAACGTCTCATACTCTGATTTAGCCACTACAACCTGAGGCCGGAACTGGTGAGGACATCCAAGGACCAGCAAGGCAAGGCTCCAAGAGCCTGAACAGTAACCTTTGTCTCCCTTTGTGGCTCCGAGTCAGTCCTTTTACCAGGACGTAAGTTCGCAGTTCGCTGCGAGGCTCTATGGACGGCCTTGGACATCCCCAGGCGCGTCGCTTCGTCGCTTCGTCGCTCGTGGCCGGCAGGGCGTCGGCCGTCTTAGACCGTCGGTCGGGTGTTCGATTCGGCCAAGTTAGTAAGTCTAGGTACCCCAGTAGCCCCTTTCACCCTTTTTTGGGGGAGGGTTCCACTACTAAAATAGACTGCAGAAAAAAGTTGGTACCCTTATTCTAACCTCTCTATTGCAGGATCTATGCCTAGGTCAGAACCGACTTCCCAGTCCCCGTGCAGTGGAGGTTCACCTTGCCGGGTGAAAAGCCCCAAGTGGCTCTCACCTTGGCGAATCGAAGAAGAAAGAAGATCCAAACGGAGCCCCTCGGCCTCGGCCCGTTTTGAGGCAACGTGCAACTTTTGAACCCCGTGGATTCATACCCCTGGTGGAGAAAAGCCCCAAAGCCCCGGAAGTTCTGTTTAGTTGCTCCCCACCCATCCGGTTCCTCTTTTTTTTATAAGGATGGTTGAGTGGTAGTTTCCACCAAAGCACCAGAAACGTGGCACCCTCAACAAGACAGTTGTCTAGGTCTCAAGAGGTGATCGATCACCTTGTATTACCAGGTCCTTTGGGCAAGTCAGCAAACCGACCCAAAAAGCAGCCCGTTTTCCCATTTGGGTGCACCATTTTTGAGCCACTGCCATTTCCCCTTCGCATGTCAGGGCGGCAGTTTCTGAGGCTCTTCAAGTTTTTGTTTTGATGTGCTTCCTTGCTTGTTTTTTTTCTTGGGGGGGGGGTTCAACCCCATTTTGGATGGGTGTGAAGGCACTTTCCACAGGAAACCAACCATAAGGGTCCCCTAGTTTAAGACATACCCATAGTAGAGGTTGATATCATCTCCACCGGCTTCAGGGGCAATCTTCACTGTTGCTGGCATGCTTTAGGGTTTTTTGGTGGCTTTTGATTATTTGTTTTTGGCATTTAGGTTTTATTTTATTTTTTTTTGTGTGTGTTTTTTGTTTTTGTTTTTTTGCTCTGTTCATTTTAGTGGGGGGTGGGGGGCTGCAAAAGGGAAAGTTTTTTGCCACCATACCAAGGATGGGGCAAGTCATGTAACAGCTTCCAGGCCGTGGGTTGCGGCTCAGGGTTTGAGGGTCCGTGTTTCATGCCCACCCTCTTGAGATGTTCAGAGGTTCTGGGGCTGGGTGATGGTTGCCAAGGCTTCATGCCCTTGCAAGTGGGATGAGAGAAATCGTGGGAGAAATCGTGACCATGGATGTTGAACTGTAGTAACCAGAAGGAGACGGATCATGTGTTTTTTTTTTCCAGACCCCGATTTTTAACACTCATGTTGACTTATTTGTTTCACTGCTTCGCTGGGTCGTCACTCGTGCTTGCCTTGCTTCGAATTCGACACTCGATTACTTCCTTTCTGGGTGCTCCGAGTCTTGGAAAGATCATGAAACAGAAGAGAGCGCCCCAAATCCGCTTGCTTTTGGCTCTATGGTTGCAGCAAGGTTCATAAGCCGCCTTACAAGTTCCCCAGTTCAACCAGGTAGAATTTCAGCTGCAATGGCCCCATTGGCGCATTTGGCGCGCTTTTGAGCCGGGTCCCAGAAGAAACCCATTGACCCCCATGGACCTCCGATGGCCCTTGGGTTGCAAGACCCTTGACTTCGCCAGAATCTGAGATGAAGTAAGCGTTCGCCATACTTTTAATTTCCGATCGACTTCACCAGAATGTGAGATCGAGTCTCATGCTCGCCGTTAAGAAAAAAAAATAATTAAAAAAAAAAAAAAAAAAAAAAAAAAAAAACGATCGATGACACCGGGTTCGGTTGCTGTCGAGTCGAATCCCCCCCCCCCCCGTTTTTTTGGTCCCGGCCCAAGGCAAATGGGCCGCCCTCACCCGACGGCCCGGAGGCTTTAGGGAGCTTTAGGTGAGATCCAGCGATGCTTTCATGGTCACCCCGTAGGTTCCAGCCCAGTTTATGGATAGAGGGTCCAACTGGGTTGAGGGCAGGAGACCACTTTTGGAGGGGAATGAACCCAATTCCCTTAAAGGAACCCACAGTAAGGGTCATTCCCTCATTCCCTGAGCACTTTGGAGGGGTCAACATTATGGCTACTTGGTGGGATGTTTGGACTTTAACGGTTTGGTTGACATTGTAGATTTTCCAGAGGGAGCCTACAAGAAATTAAACACTTTTCGCGGTCAACAGCAACCAAGTAGTGGGAATCTGCGATGTTGACCCCGGATTAAGAACCCCGTCTCATTGATAGGTGGTGTTGCCTCCAAAAGTGATCCCCCTATTAATCAACCAGGGGTCTATGAATCTGGGTTTCTCGGATTCCCATTAATGGTGCTGAGGTGTCACCAAGGAAGGATTCCCTCTAAAAGGGGCTGCCTTCCCCCCGTTTTAAGGTGAAAAGGGGCGTTTGGTTACACAATTTGTTTCGGGAAAGGTTTTGGTGGCAAGATTACCAATGACATTGTTTGAACTTGCCGTTGGCTTCTGTTTGGACTAGTAGCTTGCGCCGAGAGATGTCACTGTGGAATGGGTTCTGAACAAGGTGTAGGACGAATGGCGTGTGCACAGGTGACAACAATGGTAGGCTTAAGGCCGTCTTGGATATTTGGTGCTCAGTAGTGCGTAGCTTAGGTTGTAGCGCACTTCGGACCCCAAGGGGTGTCCTAGTTTTTTCAAGCCAATCCCAACACCCAAGCTTGGGGTTCAGCTCAGTCTTTTAGTGGCGCACTCTTTTCCTCACTTGGGCGGGGTTCCACCAAAAAGGTCAAGCTGGTCTCAAGAAGTTCAAGCAACAAGTGACTGCAGTTGCGTGGTGTCCAGCAGGCCCTACTTAGGTGTTCGGCCAAGTTAGTAAGTGGTTTGCCACTTGCGGTGCAACCCCCTAATAACAAGGTTAACCCAGCTCGGCCATGTCCGTTCTTGGCCACCTGAAATGGAAATCGCCATGACTGGTAGGCAGATGTCCGTTTTTGGTGTGTGGCCGCGAAAACCCAATGGAAGTCTTGCGGTTTTCTTAAAACACAAAGCGGGGGAATTATGTTGTTCTGAAGGCACAAGCCGTGAAATTTAACGGCTGATTGTATGGACCCACACATGCTTAGGACATTATCACTACAATCATTTGGCTGTGGCTCAAAACACGGTACCAAAATCGCACCTTGGTAAATGGAACCAAAGACTACCCGCAGTTTTGCCCTGTTTTTGTTTCTTTTTTTCTTCGTTTTGAGCCACACCCATTTGCCCTCTCTCGGGGGGTGTTCGGTGAGCCAAAACGAAGGATTTGGGGTGATCTCTCGGCCCCGAGGCCCACCCGCCTACACCTTTCCGCAGAGACCCGCCCGAGTCCCCGAGTCGAGTGAAACCGTAGGTTTGGGCCGGACACCTTTGAGATCAAAACGTGGCTGTCTCACCTGTGGACTTTGTCACTTGGGTTTGGCCCAGAGTGGCAAATAGAAGTTGGGCGACTTTCCCAGGAAGTGAGCTGGTCTTTGTGTTTGAAGCTTTTGAACTGTTCTGTTCATGAAGGGATTTCACAAACATGCGAGTGTTTCTCCGCTGCCGCCACAAAACGGGGGCCTACGTTGGGGGGGTCAGGTCCCAGAATTGGACAACCAGGGGAATGGAAGCCTTTCAATGGGCTGGTCAAAGGGAAGCCAACGCATGAGGTGCACCGTTCTGGCTCGTTCAAGCAGTCCGCTCAAAGCGGCATTTGGTTTCGTGGCTCGCTTTTTATGCGAACGGGCATTTTCTTGATTTACCAGGTGCTTTTGGGCGGGATGCTATGGATTTGTGTGACATGCGCCCACTTCATGGACATGGGGTGGATCTTTTTGCGCTTCCGACTAGGCAAATGGTTCAGCAAACCCAAGGCTGGGGTTCGAGCTCCAGGCAGTGATGGCATGGCAAGCCCAACCACTTTCAAATGGTGTGCTTGTTTTTGCGATGGTATCCTGTCACCTTGAGTTAAAGAGAAGCCAACCGGAAGATTGCCATTTTCCGCATATTTTAAGACAGACCCAATTTTGTCAATGTATGCAATATGCATGCATATGTACATTTATCGGAAAGCAGTGTTTAGATTGCTTGAGAATGAGTGTAGCACTGCAGTATATGGGGTTGTGACATCTGCCGACGCAAGCTTGGGAAGTATGTACTGATGTAGTAGGTGTTCCCTGGAACGCTTGAGCCACCCAAAAAGGATTGCTTTCAGTTCCTTGGTTTAAACAGCACGAATACGTCCTCAGATTCCTAGGCATGGGCTCGTGGTGTTGGGCGCGCCGCCAGTTTCCACAGCTTAGGCGCAGAACGTCAGCCCCCGCGCGAGAGGCGTGGGGAAAGGGCCAAGGATGGAAACACAGAATAAAGGAAGGAAGGAAGGCCACGGGCGAAGATGGGATTGTCCAGCTGGAGGATTTGATTGGCACAGGATGATTCTTGATCAAAATCACAAGAAAGAACAACTTGTTCCCCTCACGGGCACTAACCATTCCCTTTTGGTTTTCCCTTTAAACAGACGACTAAAAAGCAAGGCCTTACCTGTGCATGACTTCGGACCTTGTGTAGACCTTAATTTTCGGACCCTGCAAGGGAAAACCCATCCCCGTGGCCCCTGACCACTGCTTCTTGACACAAACAATGACGACCCTGGGCGAAAAATAAAGAGAGAGAGAGAGACAGAGAGAGCGAGAGAGTCGTGTGTTCCACCTTCAGCATCTGAGACATCTGCCGGAAGGGCTTAGTTACGCGCAGCAGCGATCCCTTTAACGAATTTGCCTCGGAAACGGCCTTCTGCATGGCCGGAGACATCATAGAAGTGCGTAGTTGCTCTCCTGGACTGTTTTTGTGCGTGTTTGTAGGTTGATTGTTTTGTTGATTCTGCTCATTCATTTGTACGTGCCTGCATGCTTCGTATGTGTGCGGTTGCGAGCATACCAGGGTTGGAAGAGGCTGAGGCAGGCCTTGTGTTGTGCAATCGACATGTTCCAGCATGATGGGTACACTGGTTCACTTCAGAGTCCAACTGAATGTTGCCGGCGCCCCAACTAAAGCATTCCAAATTGGAGGCTTGCCCTTCAGTGTGATCCCCTGCTTCCTCGTTGACACTGTGGTTTGAGATCATGGTGGGCAACAAGCAATTCGCAAGCTGGCAAAGACCTCGGGAAGTGAGCCGTGGTGAGCCACGGAACATGCGTGAGTCCTGTTCTATGCCGAAGCCTTGGTTTTTTGATCGAGTTGATACTCTTGCAGAAGTTGTGAGTGAGACAATCGGCAAGACAATTCACGTATCGTCATTGGCATGTAGAAAGGCACAGATTTGCAGGACTCCAAGAGATGATACAAGTCTTGTTTATTAATGTTCCACAGACCCTCACTTTACACTGCAGGAAGTAGGCTAAACGAATTCACCAAACAACCTGGCCACCGAGCGAGTAAGCAACAGTACCTGCTGCTGGTTGCATATGCTAACCGTTTGCAAGTTGCAAGCCTTTTTGTTGCAGTCTGTGGTTTGTACTTGTTGCAAACATGCTAGACAAACGCCAGTTGACCACTGTTTCGTAGACCACTTTTCATTTAGTGCAGGGTTGGTTTTACGATTGGGCTGCACTCAAATTCGATCCCAACCCTCCCGTGGGCCTTTCCATGGCCGCCTATGTTCCCAAAATGTGGCTCGAGATAAATGGATGTCGAAGGAAGCAGAACCGACTTCCTGAGTTGGACTTTAAATGTGGAATGATAATTTTATGTTCGCCCCCAATCTGAGACCATACAAAACGCAAGCCGGTTTACATGTCAAGCCGCTACCAACTTCCCCGAGATATTTGGCTCAACACATGAAGTTTGGCATCGACCTAAAGCTCCCTTTTCCAGAAATTGAATTTAGGCTACCCTCGGTTACATGAAGTCGTCATAGGACTGTCAAGAGCTCGGGACCTCACCCAGTGGATGCTTGGAAAATGTCTCTCGCATCACTTGGGCTGTTTCGTTGGGTCCTGAAAGAGCCCTTGGACCTGCAATTCTCTACATGTTGGGTCCGCTTCAATGCCCATGTCCAATCAGTCCCTTTCGGACTTTTATCGTCGCTCGCATCAAGACTGGTAACAGCTGGAGTGCCATCACTCCGGCAGCAATGAAGGTCATCTCCCTTAACCATTCTGTGCATCTTTCCGATAGGATTTGTCAGGTTTTGCTTATGACTCAAGTTGCCATGTAGGAATGGGTCAAAATTAAACCACCAGGGGACCGCAGGTTTTACTCCTTCATTAAGCAGAGCTCCATTTTGGGGTGACCCTATTTCTGACCCACAGCCCATTGTTTTTGCCTGAGGCAAGGCACGGATGTCCCATAGGTAAGGCTCGGACACGTCCCATCCTTGAGGCAGGGGGGCGCCTGCGCGCCGCTCAGACTCCGACTTGGATGAGGAGACAGATCCGCTGAAACAAGCCGTGCCGCGTGGTTGTAGACCTCAGCCAGCGTCACCGATTTCTCCTAATTTTCTAGGGTGTGATTCCGATTCCAATCTTTTCAAGCATCGTTCTTTTCGAAAACCGGCCGTTTCGCCTGGGTTTAGTGAGGATTTTGGGAAAGAAGGATCCCTAGAAAGAATGAGAAACGTACCATAGAAATTTGGTGGCTTGGATGGACAACTTGAGGCCCCAATCTGGAAGGTAGCCCAAAGTCTCCAAACCATTGACCCAAGCTACCAACTACGGCCTGAGGCGTGAACTAGGGACATGGTGAAGAAGGGCAAGGCGGCAAAGCCGAAGCACAGACAGCACCATGACAACCCGCATCAAATTGAGGTGAAACCCTTTGTACCACCTGCTGGAGAAGCAGATCCCAACACAAGCGCCGGGTTGACAAAATGTTACATATTTGGAATGCGACGCGAATTGACGCCAAGAGGAGCCCTTGTTTTCGCTCACGCCGCCACTAACGGCGCGGAGCATTTTGCACATTTTCATACGAACACGTCTCACCGCCTTTCCCGCTGTTCTGGTCGACATCTTGATGACTTTGGTGGGGAGGGGTGGGGTGGGGTGAGGTAAGGACGTACGGAGCACAAGTTGCTCGGAGCCTGCTGTCGTGTGTGTTAGTCACAAGTTTAGTCCCGGACACACCTTCCTTTAGTATCACGCAGGCAGAATTTGGACTTTTATATGCCATCGAGTCTTGCTAATTACGACTCGCCCGCCGAAGGCTCCAAGACTATGACGTACACTTCAATTCTGTGAGCCATGTTCGCTGCAGTCTGCCAAAGCATGTTCTCTGCCTCAGGATTTTTGAACGGTTGGAAAGACGTGGAGAGGTGGCTACCACCTTCTGTCATGCTAAGAAGACGGGCGGGCTGAATCCCAAGCGGTTGCGATACTTGCATAAATTCCGATGGCGGCGCAATCACGCGTGATTGTTTGTAAGAAGCAACGCCGTAGTTATTTGATGTCCAGAAATTTTGATTGGGCGTTTGCCAGGGTTGTGAATTCCTTCGCGGCGTTAGTGGCGGCGTGACCTTGTTTGCTTCTACCCCTCATGCAAAAAAAAGGCAAACATGGTGCAGAAGGTTCCCTAGTAGACCTCATGGGATCAGACAGAATTTCTTAATAGATCTCAAATTAATGTTGAACAAACCGTTGCGTCCACACCGCGAGAGGGAGAAAGCGAGTTGCGTCTACTATGGATGAAGGGTTTCCATGGTGTCTCATGAGAATCTGGGATAGCCTTCGGGGAAAGCAACATTATCATGTCACCATGTCCCGTTTGGGCGGCTGTGTAAGGCTGAGCCTTCGGAGTTAAGGAACAATACTCATGGAAACAAAACAAAGGAGAATCCATCTATATATCAATGGACGGCTTTTAACAGGTGAATCTGAGCTTCCTCTACAAATGGATAGGTCTTTGGAGTTCTTTCCTTCAGGGGAGTAATTAAGTCTTCTTTGCCAGGTCGAAAAGGTCCAAGTCAAACAATGTGTTTCACACGGTTCGCCACACGCGGTTTGCTTGGTACGTCCCTTCGGAACTGAAAAGTCCGACCCCCAACAAGCATCCTGAAAGGGTATACACTTGGGAGTACTTGGACCCTTTGAAACAAGGGGAATCCTTGCCGCGTTGCCAAGAAGGTGCGCTCAGGGAAGTAAAGCTTCACTCGGTTCCGGTTCAGCTGCGCTTGGCTCGTTTTGCTTCGGGAAGCTCAGCAAGCCACAGGGGAACCTCCGCGAAGGGATGCGTTTTAGAAGGAAGCCGACCGGTCCGGAGAGATCCCTCGCCCCCACTCCGGATGCAACAGCGTCACAAACATTGGTGAGGGTTTGCTGACGGGGTCTCTCTACCTCTCTTAAAAGATCAATCTTATGAATTATATCTAATCCTTTCTTAGCGTCTTTGGAAAGGGTTTTTTCATTATCCACAATAAAATAAATGCATATCCTTTTTGCTTAGCTCTGCCAACTCTACCTCTTAGCCCTGCACAACATGTTCCAATTGGGATCCTCTAAATCCCTTGGGCTCGGAAAGAAAACGCCGCAGGAGCCCTACGGCTACACCAAGGAGAACCTACCTCCAGCAGGGCACCCGAGCGAAACGGGGCCAACACCCGATTTAGGGAGCAGCTGTCCCGGACCTGTGCCCTCCCTCCGTGGGTGTGTTCCTCTTTTTTTTGGGAGGGACTTCTCCTTAAACTCAGGTAACCCTTACTAGGTCCCCCAGCTAGGTGCCTTTTTCCGTTTCTTTTTTGGGGGGAGGGTCTTAAAATAGATACAGTAAAAAAGGTACCCTGATTCTAACCTCTCCACTGGACCTAGCTTAGTTGGTGGTTTGGATCGGTGCTTTGGATTCGGATTTGAACGGGTCCCTGGCTTTTGTAGAGGGTGAAAATCGGAAGCCGCTCGGAACCACCACACCACCGGGTCCCAAACCACCAATTCGAGAGAAGCTGATAAACTCAACGACCGAAAAAGGAGGTCGCAACTTGATTTCCCCATGGTCACCGCAGGTGAGGCATTGGAGATCAGATATTTCACATTTCTCCAGTGATGATGGTTGAAATATGTTTGTAGAGCGTTGGGTCGAACCTTGCCCCCGTCTTGCTATATGTTTAGTTGATACTAAATGTTTAGTCTTGCTATGTGTTGATACTAAACTTTTCTTGCTACGTGTTTAGTCTTGCTTAATGATTCTGCTAAACTTGGGACATTTTGCTTTTGGCCGATTTGTGCCCTGCTTCTTTGGCTGAGACCCCGAGCACCTTCGCAAGTCCTGAAACCACACGAATGGTGGTTTACCATGTCCTGGTTGCCTGGCGCGCCAACCATCAGCCGCAAAACGCTTGCGGCTTTGGTCCCCTGGACACGGCGCGAGCAGTTCTACCTCGAACCCCAAGTAGCTACTTTTCTCCAGCCACTTTATTCACTAGTAGCCCATAATTTGGCAAAAGTAGCTGGAAAATGAGGGCAACCAGGGTCTTAGGTAGTTTGTTTAATTCGGAAACTTCAAAAAAGGGAACGGCACATGGGTTCAGGAAGGAATGAGCCACTGGCCGCAGGGTCCTTGGACCTTGGCCAGGAGCAAACTGTCATTCCATGTTGCATCTTTGCAATTCCGAAGTTTCTTCAAGCAACAACTTTGTTGCTTGATGAAGGTCCCATGCTAGTGAAGGAAACCGCACGTTTCGTCCGTGGCTACCATGTTGCTGGTAAACAGAAACCACTTTGGGCATTGTGACCGTTCCAAGTGCATGCAGATCCCTAGGCTTCCAAAGGCCATTAAAAGAATGGTCGAGGTTGCTAGACTGTTTTTTGCCGAAAGACCGTTTTTTGCGCCTGGCCCTGAATATCCAAAAAATAATTGTTTTTGTTGCCCAAGAATTGCTTAGGGTCAGGTCACTGAAAGTCACGCCGCCCTCATCCTCCCAGCTGCAAATGACTGCACCCAAGCCACTCATTCCCCGGCTTGCCAAATGTATGGTCGCATCACTTTTCAAAATCGCCAGGTGTCCCGCCTACTGTAGAGGCGTGCATAGATTTTTCGCATGTTGGTGCTGAAGTCCGGCTTTTTTGAAAAATGCTGCAATCTTAGTGGCTTCGGGGCATCGCTGCCGATCAAACATGCGTTGTTGGCTCCTGGGGGTATGGTTGTCCACGCTTTTAAATGTACTTTCCACGCTAAAAAACGTACTTTCCACGCTAAAAAACGTACTTTCCACGCTAAAAAACGTACTTTCCACGGTTTGTCCATGGTTTGTCCACGCCTCATTTTTCGAAAACGATTAAACAATCAACAAACAACACGCGATCAGACTCTGTGGAGCTGTGGACAAGAAGTGGAAAAACACGCACGGGCATGTGAGGGACAAGCCATATTGACACAGCATGGTGACGGCGTGTGATTACAACGGGATGAAGCGACTGTAAAACATACTGAGCAAATTTCATAAAAGGCGGCAATAAAGTTCTTCAACCTCTCACTGCACGGAAGCGCGTGGGGATGTCAGGAGCCAGCCGTCTCAAGTTGGACAAGTTTGTCTAGACCTACTTTTAATGGTCGAGGGACATTACTTTTATAGCCTTTCGTTTTTTAAATGGTCGAGGCTATTTAAAGAATAGTCGAGGAAGCACAGGGAGATGCTCTGTGGGCCAATGGGTTGTGAGACTCTGAGCCGGGCAATCTCCCCCTGAAATGGTGATCCAGAAGTTCCTGGAACGACGAATTTGATCCAAAGAATGCCCCGCGCACAAAAGGTGAACGACACAAAGCTTTGGAGCCTCCGGCTCAGTCCGCCGACATTGTCCTCTGCCTTTTCTCCTGCTTCCCCTCTCTTTTTTCTCCTCCCCGTGCGTTCCCTCGTCCTGTCTCCCTGTCTGTCTCTCTCCTCCCCATCCTCCGCATCCTCCCCATCCTCCCAATTCTCTCGCTCTCTCTCATTCTCTCTCTCCCTCTCCCTCCTTTTCTCTCTCTCTCTCTCTCTCTCTCTCTTTCCCTCTCTCTTTCCTCTCTGTCTCTCTTTCTGTTTCTCTCTGTTTCTCTCTCCGCTTGTTTTTTCTGTCTCCTGCTCTGTCTCTTTCTCGATCTTGGTCTTTTTCTCCCACTCTTTCTCTGTCTCTGTTTCTCCCTCTTTCTCGGTCTCTGTCTCTGTCTCTCCCTCTCCCTCTCTCTCTCTCGCTCTCTCTTATTTTCCGTGCACTGCCCCTTCATGACCCCTGAATTGTCTTCGTACTACTTGCTTTCCCCTTCATTTCCCCGTCATGTCCTTTTCATGTCTCGGCATTTTTTGAGGATGTCCTTCCTCGTCATGTCCCCTTCCATTCTTTTCAATTCCCCCTTCATGTCTGTGACATTTTCTCGGTGTGCGCGCTTCATTGTCCATGTATGTCCTTTCTTTCATGGCCAGTCATTTCCTTGCATTTCCCTTTATCCTCATTTCTCTGCACTTCCTTGCATTTTCCCTTCGCTCCCCGGCATGTTTCCGAGAAAGAACAAAAAACACTGTTTTTCCCACGTTTTTGAGGCAAAAGGAGGCAGAAAGCCCGAACCAGCAAAGAGCCGGCAGGCGGATGCGAGCCTGGGACCCATGTTTTGCGACATATTGTTAGTGGAGCGTCAGCAGATTGGCGCGCGGTACGACGTATCAGACCGTATCAGACGTCGGGCGGGGGGGGGGGAAGGGGGGGGTTATCCTCTATCCTCTCTTGAGTGTCCGACACGCCTCCGCAATGTCGGCGGACTTAACACCTAGCCAAACTACCCTTGGGGGGGGGGAGCAACATCCTTCGGCGGATTCCGACCAAAAATCAGTCGGAGCTTTCAGCAGAGGGCGGGCCAGCCTTCATTGCCATAGCGGCCACAAGCTGTCTCCACATCGATGGGTTTGTGGGTACTGTGGGTACCCTCCCCACCTTCTTCGCCATGGAGCCTGACGTTGGGAAGCGGTTCCCCTTTAACAGGGACGCCCCTGTAACAGGGACGATATGGTACAAACCAGGCTCCGCTTCCCCGAACTTCTGGCTCCCTTTTCCGGCGTGTTTTTTTTTTTTTTTTTTTTTTTTTTTTTTTTTCCGGGGTGGGAGGGTAGCCACTGGCAACGCGCTCAGTGTTCGGAGCACGAGCTGGAGTTCATCGTGCCTCAAGCCACCTCCTACGCCAGCGGCCAGGCTCGATTCGGGATCCCGCCGGGGGATCCGGGTTAATCCGGAGACAGCCAGGGGATCCGGGGATGCGAGGGATGCGGGCAAGTCGGTGTTTTGAGGCTGAGGTGGTCTTTTTGGAGTGTTAACCATTTTTGGTAGTTGTAAAGGGGAATCATAAGGATGAGTAGCAATTTGGGCCGGGGTCCTCTAAGATAGACTTCCCCTCTATCTCCTCGCTCCCTTGTTTCCCTACGGATCAGCCCTGGACGAAGTTGAAGAGGGGCTTGTGGATGCTATGAAGAGACAGCCTTTTTTTACCAGAGTTTGCTCGTCGCGGAGACGAAAACGAATGATCCCCATGACCCGCAGGTTTGGTTGGAAGCTACGCAGAATGGTTGGTCCCCTTGTTACCATGGCCACCGGGCAAAGCTGCGCGACGGCAAGGCCAGATCCTCGAAGGACTTCCATTTGCTGAAGTATATATGTGTTTTTCCCCTGTTGGTTGCAAAGGGCATCGATCACTACTGGAAGTTGTTTTTTCCAGTGACTCAAGTAAATGTAGGGGAAACAAATATGTCAAAGCAAGCGTTTGGGGAGTGCCTTTGCTTGGAACAGCTTCCGTATCTGAGGCCTGGAGAGGGTGACTACTGGTCAGAGAGACAAATTCCGTTCCAGCTGCTCCAACAAGCCACTGCCACTGCTTGCTGGTTTTCCCAACCTCGGTTCTGGACCATGTCTATCTTTGTCCCCAAGTTCATGGGAAGGTCCAGGTCCATCAAGGACGGCTTCATTTCATAGCATCCCCAGCAACTAGAGCTCAAAGGGAGGCCTTCCAAAGCTCCGCTCAAGATCCCGCAATTTGCTCCGCGCACGATCAAAACGGGTTGCGGAACAACTCCTCGTGGGAGACAAGGGGCTCCTGAAAGGTCAGCCAGGATCGTTGTATCAGAACCCCAGCCTCCCAATAGAGGGGAACCATTCCTGATGAGCATGGCCCTCCGTGCTGCGATCCTTGACTCTCCAATGGCGAAAAGGCAAACAGGGACGCATCCCCATGACTCTGTCTCAGCATTGGGGATTTTGAAGCCAACAAGAATGCTGGGGCTCACTTAGCGTCTCAGGCTGGGCCTTGGACATTGGACAAGGCCTTGTTACAAACACACAAAAACGAAAACGGTGGCTGAAGCCACCCAACCGATCCATCGCTCGATGTGCGCCAGAAAGTGCGGTCGCCACCTCTGGTCGTGCGGAACTTCAGATTTAGGCGCGGAACGATGTCTTGGCCGCAGGGATGTCTCTGCAGGAATTTGGTTGCTTCTTTGGCCGTCTGTCCAAGGAATGATCAATCATGATTAAGAACCTCAGCTAGGAAATCGGCAACCGATGATTTTGGTTGCTTCCCTGTTCAGGGTCTTGATTTTCGACGCCGATCGGATCTCGGGAGCAAGCAGATCATACTCACCTCAGCTCATGAAGGCCATATGGGGAACTCCTTATGGAACTCATGCAGGACGGAGACTCAGCGACTCTCAAAACCCAAAGTTTGGCACTTTCTTCGGTCATTTCTGTGTTTGATTGCCAGTTCCCTCGTGCAGTTGTGGTCGTAGCTGCTTGTTGCTCGCTTTTGTGTTTGTTGGCATGTTTGCTTGTGTTCAGGAGATTCTCTACAGCGAGGGCAATGAATCTTGGGATTTAATTTGCATGTTTTTTGGCTGTCCATGTAACCAATCTAACATCAATGTTTGGCCAGAATCAGTTTGTCCTTGTTTTGGGGGACCCCTAAAATAGTTGCTGTCTTTTAGACTTTCCTATACTTTCTTCAGGACCGAACAACAGACACAATTTGGGATCCGATTCCTTCAGATTGTTGGTGTCCAGAAATGTGTCCCCGTCTTTATGTTGGGTACCCTTTTCGGGGAAAGAATAAATTTTCTTCCACTGTTGGGGGGTCCCAAAAAAAGAAGCCCCCCCATAAAAGCCCTGCAAAGAAATCACTCATCAAGATTCATGTTGGGCACTAATTATTTGTGGGATACAATGATATTGGACATATATATATATATATATACACAAATACATACATATATATATATATGTTTCTTGGATATATGTTTCTTGTGGCACGTTTCGTCTTGTTGGATCTGCGCTTTCGTCTTTTGGCAGATCCATGGGCAGCCTCTCCACCGGAGCGAGCGAGCGATCGCCAGGATACTTTGCTTCCCTGCGGGCACCTCCAGCGCTGGTGGCTCTGCGGTCCTGCAGCCCAGCATCCGACTCGAAGCGCCCACGACTCGAATCCGGTTGCCCACTTTAGGTGGGAACCCCAGCGAATCCTCCGATTCTCTTTGTTTAAAGTTTTTTTTGGGGGGTAGATTTGTTGTGTGTTTGCTTTCTTTCTTCTTCAGATGGTGTAGTGGGGGGGGGTTGCCATTTAATCCACCAAAAGTGTCGTTTTTTTTCTTGTAAGCAGGGATCTGAGGACAGCCCAGTTTGGTGCTGGGCTCTACCTGGTTTCAAGGGATAGCAGTCCCTGTATAAACCTTGCTAACCATGTTAGTAGAACCAAACGTCAATGGGTTTTGTGGTTTCGTGCGCTGCTCAAAGCAGCGTTCCGCAGGTCTCAAATTTGCTGGACCCCTAAATGCTCGCATTCCTTGTGGCTTCCCTCTCCCAACCGAACAAGGGGTTCCCCAGAAAAAAAAAAAAAAAAACATTGTTTCTGCCTTTGAAGCTGCTTGCTAGCTTTCCTCTTTGATGGTTTGTCCTTTTGGATTTGTTTTTGGAGCATGTCAGTGATTGGTTGGTCCTCTCGGAGTTTCTGAGCCTTGATGCTTCCGCTTCCCCTGGCTCAATGATGGCCTCTGTGTTGTTCCGTATGCTGTTTTCTCTCTCTTCATCGGGAAATAGATTTCGAAAAAGAAGTAGTTGGTGTATCGTGTGGCCTTTGCCGTGTGTTGTCGTGATTTCTCTTTTTTGCTCGTCTTCCAAACTGCACCAACCCCGCCTAGTTGGAGTGCCACGCTATGGTCAATGATGATCGGCATGAGAAGTGCCCGAAAGTTGGCCGTTTTTGGAAGGGTTTGCTCGTCTGGCATATTTGGGATCATTTGTTGACTTCAATGTTAAAGCCCATTAGCATAAAGCTCAATAACGCCTATAAGTTTATGTTGGACTGTACTTCTTCCACTCAGCTCACTAAGTTTTCGCTAGGTGTCGTTGCACTTGACTAATTTGCAACGGCGAGTTGACCTGAGTCCACCTGTCGGTTTTGCGTTGGCTCGCAACAGGTTGACCCTTTCCACACCCTGAATGGCAGGTGGGCGTAGAGAGTGATATGCGTATGCCATCAGGAATGTAAAGGGAGTGACTGAGTGCGAATTTCTGGGCGGTTTCGGATCACCTATGTGACAGTGGGTCAAACATGGGTACCCAGAATGAAACCACGGTATGTGAAAGCATGGACTAAAACCTGCAGTCCATATCCTGGCGGTTTGATTTTGACCCATACCCATTTGACGCCCATGGCTTGGAACCTCCTGATTGCCTCACTGTTCTTCTTTTTTTTTTCCGCAGGGGCCATTGGTCAACTGCCCGAGGTGAGCGCATTTGTTGAGGCCGATCCGCCGGAAGGCGCGGTTGCATGGTCTTAAGTGGGCAGTTGCCGTCCCAAGCGTTGACGGAGTTTCTTCAATGTTGGGTGGGAGGCCCTCTGAAAGTGGCCTGCTTCCCCACATTTCGCCCAGAGACATCCCCCCATGAATAAAATGCCTGGTATGAAACTCTGGTAGATACGCGTACATGGGTGTATCTTTTTGGTGGTACCTGCAGGACCCATTGATACACAAATGTTTGCTCGAGCTTTCGTGGCAAATGAGTGCGCGAGAAATGGTAAATGCAAACACATGCAACCGCACAGATTGCGGGGCGGAGCTTTGGCTTTGCACACTTCTTGGAATTGCGCCCGAGTTGCGGAAAGTTGCGCCCGAGTAGCGGGAAATTGCTCTCGAGTTGCGGGTTCGTTTTCTCTCGAGCACTTCGCCAAGCATCTAGGCAACCTCAAAAAGTGCTCGAATGGGATTTGAGCAGAAAAAACGCTCGAATGCCAAAAACTGTCTGGAGCACTTTTTGTGTATCAAAGGGTCCTCCAGGTATCTTTTTTTTGTTTTGGGGGGAGGAGGTGAAAGGGGAACAAAACTATTTTTTGCGAGTCCAGTCTTTTGAGACAAACCCTACCTGGTTGTCTACCGTTTCTTTGGTGCATATTGCTTGGATGTTAGGAATTGAAGTTTTACTTTTAGCAGGGGAGCACAAAGCAACCGAGGTTTGTTTTAAGATCCATTGGCAAAATGAAGGGACCCCGCTCATGAGTAGGACCTGTTCTCAGGGTTTAGGCAGCCCACCATGCCCACATAGGCTCACTAATTCTTCCCCAGAATTAGTTCCCCACTTTTTGTTTTTTTTTTTTTGCTTTTTTGGGGTCCCCTTTGTTTGCTACTAACCAGGTAAAAAATAGTTTTGTGCTGGAGTCCTAATTCCAGCCAAGAATTCACGTCCCATGTTCCATGGTTGTGTTTCAACTTTTTCAGGACTCCCATCAATTGATGTGTTCTTGTGGCAACAAAAGGTCCAAGTCTCTTTTGACACCCGGTGAGTCTTTCAGAGACAATCCGCGGGGGTTGCCAAAGGGCAGCAGTGATTTCCCTGGACGAAGAACCATCGCATCGATCCGTCTTGAGAGCCTTTGAAGGCCTCCAAAGAACCAGTTCAGTGGCATGTGGGATTTCAGAATCAAGACCCGAAAGTCTCCTCGGAAACCCTCAAAGTAGAGTCGAGTTCCTTAAGCGTAGCATGTTTTTGAGCATGGAGCTCCTTTTTTTCCCGACTTGAACATTGCTCTAATTCCCCGGAGATCTTTGGCTTCCCCGCACACGTCCAGCTTTTTTCTCCAGACTTGGCCCTCCTCCATATCAGGGCTGGACCCTCGATGGGTCTTCCAGGGCGTGAAGTACCAGGCCCGAATCAAAGCCGCGGGTTTGCGCGGCCCACGCGGTTGGATGGGATTCCAAGGAAGACGTAAACCCAAGCTTCCATTTGGTTAAGCATATTTTTTATGTTCCCCTGTTGATTTTAAAGGGAATTTATCACTACTGGAAATGTTGTTGTTTTTTTTGCAGGGACTTAAGCCTGGGGGGTTCTAGGTCCAGTAGAGAGGTTAGAATAAGTTGGTACCAACTTTTTCGGTTTTGTCGATTTTAGTAGGGGAACCGAATCTCCCAACCAAAAAAAAAGGGGTGAGACTGGGCACTACTAAAAGACCTAGGGTTCATTTCCCCCCAAAACCCCAAAAGCAGAACCCTGGCCTCCATTCGCTTAAGTCTAGGTAGTCCAAAAGTGGACAGGTCCCTCTGGTTTGGGTCAAGGAGAAGGTTCACAAGGCGACCCTGAAGTTGGAAGGCGACAAGGGTCTGGGAGACTTTTCTTATGGACGGATCAACCATTGCGGTTTTGCCGTTTAAGGCTTCCCTTAAATGGTGCAATGGTTGGGTGGACATATGTTTTGGCCTCTCATCATTGGTTGAGTGTCATACTTTCTCACGGTAATACGGTAATGAAGTGGCTAAATATTGGTTACTACTATCCCGAAGTCATGAAGCTGCATTGACCATGCGTTTATATATATATATATACATATATATATATATATATATCGTGTATATATATATATATCTTCAAGATGCCTTGCAAGCCTTACCGTGCGGATATATCCATGTCAGGGATGTCCGGCATGTCGACTGCCGTCATGGCATGTGTCCTTGCGCCTTGGGGCTTGTCATACTGGATCGGATTTCTCTTGGACCATGGGATCAGGGTTGTTGTTGGAAAACATTTTGCATTTTGCTTATTGTGGTTTAGTGGGAATCCCCACTTAGCGGCTAAAATGTATTTTTTTGCTCCCCTTGCAACGTCTACCAAGGGATGATCTACGGCTTGTTCCGGGTCGTTTTGGACTTCCCCCATCCTCTCCCAGGAAGTGCCTTTGTAGGCCCTTCTCGTGACCCGTGAGGTGCCATGGATTGTAGGCGCTGAGGCCAAAAGGTCCTGCAACCGCCAGGATCTTAGAAGAGATCATGCATGGCTTATGAGTTTTTCTCAATGGCGGACCGATCAACAAGTGGCGGGTGCTTGTAATCGCCGCCAAAGTGTGTTCACCAGACACTCCCCCATTACATGGTCGTTGTTGGGAAACATTCTACATTTTTGCAAATTGTGGTTTAGTGGTTGAAATCCAAATCCACTCAACAGCTAAAATTTGAGAATTGTTGCTCCCCTTCCAACGTCAACCACGATTATAAATTCATCACTTGCACCCTTGGAACTGGGAGAACGAAAGAATCGACGCCTCGAATCTTCGATGGGAACAGGAAGCTAAGGAAGCGGTGGCATGGTAGCTGTTTCCCATGTCTGCTTGGCCATGAATTTCACTCGCGAACCCAACGCAAAGGTTTTTGGTGGACATGAATCCCCTTTTTTTGATGGTCACCAGTCCTAATCAAGGTTCACACCCATTTATGTTGTTGATGGAATTGCCCTGCCTTTGCGCCCTCCTTTCAAAGATTCAAAGGGTTGGGTGTCTGCAGGAAACCAGCTTATTTAGGGTGCTTTTCTCGGGGTTGATTCCTTTCCCATTCTTTTCAACCATCGTTCTTTCCTAAAACCGGATCCGTTTTCCCTGGGTTTCAAAAGAGGTTTTCTGGAAAGATCCGGATCCCTGGAAAGAATGGAAATGGTAGGTACCCCTATTTGGGGCCATTTCCTGTAGACTCGCTGGGAAGGGGCTTGGAGTCCAAGAGCTCCCAGCTCGATCCGCGGCAGGTGGTTCTGGTCAACTGGCTGGACTACCGCAGAAGCGCCCATAAGGCAGGTTTGCTTTCTGGAAGCTCGGAAACTGCAGTCATGACCCTTGGAAATCGACATCTTACCAAGGGCCTCAAGCCTCCGAAGACTGCGGGGAGTGTGTGCAAGGATATGTTCGTTCCCATGGGAGTGGTTGGTCCATCGGCTCACGGTTTCTTGTCAGTTTGCAGTGAACACCCATCATTGCCAGGCACCCATGGGTGTAAAGTGTCCCTAGCTTCTTCGGACAGCAACTGCAGGGGGGTGTCCTAGAATTGGGGCTCTTGCTTTGCAGAGTTTTGGTAAAGGAAACCAAACGGAAATCACCATGCGCGCGCGCACCGGGCACACCTAGCTGATCATGTCGTTGGCTGGGAGTCAAGATGAGCATCATTGAGCAGCTCCACAGTTCTAGGGGTTGATTCCTTTCCCATTCTTTTCAACCATCGTTCTTTCCAAAAACCGGATCCGTTTTCCCTGGGTTTCCGGAGGTTTTCTAGAAAGAAGGATCCCTGGAAAGAATGGAAATGGAAGGTACCCCTAGAACAGTGCAAGTTGTTGCCATGAGAAACAATCCTGAAAGCTCAACTGCATGCCTCCTCAGAGGGGCTGTTGCGACATCGGGCAAACTCATGAAGGCTCCTTTGGGGTTTCCACTTTAGGTCCGTGTCTCATTGCAGTTACAAGCCACAGCTCCGTGTTATTTCAAGACCTCTCGTCACCACCTTCAGCCCAAATTCCAAAAAAGCGCCGACGCTGCTTTTGCATGGCAATATGGCTTCGTGGCGAGTTGCCACCTTTCGTTTCTCCCTTTCATGAACTAAGAGCCAGGTGGTTCTACTATTTTTTTTGAGAAGAAAAACAACAGTGCAGCAGCAAGCAACTTTTGGGACAGGGCCTACGGCTCCGTGGCTTTCAGGTCGACAGCTGGAACTTCTCCAAGGACTGGTCGCCCGGCCTCCCCGCAGCCGAGTTCGGGACAGAAAGTACCCAGCCATGGAACCAGGAGGTCTGGTGGTGGAGGTTCCATTGTTGGAGCCCAGCGGATCCATTTCCTCTATAGGTAGCAAGGGAACCACCCTTCAAAGACCGAAAAGAGAATAGCTGGTGACCTACCAGAAGAGCCACTAGAATCCACTGGGGGACGGTCCCGGGACGGTACGTTTGGTGTTCTTTCTTCCTGCATGGCTTTTTTTTTTGTGTTTTTCTTTTGGTTTTTGTTTCTCACGGGGCTCTCCTCTCCTCCCCAAGATGACCGAACCTCGCGCACAGTCCCCGAGCCTGAAGCTTCCATCGGGAGTGGTTTTCATTAAAAAGGCACGCCCGATGGCTTGTTTGACTAGGTCCCCCAGCCAGGTGCCGTTTATTACCCTTTCCGTTTCTTTTTTTTGGGTTGGGAGATTCGGCTCCTCTAAAATAGACTACCAAGAAAGGGTATCCTTATTCTAACCTCTCAAATCTGGAGGACCTAGTTGAGGCAATGGCTGTTCCCAGCCCAGGCCATGAAGTCTTTGGGTCAAAACCAAATCACCAGACCGGTCAATGGGGAATGGGTTGCCCTTTGAGCAGCCCAAGTGCCTGTGAGGTTGAGTTGGGAGTTTGACTGGCGACCTGTGGGCATTGTTGCGCCCAGACACCTCTCATCGACCAGCAGGATCGGAATCTAGTTCATGGTCATGCAGAAACCAACTCCTGAAGACAATTTGTGTCCAGCCGGCCCTCATGGTGCCCAATTGCGCGCCAGGAGGGAATCGACCGAGGTTGGCACGAAATGGTCAGGACCGCTTGCGTCACCTTTGCTTGTTGGCCATTTGTCTAAGTGGTTTGTCACTCCTTCCACACCACTAGCCACAAGACATAGCCACAAGAGAACATGGCGGTGCATGTTCTTTATTACTCTCCCAAGTTTCTGGACTTCGAACCTTTTTCAGAAGACCGGTTTCGTAGGGGCATAAGTGGAGGCTTGTTTGTAGGACCATCTACTCGGCAAACCGCGTGGCGAGATTGGGGTTTACTCAGTGTCCATTGTAGTTTGGTCACCCTCTTAGAACTTGACCGCTAGAAGCGCAAGGGTTCTACGGATACCTTCCACATTCTTTCCAGGGATCCTTCTTTTCAGGAAACCATCAACATCCCAGGGGAAACGGCTGTTTGTTTTTTTCTTTTTCTTTTTTTTTCTCGAAAAGAACCCACCATCGTTTAAAAGAATGGGGAATCAACCCCTAGAAGGGTAGGTAGTGTCGTACTGTTGAGCCAGAGTTTAGCTTTCTTCCCCGAGAAGTCCCTTGTTTGGGCCGCCTGACGCGTCCAGAAGGTTTTGGCGAACCAGGGAAACCGAAGCCCAGGTAGTGGGTTGAATTTTGAGACTAGCCCATACCATATATATATATATGTTATTATGCATATATGCACGGACTCTACATATTTCTATATATATATACACATATTATGCATATACATGTTATAATGTATTATATATACACGTATGTTTATCATCTTTTCGGGCGACTCTTTTGCGTTGTTTCCATGTTCCATTTGTTCGGGCTTCGCTTAGAGAGCCCAGGGGTTTTTGTTTGCTAGACGGTTCGGCCGGAGGACCGCGGAGCTGTCTCAGGACACGGGATGGTTAGGCCGGCCCGGCTGCGGTGTGGATTTGTTTAAGCCTTGCTGATGTTGACCACGGATGAATACACCCCTGCTTGTTCGTTAATATGGGGGTGTTCACTCCAAAAGTGATGAATCCCCACTGAAACCAGGGGAACAAGCAGGGGTTCATGAATCTGGGGTCAGCATTAGGTTCATTCACGGGGGAACCAGTTGCCCAGCACTAAGAACCATGGTTATAGCTAGTGGGTTGAACATTAGGGTAGCTGGGGTTGGTTCCCCTACCGCGGTTATAACCTGGGTTGAACGTGTTGCAGATCTAGCCTACGTGGGTTGAAGATCCAAGTAGATGATGTTGACGGATCTAAGTACCCTTCCTATGAAGGTGGGGCCCTGAATTGGTGGTCTGAATAAGTCTCGCAGGGGGTCGGCGGGGGGGCGGGGGGGGGTGGTGGATGGTGGTGGTCAACTTTCGGGTCGGTCTAAAGCGAGTTTCCTTGTGACGGGAGGCATGCGAGGAACAAGGCGGTGTCGGACGCTGACCTCAAGGGAGCTCAGCCCACAAAGCACTGCTTGAGCCCTTCTAAAGCTGACCAACCTCAAGTACTTGGATGTTCAACCCGCTTGGTAGTTTATAACTGCGGCTACAAGTAGGGACAACCGGGCTTGGTTCTCTTACCATATCGCAAAAGCCTACTTGTGTTGAAGATCCAAGCGAATGAAAGTGGGAATCAAAGTATCGCCATGGTTATAATTTATAATCCCATCTCCCTAATACAAAACCGTCCCCCGCAATTAAAACAGCTTCGGAGGGAGTTTCATTTTTAGGGGTCGCCGGTTTTTGCCTTAGATATAGTTATTGTTTTGCTGCTTAGTTGTTTTTTTTTTTTGAAAAGTGGCTCCTCTTTGATCTGCAGGAGAAAACACTCAGATTGCAACTTTGAAGTAAGAACTCTGAAAGGGGCATTCCCGTTGTGAAATTCTTGGAATGTTTGGGATTGGCGCGCGGACTCTAACAATAAAACTTGTTTGGAGAGGTTGTTCTATTGATTTGGAGGACAGCCCTTTTGAGTGCGCATGCGTGAGCTTGTTTTATTCTGCGCAGGCACCCCCAGTTACATAAGGAAAGGGGCTTGTTTCTGTTGGACACATAGCTTGGAACCTACTTATTTCAACACATCATGGAGGGGGGCCCTAATAAGCACATTTGAGAGCTTGGTGGACTGCGTGTCTCTGTGTCTCTGTGTCTCTGTGTGTCTCTGTGTCTCTGTGTCTCTGTGTCTCTGTGTCTCTGTGTCTCTGTGTCTCTGTGTGTCTGTGTGTCTGTGTCTCTGTGTCTCTGTGTCTGTGTGTTCTGTGTGTGAGTCTGTGTGTGTGTGTGTTTGTGCGTTTGTGTGTGTGTGTGTGTGTCGGCCAAGTTGGCCAGTGTTTAGCCACTTGGGGTACAACCCCCTAGTATTTAATGTTAACCCCACTGAAAGGGGGACTTTGTAAGTTGGTTTTGATCTAGGTACCCAACAACTTACTTGGCGAGCCGACCACCCACGCACATTGCCTTTGGAGGCCGCTTCGTCAAATCAAGTATCGCCAGGCCCCAACGATAGCCTCTGCTTCCGGGCGTGCTGCTGCGTTCGCCAGGCGTTCCGCGTTCGGGGGTTGGTCAAAGGGTTGGTCCTTTTTGTGGGGGGAACCCTTTATTTTTCAAGTGAAACCAAGAAGAACACCGACAATGCATCACGGGTCGACAGTATGACTTTGAGTCAAGATGTCTGAAGACATCAAAAGCAGTTTGGGGTTCGGGAAATGGGAGACTGGGGCAGGTTTTGCAACATAATTCCCAGCAGAATGTGTCTTGAATTCAGCCGGACCTCGTTTGACATATTTTGACCACTCTTTGGGTAAGATGGTGGAGGTTGGGTGTATTTTTTGTCGGTTTTAAAGGCAAACCAAGAGGAAAACCACCAAATCATTTTGGGGTCCAACCTAATGAAGCCGAGCCACCCATCTAAGCGCCTGCTGTAGAGAGGACATGTAGGGACCAAAGCCGCCTTTGCTGTCTTATTCATTTGGCCATGGTTCAAAACTACTGGTACCATCTTGGGATAGGTGAATTCACCACCCATTTTAGTATACCTATTTTAGTGGTTGGATTGGTTGATGTTCACTGGGGCCCGGTACGATTTGGGCTCTGACCCACCATTTGGTCTCACTGACCGTCGGGGTTAGTTGAACCTTCACAGACTGTGATCCCTCAGGCACGCCAGGGCTTCTGAAACCGGAGCCCTCAAGGGCCCTTGAACAGGGCTCCTTAAAAGATCTCCATTTTGCAACCAGTTGACACATGGCTTTTTCAACACCAAAATAAAGGGAACCCACCATTTACAAGGCAATGTCAGGTGTATAATGTAAGGACCCCTGTTGACTGTTGCGGGTCCCGGACTGTTCGGGAGCCAGAGTGGCCCGCTCAAAGCTGCCTCGCGACCAGAAGAAGAAACTCGAGAGTCCACAAGCTCGAAACATGCTACCCTGGCTTAAGTTCGCCTTTCTTTCAGCAGTCCTGAGATTTGAGACCTCTTTTCAACCGAGCGCCTCCTTGGGCAGGCGGACAGCATTGCGATCGGCTCCGAGTACAACCCTAGGCGGGTGGCCTGGGCAGCTCAGCACAACCCACGTACTCCAAATCCAACCGTTTGTTTGTTTCTCTGGAAAGAGGACTTTAAGCAGGTCCAAAAAGCCCCGACAAAGACGCACCATCGAGAAACCCGCAGGGGACATAGCCAAAGAATGCGGCTTTTTCCTTTCTTGGACCATCCCTCGACCTCTTGACACCATCTTTGTCACTGCGCGAACTTCACGGTGGTTTCACATGAACTTCCACTTACTTTGTGTCATGTCTACCTGTTGGTTAAAGGAATAAACCAGTGGAAATTTGTGTTCTCACAATTTTTCCAGGGGACACACGCAAGCGGTAGAGGGACTCAGTCCTATAATGTTGACCCAGGATTAATAAACCCGTCCCATTCGGGGGGTGTTCCCTCCAAAAGTGGTCTGAATCCCCACTAAAAGGGGACACTCCCCTATGAATCTATGAATCAACCAGGGGTTTATTAATCCGGGGTTAGCATTACATGTCTTTATGTCCAATGGGATCGGAGGGCCAACTCCGCATTCAAAAGCCGGGGCGAAGCTGGAACCACAGGTCTGACGGCTGGCGCGAATTTCAATGGGGGACACCTTCCAAAGATGATCTCCGCAACATCCTTTGGGGCAGCAAACTTTTGCGACCGAAGCTTACCCCTGATTGTTTCCCTCTTTTCTGTTCTTTTTTTTACAGGGGTTCACCCAGATGTATGCAATGTGGCAGAGCATCTCCAAATCTCTAATCAAGTGCATGCGTTTTCAGAGTTCATGTAGAGGAGGTGTCTGCCAGCCTGTCCATGAAGTGGATGAGAAACCGAAAGGCCCAGTGCAAAACTGATAGCTTACGTGTATTTGCCTACCATTTGAATCTATTTTCCAAAATGACGCCTAGGAACAGTGGATTCGGCGTGTTTTCTTCCTTACCCGCCAGGAGAGAGACCGGCTATGTGGGGCTCATGAATCACGGCGCAACGTGTGCCCGCCGCGCTTGGATCCGAGCCCAACTATTACTTCCATTTGGTTAAGAATATGTTGGTTTTAAAGGGAATCTATCACTACTGCACATGGACATATTTCTATTTTTTCCAGGGCACTTAAGCAAATGGAACTCTTTTCCAGGGAATTCGACTAACTTTTTGCCAACGAATGGGTTTTCCATTAAACTACTAAAAGTTAAACTTTTAGCAGGGGGGGCAGAAAGCAACCAAAAAGGGGTCGGTGCGAGGACAGCGGTGTCACAACTGCTCTAAGCCCATGGCAAGCCCGTAGGGAGCATTGTGAAACGAATGGATCCGTACTTGGATGTTCAACCCACTTAGTAGGTTATGCCCCTGCCAGGTAGGGTAACTGGGTAACTGGGGTGTCTCTTACCACGTTCAAACTACCTACGTGGATTGAACATAGTCGCAGGCTTTTCCGTTGCCAGATCAGGTACCAACTTGGTGCGCAACGGAAATCCGAAAACCCAAGCAAAACCGCCACTTTGGGGTCGACAGGCAAAACCCAAGGGAAAAACACCACTTTTTTGGGTTTTCCCCAAGGGACACCGCCCTTTCTTGGGCCTGTGGTGTTGGAAAAAGTGACCGCCAGGTGCTACATGAACGGCTTGCTGCAAAGCCTGTTCCATGCCGGCGAGTTCAGGCGCGGTTGTTGCTTGCGCACCACTCGCACCGAGAGGGTACCTATTTCGGCAGGGCTTCTGAAGGGAAACCAAGAGGAAACCCACTTCTTTTTTTTATCCTTGTTTTTTTTTAATGTTTTCGGTTGTTTCGGTTGGGGGGGTCCCAAAAAAAACACGACACACTTGTTTTTTGTTTGTTTGCTTTTTTGTAGGGGGGGTCCCTAGAAAACGGCACGCTCATTTGTGCTTTGGGTTATTTACGCAGCCTGCACACGCCTTTCCCTATAGTGACAGTGATGCATCTTGTTGAACCGTGGTTGAACCTTCAACTTTGCTTCGGCTTTGGGAGTGAGCAATTGATGGTTTCCTGGTTCTGCTCTTTTGTGGGTGTTGCTTACATGCAATTTGTGTGTCCCAGGGATGTTTGTTCACCGGCCAGGCATATCGTGTATTCTATTGACACCGAGAAGGACGAAAAGGACCGGCGAATCGGGGCGTCCCTCGGCGAATCGGTTGGTGTAGGAAAAATTGGAAGTCGGGCGTCAACCGGAGATGGCAACCAAGGGCGTAGGTGAAACAGAACAAAGAGTTACCCTCGTCACCAACTAAAAGCATGCCTGCCAAAAGGGACGCAGCTCGGGTTGTGTTTGAATCCGTTTGAATATGGAAGCGCCACCCAAACTTGTCAACAAGAACGGCTTCAAAAGAAGAACAAGCCTGCCCTAAGTGTGAGAGCAAGACAAAGAGAGCGAGAGAGAGAGAGAGAGAAAGAACAATAAAGCAAGAAACAACAACAAGAAAGAAGAACTGAAAGCAAGAAACAATGAGAGAGAGAGAGAGAGAGATGAGAACAACAAAAGCGGTAAACCAGTCCGCCTAGAGCATGGTGTGGAAACTTGTGTCTTTTAGGTACTGAGATAGATTTCGGGGTACCAACCAACGAAGAAGTGATACTGTCAGGCTTGGATGAGAATCAGCACAGTTTCCACAGCTATGGCCTGCAGAGCTTGCGAGCAAAACGGTGAATCACCGGAGTTCAGGGCACGCCGACATGGGTGTGTGTGTGTGTGCGTGTGCGCGTGTTTGTGGAGGATCCCCCCCAAAAACAAAGAAGGGGAACGTCGTAAGTTGTCCTTTTGGTTTTGATTTTCCATTAAAACCGAAAGGGGTGCCCTAAAACAGGACACACTCACGTGCGTGTTTCCTGAACCAGGTGGGACTCTCCCATTTAATTAATGGATGCTGCAAGTTTCATTGGCTGGCTTTTCCCTTTGCCCTTTTTCCAATCACGAAACCAGGGAAGCCAACTCGGGTCTCCCACGAAAAGGACGTTCCATGTGACCCCAGGAGGTCTGTTTCCTTTCAAAGCAGACGAAAAGGGATCCCCAATTCAAAGAAGCACATGGCTGCGGGTCAAGAAAAAAAGGTACCCAAAACGGGTTGCCCCCGAAAAATGGGAAACCTAGACTAAAGCCAGCGGTCCATATCCAGGTGGTTTAGTTTTGTCCCATGCCCATCTTGGTTTATGCACTCACGGTTTGGAACTGGCCTCAAAATCCTCACTTCCCGAGTTTCGTTTCGGACTTTGACCTTTTTGGGAAGACCATTCTCCCAGCCAGCGACCCCAATTTTTGAGCCTGGCTTACCTAGATGGGTGGCTTGCAAACACTGGTTGGACCATTTTGGTGGTGGATAACAAGTGCCGGGCTTTCTGTGCCCGTCTCCTTACAACGTCTTCGAATCCGCCATATAAAAATATTTGTCTCGCGGAGTCGTGAGGATGACGCTGCCATGGAGAAGGGCGACCCGCTGGATGAAGGCGGCATTGCTTTGACGGCCGTGCTGGGGAAAGCGGATGGATGATTTTTGCCTCGTGGGTTTTGGGTTGGGTTGGGACCCTGGAAATTTCGGAGGGGGCAGTTTGGGGATTTGTATCCCAGCTGTTCTCTCCAGAATTCCAAACCAAAGCACCTCAAGGGGCATGGTGCCTTTGTGTTTGCATCCCTTGATTGTTCGAGTTGTTGTCTGCAACCCGTCTTCTGGAATCCCGAAGGGACCCCACCTCTTCCCCACTTCCTCTTTTGCTCTATGCACCTGGGGCGCTGTGAGTTTTGGGGTCGCCACAAGACGCCTGTGAATCATTTTTCCTGGGATTCCCCATGGCCTTCCAGCGTGGCTTTTCTCTCGCGGTGTCGCGCAGGCGACATTTCGCTGATCCAGGCGCGCTCCGAACTCCGAACTCCGAACCGACGCGCACACCCAGGGAAAACGCTTGTCATTGGGCTCCGTTTCCGGGGCCCTCAAGTCTACGAAAAGAGCAGCCCTGCATACGGGGGCTGCCGAGATGTCAGCGGGGAATCCACTTTTGGGAGACGAGTGCGCCCAAGGCTCGTCTGCCAGTCAATTCATTGAAGGAGATACACAGTCTAGGTCCCCCAGTAGTTCTTTTTTGTTGTTGTTTTTTTTTGGGGAGGGTTCCCCTACTAAAATAGACTAGACTGAAAAACGTTGGTACCCTTATTCTAACCTCTCAAGTCTGGAGGCTAGCCATACACAGTGGCATTTCGAGGTCCACAGGGTCGTGATCAACAACACACCCTTTGGAGAGCCCAGAGCCACTCTTTGTCTCAAGGCATCCTTGTCACAAATGGACCCACGCCGGTGCTATAATCCAACTCCGTTTGTGGCTGTGGTCATGGCTTCCTGAGTAATGAGTAAGACTCCTGAACGTATGGCTGAAAAGACCAATATCATTCAAGGGTTGATACCCATCCCTCGAAGTGTTGTTTGCCCATGGCACAGCTGCGCTTGTGTTATCGCACGCAGGGAACCATCCAATCTCATCTCCAAGCTTGCTGGCGATCCGGTGAAGTCCTGTCAGGAATTCCTTTCGGGTTTGGGCTCTTTCTTGGAGGCTGATCCAGGGAAGCCCATACCCCTCGAAGGTTTGCAAAACTGTGTGTACCGTGGAACACACGAAGCAAACTCCGCATGCTTCAGCATTCCTTAAGCTTCCATCTTGTCAAGCCTCATCAAGTTATCAGTTTATGTAAAGCCCCACATCAACGGAGGGTTGCCCGCATAATTATTCCGTAATCTCTCATGCTGGGTGTCCTGTAGACTATTTAAAAGCAGAGAGCTCCCCGTCTTTTTCTCGCCGAGCTGCCCGCGTTTCTCCGAGAGTTTGGCGAGATCGATCCGAGTTCCATGCGCCAGGCCTCTCGACAGTCGAGCAGGTCGGTGTTTGTGTGGTCCAAAGGACTGGATCGCTGAAGGAAAACGAAATGCCAATGGGGCAACGTGGGGAGAAATGTCCCCGGGCGCCCGAAACTGCCTTTCGTTCAAAGCTGCGAGCGTCGCCGTACAAAACCCGTACAAAACCCGTACTTAAAGACCGTATAGAAGCATTTTCCCGGGCACCGGTTGAGGCGCTGCAGAACGTCTTCTACAAGCTCCAGACCTCCGAGACAGCCGCTGGCCAAAGGGATTTGATCCGATCGATCTGGCGGGGGGATCGGATCAAATTCCTCGGACGCGTTTTCAGCGCTGGGCTTCGCTGATCCCTTTAGGACCACAAAGGATGGACCTCAAAGGAAAGTGTCCCATCTTCCTTTAGAGCCAAAAAAAAGGGGGAAAATGAGCCAAACAAACAAGGTGAAAACCCTTTCTGGTTTTCAACTCTGGTCCCTTTAGAACCACAAGAAGACGGATGGACCTCAAAAGAAGACAGACCTACATTGATTGCTTTGTTCATGGTTGAGTGGGGAGCAAAAGCTGTAGGTTTCCGTGCATTCGGCCGATTTCAGGATTGGTCCAAGACGCGTGGAACAAAATCGGACGCTGTGCGGTGGGATTTGTTTGGCCAATGTTGAATCCCTTATCCATCTCTGAGGGTCTTTAGAGCAACCCTGACATATTTTGCAAAGAGCAGCCTTGTCCCTGACCGACCTCTAATTACACCCCAACCTCATGTTCGCATGCCACGCGGAAACAAGGAGAAATGAGCAACAACATCACCGGTTGGTGGCCCATTTTAGGGACCTCTTTAAGACCGCCGCATGCCAAGTCCTGGGGTGCCGGGATCCACAATGACACTTTGGAGCAAGCACCACGCTTAAGTGATCCAATCAGTGGCAAAGCCTTCAAAATTTTGAAGGGCACAGAACAAGAAGTTTCTCAAACCAAGGGCCCTTCAGCAACAAAAGCCACAGACCTGCAACCGCCTTTTCAATTTTCCCCTAATGCTAAACGGCCCCCTCTCCCCCCCAATACTAAGTGGGTCCCGCGGAAAAAGAATAAACAACAAGTTTCAGCAGGGGCCCCCCTGTTTGCCGCTGCTCCGGCTCCAAAGTCTTGCCCCCAACGGGGCCCAACACCCCGCCGCTCCCCGCCGCGCCGCGCCTCGGATCGCCCCTCGCCGGATCCGAGGCGGTGAATTGCAAGGAGCTGATGAAGTCCTTCGGCTGGGACACCACGGACGCCTTCACCCAGCACGATGCGCAGGAGAGCCGCAGATGGTTTTCGGCGCTGACTCCTCTTCCTTTTGTGGGCTGCCAGCAACCCTGCCCGACTTTTTGGGGCTGGTTTCCAGGGGAAACCAGAAGGCAAGCTATGACTCCCAGCCCGTTTTTTGGGGTTGGCTTGAAGTCACTTCCTGAGTTGGACTTTGAACTTTGGGGTTGGGACCATCTGGGCGTTAGGGGGCCAGTCCACTCCTTTGGGAGAGGCAAGGGCACACCACAGGGCAAGTTAGGACTTTTCATCGGCGCAGTTTGCCCAGGGACGTTAGGAGTTTATAACTTTTTGCCACCTGCCGGGTTTTCCGAACTCAGCCACAGAAAGGTGATGCACTTCTAGCAGGGCTTCGCAAATTTTTCGGCGCCGAGCCTCGGGAGTCCCGCCAAAGGGGCCCCTGGAAGCAAGACCTGCTGGCTTCTCATGGGTGCTCCGCTGCGATGTATGCGATAGGTTTGTGTCGTGACATGTTTAGATACAACTCTACTCTGCGTGTTTTGCGTACATTATACATATATATATATATATATACATATAATGCATGCATAGGCACACACACACACATATAGGGCTGTATGCACTTGCACGTGTAAAATGATGGTCTCCATTATATACCCCCAAACCACTACCGCAGGGGAAGATTGCGGCACATAGTCTTTGTAAAGCGGTTGTAGTTGTTAGATGCCCCATTTTGTCGGTTCTCAGATTGGGGGGCAGGTATGGGTTTATGATTATCCGGTAGAATGTCAGGCACGCATGTTTATGTTTCGTTTCTGCATTGCATTCTGCGGTGCCCCCAAAATGACGAATAGAACAGAACACTCATGTGTTCGCCCTTCTCCGCACAAAGGGCCGGAACATTGGCATATATATATATATATATACAGTTATATACACATAGCTATGCATGTAAGCCAATAGTCATGGAGCCCTTTAACACAAACTCAAGCGTATTCACGCAAGCAACTGTTGGCGAAGATATTGATAGTGCAGTGTGAGGGGATTCACTTTTAAATAAAACGAGGGGTTCAGACCACCCTTAGTGTTCCCATGTGGTTGTCTCTTTTTGAGTGTAGCCTTGTTTGTTGCGCTTTCAAATGGACACCCACAGGGAGCTGCATTTTTTTTGTGGAGGGGGGGGGGGGCTAAAAATGACACACCCATTTCCTTTTGGGGAAGCATTCGTTTTGTCAAGGGGCTCACGTTCTCCAACCTCTCAGGAGCTGAACCGGATTCTCTGTGACCGCTTGGAGGTGCCGGTGATGGGTTGGGGAAAGGTTCGAGCAAGTGCCTTACCTTCAAAGCGATATGCCCCAAGAATCCAGGAGTTACAAATTGGCTAGTTCAAAGAACCGGATCACGTTTTATCTCGTTCTCCTAGGTCCCCCAGTAGTGCCCTTTTGCACCTTTTTTGGGGGACTACAAAAAAAACAAAAACTACGGCAAAAAGGGTACCCCTATTCGAACCCCTCTACTGGGGGACCTCGTCTCGGATCCCACTTGCACTTCATCGCAGTTTTAAGAACCAACACGGTAGCAGCAACTCGTCCACAACTTCTGTTCAACCCCAAATCCAGGGTGTTGCTTATGGCGTGAACCTGCGGTCTTAGGTTGGGTGCTGGCAGAGAGATGATTTATTGGTTGAATAATATTGGTTGCTTCACTCGTCTTGGAATTTGTCTTGGTTCTGTTTGTGTTTTTCGTGAAATGTCTGTGGTTCAAAGATTTCTTTTTGTTGCTCGCATATGGGTGGCTTGTCTTTTTTAATGTTGGACCTCCCCAAACTGGCGCAACTTTGTTTGTTGGATTCCCCAGAAAAGCCACAGGTTCGGGGTATGCTCAAAAAGATGAGCCATGGGTTGGGGCAAAAAAGTGGCTTTACTAGACCAGGACCCCTGCCTTTCATTTTGAGGGGATGTCCGTTGGCCTGTTTGCCACATGGGCGGCTCGTCCTGTTTTGAGGTTCACCTTTTTTGTCTCTGGGTTTCAAAGAAAGGCGCTAAAGCAGCTAGAGGAAACCCTCGATTTCTCGCCGTTCGGGGTCCCTCCTCTGAATTCAGAGCTGACGAATGACCAGGAACAGATGAAGGGCACCAAGATGGATGGCTCCATCAAGCGGTTCCGGTCTCAGATGGTTCTGTCACCGATGGTTGCCAAGGAGCCCAAGAGGAAATCGATTTGCCGCGTTTTCGGAGGTTTTCAGAGGCCGAACGCAAGACCTTTGATTTAATTTGGCGCCCTTTTCGTGCACATGCAAATGGTGGAACTGGCGGAATGGGCAAGAAGCACCCAAGAAGTTGTCCATTTTGAGACACATGTCGAATGGATGTCGTGTGATCCGTGGCTTTAGCCCATGCAACTGAACCTCCCAAGTTCCCTTTAGTAACAAACACGGATCGACGGATCGAAGGATTACATTGACTCACCTGTCAGTGTGATGGCACTTCGTTGAAGCTCCATGTATTGAAGAGTTCAGATGTTGGCTCCTAGGAACTGGAATGAATCTGAACTGGAGTTAAGATTTGGAACCACGAGTCGCAGCGACGCACTGGGTGCAAAGCTACTAGGCCTTCACCAGGCCTGATAAAGGGTGTTAGAGGCTATGGCTATCTCATGGTGGCTTCTAGGCAGTTCTTCAAGGCCGACCTTTTGGATTCTTTGGTTGCCCAGCTCTGGCTCATGTTTAGTCGCGGCCTTTACAAGAGGAGGGTCCCCATGCAGGGTCTGGAGAGAAGGTTTCCATCATGTTGACCCAGGACTGAGAACCTCCAGGTAAAGTATGTTCGTCCGAGTTAAGAAGCGTTGCTTGGACTGTCCCCTATTTGCAAGGTCGCGCCCTCAGAGTTTGCCTTCGATCTGCGTTCAATCGGGCAGGGTCCAGAAATTCTCGAGCCGAAGCGGATCAACGTCAAAAACGGGAAGCGGCCGTTGGCGAACTCGCTGACCATAGGTGTCCCTTTTGGTGGTTTTGGTGGAAAAATAGATGGCGATTCCTGGTTTACCTCGTTGTTTAATCATCTACCAGGGCCAGCTATTGGCCGTAAAAGGATAGTCGCTGAGGCTATTCGAAGGCGAGATGGAGAACTATATCGAGTGCCTGGATGCGCGCTGGCTGCATCTGAGCATCTACATCGGGGCTTCGAAACCCGGGCGGTTTGACGTGGAAACAAGGCAACGCATTCCCCAAAGAGGCCCCTAAATGGATTGGGCTTTGAAGTGGGGGCCCCTCGATGTTGAACCTAGCCAGTAAACTGCGCAGCTTTCCTTTTGGGGGAATCCCCTGACCCGTGAAAGCTTTAAAAGGCCTTGTTTCTGCACGCGAGGTTTCCCAACGGGAAGTGTGGAATGGTGATTTTTTGTCGGGCCCTTTGGGGCCCCTTCAAACAAATTGCCTGGATCTTGGGACCGAGCACGGGCCTTTTTTTTTTTTGTGTGTGTGTGTGTGCGCGTGCGCAAGGCGGGTGAGCAGAGCGGCCTTCAATGCGTATTGCACCACCCCATTGGAATCAGGGTAATAAATCACCATGGGAAGCATTCCCATTTGCTGGGAAATATAATCTTAGTGGTTTTCCGCAATATATATATATATATGTATATATATATATACATATATATATATGGTCATAGGACCTTTTGATCAACCCCCCATATGTGGTAATGTTTTTGCCGAGTCCTCTGTTTGCGGGCAGGGAGTCTGTTTGCAAGAGCCCTGCAGCACTTTTGGGGACATGCTTGTTCAAAGATTCGTGGTCTCATAGGAGTGAGATTTGGTTTCTTACCATATTGTACTCTTCTGCGGCCAGTGTGTGACGGTTGATCAGTATTGGACCCAAATGAAAGTTGGGTTGTGACCGGAAAGCGCAGCTCAAGCAGCTTGGACTAGGTTGCTGTTGGAAAGAGTTTTTTCGGGTGTGCGGAGTGGGCCGGTGACTTTGGCCCTGTCTTGACAAGATTTGGGCCCATTGAATCGTGAGCCATTTGTTGGGATATCGAAACCAGAGCCGCCTGCTCAATGGTTATGCTTGGGGTGAAACATTGTTCGCCCAAAAAAAGCCGAAAGCAAGTGACTATCGTGTTGACCAATCTTGGGTGGGCTTCGTGTTTACGCCCGACACGGGGATCACTGATCACCTTGTTTCAGGCAATGCTATAGAATCCTTAAGGATTGACGCCCTTGACCCAAGGGGTTGGTCCCCTCGAGGATCATGTTATCCTCCGAGTAAACACAAGAAACACCATGTTAGATTAAGAGTACGGGACGATTTTGACTGGGACCTTTTCATCCCAATCGTCTTGGGGCTGGGATGTGTAATCAGGGATCTTTGTTAGTCGGCAACTTCACGGATCTTCGAAGCCTCGATGCTTCGACTTGAAAAGTGTTCAGGTCAACTTCACCTCCAAGAGAACAGAGACGCCCGGGCGGCCGAGTGAGCATGGGCCGGCAGTGCCAAGAGGATTTGGTGTTCAAGAGATATGTTTTTTGTTTTTGTTTTTTAATATATAAATATAAAGGTAGGACACATTTTCCCCTGTTGGTTTTGAAGGGAATCTATCACTACTGGAAATAGTTTGTATTTTTTCAGGGGACTTAAGCAAAGCTGGAGGGAATACAAGATAAAACTACGCCGGGAAAAAGAGGACTTTTGAGCCAGTTCAATTTGGAGTGTTTCCTGAAAATAAACTTACCCGTGTTTCGAAAGCCTAAGCCATAGCAATCGCTTGAGGGAGAAATGCCTTGAAAGCGGTTGCCCCTTTTTGAGGACCCCACAAAGGAACGCCAACCCTTAGACAATTCTCGTGGGTGTCATGTTCGGTGACCAAAGGAGGTGAAGAGATTCTTGCATTGATCGTTACGTTTGATGACTAGGTTATAGCGCACTTGTCGCCTCCACATCCTGCGGGCGCCTCCGTTCACCTTTTTGTGAACCCTTCGCATGCAATTTGGAAGACTCATTTCCTTTGGGGCCATTTAGCTTTACAGTTCGTGGCTGCCTTTGGCTTCCCAACGCCCCTCGCTCCCAGCTCTGTGGAACCTGTTGCTCTGGTGTTGGGTGGATTTCTTTTGTTGGCCGCAGATTGCCAGCGGTGTGGGTCTATGGGTCTCCCCCAAAATAGGGAAGCCATTTTGGGAGGATCAGCGCTATTGTTTCATGAGAAACAAAGCGCCGAGCACAGCGTCCATGTTTGGGTTTGACCTTCAAATCTCAGTGGTTCTTGATTGCTTTCATCACGTCAGCTGCTTGACCAGGCTTGAAGGGTGCAGTCATGTTGACTCTCGGTCAACAAGCCCCCTCCCTCCCCACCTCCCCAACCCGCACGCCGCTGTTTGTATCAATCAGGTCACCGAACAGGAATGCGTCAAACCATGAGGATGATTATTCAGGGATCCCTTGTTCGGGACCTACAGGCCAACTCCAACTACGCCCATTGACACGCCAGCCCTGAGCCTTATCGCCTCACGTTCTGGGGTCAATTCGCTGGATTTGGTGGGCGTCGCAAACAAATGGACCAGCCTCAAGCAAGCCGAGGGAGTACCACAGACTCACGGACTTGGAACCTGCCCTGCCGAGCAACCGCCCCAGCCGAACAGCCGAATACGTTGAACGCTTCTTGGGGAAACAGCCACCGATTCTCACCACCGATTCCCGCCAAGGGAATGAGATGCTTTGGGTCCAAATGGCAAAAGGACCAGCGCCGGGCCTGAGGTTCTACGACATTCAGCTGAACATCAAGAGCGAGCGGGGCCACGATCTGCAGACCATCGAGGAGCATCGGACGAGTCAAACTGGAATGTGCATGTCGTGCATTTGGCCGTGTCTGAAAGTGGTATCCAAAAGTAATCGATGTTCCTTGGCTTGCCCTTTCATGTCAACCAGGCGGGGGGTATAATATAGCCCCACAAACCCTAAACATGTGTTGTTGCCTTTTGGCGGCTATTTGAAAGCAAGCAAAACCGGGGCAAGCTCACCAAACAAGGAACCACATTTATTCGCTTTGAAATAAGTAGACCGCCAATCTGGCGCAAGTCCTTTCTGTTTGGAGTTCGTGGGGCGCTCGGAAGGGGTCCAACATCAACTGGTAGGGAAACACGAAACCTGTGCAAAGCGTAATGCTTTTCTGGATTCACATATGGGTGTGTGGGTGTGTGGGTGTTTTTGTGGGTAGCCTTAGTTTCTGTGGATTTAAAGGGAGACCCAAAGGAGAATGGAAGCCATGTTGAGGGGTTGAACGTAAAAGGGAAACAAAACAATGCGAATCCCTTGGTTTCCCTTTTGAACATCACCCCAAGAGTTTCTCACTTTCAGCTTGTCCAAAAGATCACCCAAAGTGAGGAAACCAAGTCAATGCCGATCAGTCTCTCTTGCCCTATATAAACCACCTGACTGCCCTTTGGCCTCACCTGTCACATGCTCTGACGAGTGAGATTTCTTGAATGTTCAACGCACTTGATGAACATGCTTGGTAGGGCAACTGGGCTGGGTTCCCTTGTAACCATCATTATCACCTTGTTACCAAGTGGATTGAACATCCTTTTGCACCTCCCTCCTTTTGCCTTGCCATGAAATCACCTACTTGAGTATCCAGGTCCTCGATGCCTCTTGTGATGAGGAGGAGGAGGATATTCGTCATTTGATCAATTCTACGTTCCAGATTAACATGAACCGCAAAGACGTTGCATTTGTTTGCAGACTCTCGTTGGGGAGGGTAGGACCCATTTTGGAAGGTTCCATGCGAGTTTGCAAAGGAGTATGCCTCAGCTACAGTTGAGCGACACACAAGGTGAATACTACTTTACTGTAGTGAAGGCAATGACATTAGGTACACTTGCGCAAACACTGATATATACACCAGCCAGCGTTCCTCGGGCAGTGGAAACCCCCTCAGATTGGATTCGAAAGGAGTCTCTGCGAGAATTCACGGCAGACGAGATGCTGGATGGGGACAACATGTACGAGGCACGGAGTGTCGCTTTTGGGTGGCCATGGGTCAAAATCCCGTACCCCCCAGTGAACATCCCAATCCCCACTAAAATAGGTTCTAAAATGGGGTGGTGAATTCACCTACCCCAAAATGGTACCATTGATTTTGACCCCACAGCCATTTGACTATGACTCATGTATGTTGCAGGATTGCTAAGACCAAACCTCGGGAAGAAAAAAAAGCCGGGCTCAAGGGATGGCTTTCTTTTGTGCTTTCGCGATCGGGTCACCGACCGGGCACGGCGTTCGCGGAGGAAAAGAAACATGAAAGCATACAATGCGTAAATCATCAAAGTGAAGGGCGAGAGGAAAGTAAGGGGGGAATGGTGACTCTTTTTCAAATCAGTGTAGGCATCAATGATTTTCTCTCCCTTGGTTTCGTTCTGGGCATCAACCGTTTTTGATTTGTTCTAAGAATCTAGGTCTCCCAGCTAGGTGCCCTTTTACCGTTTCTTTTTTGGGGGAGGGTTCCCCTACTATAGACGTCCAAAAAAAAATTGGCACCAACTTATTCTAACCTCTCCTCTGGAGGACCTAGGAATCTTCGGGCCAAAGGCCTTTTTGAGGTCCAAGCGCCTTGAGGCCGAGGGCCATGGCAAGCAGCGGGCAAAGAAGGCGGAGTTGGGACGGGCAGATGCGTGCAACTAGGTGAACGGTAACTTGGTGACTCCCAGCCATCCAGCTCCTTTGGATGTTTACCCCGCCTCCAACTAACATAGCACCAGACACGGGGTCCCTTGAAGAGGAAACAAATCTTCCAGGTAGTCTCCCAGAGGTGCCATGTTAGTGGAAGGGAGGGTAGATGTTTTTGGTTGGTTTGGTGGGGGTTTTCCATTTAGCCCAGAGTTAAACTTTTGGCAGGGGATCTGATTGCCCAGGCAAGGGTTTGGAGGTAAGCAGGGTTTTGGTTGACTACATATAAGGGGTTGCGACCTATTTTGTGGCAAGCGTTCCCCCACTAGATGGATCCAGGTGTCCTCTAGCTTTTGGTTTATGGGCCAACACACCAAGGCGGAAATCAAACCGCCGGGTCCCCCAACCGGCAATTTGCACATGGGCAGATCCCCAAGCTCAAGGCCTCCAGAAGGGAGACCAAACAGCCGCAAGGCCTCAGAAAGGCGATTTTTTTGCGCTCAGCGCTCAGGTCCCAAGCTTTGAACGGCTCATAGCGTTTACGTATTGGCCTCTCTCGAATCCCCCATGAACGGTGCGGACCCCCACTAGATTGACCGATTGTTCGATGCTCTCAAGGAATTGAATGCATGGAACCATGTGTTGCTAACCATGGCCCACAGAAGCGCTGAGGCTAGCAGTTCCCTTTCTAGTTCCCTTTGGTTGGTTTCCCTTGGTGTCGGAATCTAGTCACTAGCCCCGTTTAAAAAACAAAAAAAGGTTTTGGGTTCGTGGACTCGGTAGAAAGAACTTACGGTGCTCCAGCACCCCCCCCCCCCAACAACTGCTTTTTGGAAAGTGCTTTGCGAAAGGGAAACAAAAAGAACACAAACAAAACAGTTGGGGACAAGGGAAGTCGCTGCTTGTGCAACCCTTAAAGTCAGTGATTAACTAGGTCCCCCAGTAGTGCCCTTTTACCCTTTTCAAAGTCAGTGATTTTGGACATGGGAAAAGTCAGTTGTGAGGGGGTGCCGGCCACGGTCCACCGGCGCACATGTTCCGAGTGTCGAGGGACACCTTGCTGGTAGCCACCTTTATTTGTGGTTTTAAAGGGAAGCCCAAAGGACAACTTCCCCCCACTATTTTGGCCCCCCCCGAAAAAAAAAAAAAGGAAAAAAAAAAAAAAACGAAAAAAACAGAAAAAACAACGCCAACATGCGGGGATCAATCCACAGATCAGAGGAAGCAGCAAGTTTACATCGCGTATCAATTGCAGTGCCTGGCACGAAGCACATAGTCCGGCTGCCGCCCTTTCCAGAGCTCCCCAGAAAGCAAGAGATCCAACACTTCACGCAGATCCACCTAGGCCCCCCAGCTAGGTGCCGTTTCTTTTACCGTTTCTTTTTTGGGGCGGGGGTTACAGAAAAAAGTTGGTACCCTTTGTCTAACCTCTCCATTCAAAAACCTAGCCACAAACAATCCAACAACCGGAAGGGGTCTCTTTTTGCCACCTTTTGCGAGAAAATTGGCGACCCCCTCAAAAAGGAATCCTTCACTGCAAGGGGGTCGATCATTTTTTCACGAAAGCTGGTAAAAAGACCCCCTTGACAACCGGAAGGTAGCCATTCAATCATGAAAGCCTTCATCAATCGACACCAGTCGGATCTTGTCAAAATACGTTAACGAGTATGAAGGACCAAACGTGTTATGGCAATCCTTCTGCAGGAACCCTTTTATTGGATGTCTAGCCCAAGAAAGGATCCAGGGTGTTTCCTGAAATAGAGCGCACCCTTTTGATTTTACAGTCAATCCAAATGGCGGGGGGGCTTTGTTTGGAAATGCCACTGCGAAAGGTCAGAGGTTGCAATCGCTTTGCGGTTGCCAACCAGGTTCTCAACTGCTTTAGATTTTGTGCACTGCTGGCAGCCCCAGCTTGAATGGCCACCTTTTGTTCCCAACCACACTCCCATTCCTTCGAATACGGAGTCAAAACACAGACCCACAAAATATCGATGGCTATGGGTCAAGTCAAAACCCCGTACCCCGAGTGAACATCCCAATCCCCACTAAAATGGAAAAGCGCCTCGTTTTTGAACGCTTGTTTCGGCTCGTTTTTGAACGCGGGCAAGTTCTCGTTTTTGAACGCGCTTTTGTTCAAGCGGGTGTGAGCCAAAAGCCCCGAGCGCCCCTTTACTTGGTCTGCTACAACTTCTGGCATCCGGGCTGGGGCAGTTGCCTTTTCAATCACACGTTGTCCGGATCTTAGGCAGCTGTAACATTCGAGCAAGCAAGACCATCGGCTCCTAACACGTGGCTTCAGATTGTTGATATCCTTTTCGCCTAGGATAGGACTCGTGGAGTGTGTTGGCTCAAGAGCAGTTTGCTGGTGTTAGATTCTTGGGTTCTCAAGGGTCGATTGGTTGAGGTAAGCACTTGTGTTTTGAGTAACAATTGTAGTTCAAAGGGCTTCTTTGTGAAGTTGGTTTCAAAAGCACATTTGGGCTTGTTGGGCCCGTTGGGCCCGTTGGGCCCGTTGGGCACGTTGGGTCGGGCCTGTTGAGCTTGTTTCGTTGAGCTTTTTGGCGCGTTGCCCGTCGGGCCCGTCAGGCCCGTTGCGCCTGTTGGGTTTGGTTGGGTCCGTTGGGCGCGTTGAGCCCGTTGGGGATCCGCCGAGCGCGTTGGGCCGGTTGGGCCAACGGGCCGGTTGGGCTGGCCCGTTGAGCCTAACGGGTGTGTTGGGCCCGTTGGGCCCTAGGCCCGTGGGAATCTTGGGCCCGTTGAGTTCTTGAGCGCGTTGGGTTCGTTGAGCCCGTTGGGCCCGTCAGGCCCGTTGCGCCTGTTGGGCTTGTTGGGTTTGGTTGGGTCCGTTGGGCGCGTTGAGCCCGTTGGGGATCCGCCGTGCGCGTTGGGCCGGTTGGTCCAACGGGCCGGTTGGGCTGGCCCGTTGAGCCTAACGGGTGTGTTGGGCCCGTTGGGCCCTAGGCCCGTGGGAAGCTTGGGCCCGTTGAGTTCTTGAGCGCGTTGGGTTCGTTGAGCCCGTTGGGGATCCGCCGTGCGCGTTGGGCCGGTTGGGCTGGCCCGTTGAGCCTAACGGGTGTGTTGGGCCCGTTGGGCCCTAGGCCCGTGGGAAGCTTGGGCCCGTTGAGTTCTTGAGCGCGTTGGGTTCGTTGAGCCCGTTGGCTCGTTGAGCTCATCAAGCGCGTTGGGCCCGTTTCATGAACTGACCGGTTTAACACATGGGTTCTGACTGCACTAAGTGCTGACCTGTTTAACGCTCGGGTCCTGAAGTGACGGATTTTGTGCTGCCCAAAGTGACCTGTGGACCCCCATCCCCCCCATCCCCCCCATCCCAACCCATCCCATATATGTTCTTGCATGTGTTCGAAAATGAGCTGCGGATGATGTGTTCGAAAATGATCCCGGCGCATGTGTTCGAACATGAGCCGAACTCTGTGTTCGAAAATGATCCCCCTCGTATGGAAGGAAAGTATATAGGTTCTAAAATGGGTGGTAAATTCACCTACCCCACATGAAATCCCAGTGCTGACCGGCCAGATGGCACCAAGCTTCCTGTTACTTGGGTCGAGCTCTCAGGGCATCCGCTTTGTGACCTTCCCGCCGGTGCTGAATCTGCAGCTGAAGCGCTTCCACTTCGACATGGAGCGGATGGACATGGCCTGGGGCCCAACGGGGTTCAACCCACCCTCGCCGGGGTTGTTGGCGTGTCATTATTCTCATTTTTGGAGCCCATGGACACCCATCAAAGGCTTTTGCAGGTGGGTTTGGGCGCGTCCTTCTTCATGTTTGGACCCCCAAAAGGGGGACTACCCCAAAAATGGGACTTCGTGTTGTCCTTGTGATATATTTTTTGTTCCAGTCCCCCTATTTGGCACGTCCAGTTCGAAGCGGCTCACCTTGCCCTTGGACATCTCACATGCTTCCGCAACCATGCCGTTTCTTGCATGAGCCTCCACGACCGAAAGATGATATATATATATATATATGTGTATATATATACATAATATTGACCCAAATCATTTTCCCATTTTTTTCGGGCAGGGTTCCCTTTAAACTCTACCCTTCCCAACAAAGGATGCCCGTTTTCTTCCATGGACATGTTTTTTAGGTCAACGCTGCCTCGTTTCCCCAGCCTCGGGTAATCCAATGAACTTTGAGGTTTATGAACCGGCTTTGGCAGGGGGTGATGGACTAGGTCCCCCAGTAGCGCCCTTTGACCAACTTTTTTGTGGGAGGGTTCCCCTACCAAAATTGACAAAACCGAAAACAATCGGGTACCCAAATTCTAACCTCTCTACTGGAGTTACTGGAGGACCTAGTGGAGCACCCCATCCCAACAAGCCGCGAAACTCATCCAACAAGCCGCTCCAAACCGCCCAGCCCGCTTGGAGGTGAAGCTGAACAGCCGCTTCGAGTTCCCCCGGCGCTTGGATCTCTCCCAGTTCGCGCCCGGCGCGGGGTCCAGACCTCAGGGGAGGTCTGGTGCTTGGATCGAGGGTCTAGGTCTCACGTCCCCGAGTTGCTGGACTTCAGGCTTGTTGGAAGGACACCCCTTCTTGTGTGGTAAGCAACAAGAAGTTCTCTTCCGAAGTTCGGATGAGTTTGTGTGCCAAGTTTAGTTTGTGACATGAGTTGCTGGTCTGCATACATGTTTAAGGCACGGGGCGTTCCTTTTTTTTTAATAATTATTATTATGAGTCCGACGCGGTGCCAGTCATGACCATTCCAATAGATATGTTAAGCAACATGCAGGGAGCAGCACCACAGACATGATTGAACAATGCGCATGCTGGAGTGGCAAATGGAAGGCGACAAATCCTGAGTTGTGCCGAAGATCAGGAGGAAAGGACCATGGGCCGCTGTTTGCAAACGTCTTTTGGTCCACCCTTTTGTCCTTTTGTGCTGTGATGTCGCTGCCTTCTTTGGAATGGATGTCCATTTACTCCAACCTACAAAAACACAAGAGCTAAGGAATGCATGTAAAGTGAAGTCCTTTGGGGGTCTCAAACTGGGTTCGTGCCTCTTGGTTCCAATTCGTGCTTTCTTTGGGGGAGGCCAGAAACCACATTGACCCTCATCACCCGTAATTGGTGGTTTGGATTGGTTTGGGGTTTTGAACCCCTTGCTTAGAATGGGAGACCATCCCCCCTAACCACCAACCCAAACCGCCGCTTAGAGGCAAACTGACCCCATCTTCTTCTGGAGTCAGCTCGCCTCATTCTCAGTAGCCGCAGGCACTACCAGCTACATTCCGTGGTGGTGCACAGCGGAGACGTGAACAGCCCAAAGCCCAGCTTCTTTTTTCCCTTAAACCGCTTGCTCGACGGATAGATGTCACTAATGGGGACCCTGGTATTGGTAAACCTAACATATTAATTTCAACAGCATGTCCTTGGTATGAGTAAGCCTGGCATTTTGTTTAGTGCAGATTCCGCATGCTTCCGTTTAGTGATTGAGAGTACTTTGCCTAGTAGACAATATGCTTCACTGTTGCTGAGTACGGTGAATACGCAAGGCCAAACCGTGTTGCTGCAAATGTCCCTTTTTCGCTCACGGGAAATATGTGGGGCATCCGTGTCAGGAACTTGTCTTTTCTTGCTTGCGTTTTCGACGGTGCAGAATCTTCGTCACGCTATGGTTGCTGTTCCTCGGCATGGATTCGGAGTTCTGTCGTGTTCTGTTTTGCCACTCTTTTGGTTAACATGTCGAGCGTTGCAATGGTCCGGGGTTTTGGAGGTTGGGGAGGACATGCTGTAGCCCATGCTATTGACATGGGGCCTGCTTTTCCCCCCAGAGATGGTCATTTTCAGCCCCATACCTCGATATGATACCAGATGAGAAGGCAATTGATGCTGGCCGTTTGATTGGCCCGGCCAGCGGTTACAACTGATTTCGTCTTGCTTCATCGCACATCCCATCAACTTTAGATGGTGATAAGAAGATAAGGAATGGCTCTTTCCTGCCTCTTTCCCCCAACCTTCATGACACCTTAGGAAATGGAATCAAAGACTAAAGCCTGCGTAGCCCCGGCTGTTTAATTTTGAGCCACTCCCACATATATATCATATATCATACATATATATATATATATCTATCTAATCGTGAAACCTTGAAAGATAGACGGGTACGAGGTTTGAAAGCTGAGCCTCTTCCTCGGCCATCCCCAATTACTGTACTCACTTCCTGAGTTCCCGGACTTTAACCTTCGTGGGAAGACCATTTGGCTGTGGGTCAACACCACTGGTACCATTTTGGGGTAGGTGAATTCACCACCCATTTTAGAACCTATTTTAGTGGAGATTGGGATGTTCACTGGGGGTACGGGATTTTGACCCATGGCCATTTTGCTGGTAAACAAACAGTTCAGACTTTTTTTGGGGCAGTCCACTCAGGAAGTGAAGATTCTGCAATAGAAAAAGAGAGACTTTGGGATGGAGGGTGGAGAGGTCTCCGGTTAGCTCGCTCTACAAACCGTTGCAAACCAACCAAAGCTGAGAGGAATGATGGAGCATCTTTCAACATCCCAATCCTATCAACAATCCAAGAAAAAAAATCGAGTGAGAGGAAATGGCATACAAAAAAAACAGAGTTAGTGTGTTCGAGCAGAAAGGAAGGTGAGTGAGAGAGATATGGACTGGATATGACTGGGAATGGCTTACAGGCGGTGACCAAGGGAAGAGAGGTGACGCAGTCCATTCCTTCCAGTCCATCCCTTTCCTATCTCTTGGTATCTTCGCCCGGGTAAGCCTCAAATAGGAGCGTAGGAAAACTTACCGCTCATTCAAAGTCAAGATGCCCATGCTATTCCACACCAGTCGACATGTTGCGGGCGGGTCAAATGCAGAAAGGTCTATCAACTTTCTCAGTTGCCCAATGGGAGTCAACTGTTGACCTTTTGGTGTAGCACTATTGATCCTTCTTGATTCATGGCACGAGGAGGCGAACCTTTTGGTTTTGGAGACAGACTAAATACACCTTCTGGTCAGATCAGCAACAAGGAGGGTTCTTTTCTTGGGGGAAGCTCGTATTTTGAGTTGGTGATATACCCTGAGGGTCCTGCAAAGCAAATGGACGGAGCAATTCGGGCCGAAAAACGGGGCACGGGTCATCCATGCCAAAGGAGTACAGGAGCTGGATATCGAAAAAGATGCAATGAGGATGAACCTTGACTGCTATTGGGTTGGATCTTTAGACTTTAACTTTTTGGTTGAAATCAAGTTGGGTTTTCCACTAAACCCCCCCAAAAAGTTATTCACTTTTTGCAGGGGGGTCGTTGCAGCAACCAAGGAACCAAATCCACTTCGCGGCAGTTGGGAGGGATGACAAAGACTGGGACAATCCACCCACTAACTTATCTTTCGTGCATTTTGCCAAGGGATGTCAGGACTTTAACTTTTTGCCAACCAAGGGGGTTTCCGTATTAAACCACTAAAAGTTAAACTTTTAGCAGGGGAGCAGAAAGCAACCGAGTTATGCATGTTTTTGTCTAGTCAGGGCTCAAACTCATCGCCGCATGTATCGTGAACACCCGCCTTTCTCTCAGGTGGCCACTACTATGCCTACATCAGGCAGCTGATCTTCGGTGCGACTCACTTTGGCAGCCTATAGTCTAGCTCCTGCTCTTACTGAAGCAAGCCAAAGTTTCAGTCAGCCTGCACAGGCCATTTAAACAGTCTATGCATGTCACAGTGGTTGCTTGTTACACCCAGCGTGGTAAATCGTCTGTGAAGATTTGGTGAACATGTGGATTGAACCCAAGCTTCATGCGTTTTGTGACATCGCAGGTGGGTTCAATCCGCGCCCGTTGGTTGCCAATTCAGAGTGAACATCCTTTTGGCACGAGTTCTGTGTGTGGGTGTTTTGGTGCTAGAAATTAGGTTGTCCTTCCTGTACGTCGTGCTTGGTTCCCATGCAACATATGTATTTTGCATTGCACACCCCCGGTGCATCGATGCGTCAGAGACATGTGCTCAGAGACATGTCAATTTCTCAGACCAAAAGAATGGTTGGTAACTTGTCGTTCTTTCCAGACAACTTAGGGTGGTTCCCAGCCATCCACTTAGGTTTTGAGTTGTTTATATTTGGTTGAGTGATGAGTGGTTGTTTTTTCCACTTAACCCACTCAAAGATAGACTTTTAGCAGGGGATCTGAGGACAGCCCAGTAGAACTATAGTTTGGACTTGTGTTGACGCCGAGGGGTGAGCTTTTTTTAAGGCAAGAATTGGCCCTTTGAGTGGCCACTAGCGCCCGCCTCTCGCACGTTGCCTCCGTGTTTAGTCCTTTGAGGTCCCGTTTCTGTTTTTGTTTATGTTTGAGAAGAGCATTGAACTGGGAATCACACCACACACCTGGACATGTTTGACCACCTGTGCCAATCTGGAAGTGGGTCCTTTCCAACACAGAGGGGCAGGCTGTGTTTGTGAAGAATGATATTTGCCCTCGCAACTAAGCTGGTTTAGCGCACGTGGAAAGAGAGCCTGGCATGCCGTTAGTCATGGACCCATCAAGGAGGCTATGGGCGTTGCAAAGAAAGACCTGGGAAGAGCCTTGAGGCTGGATTTTGGTTTTGAACAGCCTTGGGCGCAATGTGTTGACAGGCCAAACCTGGATGAGCGGTGGGTGAAGTTCGACGATGACAATGCAGCCTGGACTTATCCGATGCCTGGAAATGGAGGTCCCAAGATCTACTCTTATTGCTGGCCAGATGGGACTACTGTTTGTGACCTGTGCACCAAATTCTGGTTTTTCAAGACACCTCACCTACGCCAGATTGAGGGCGGTCCTTGCAAGGCTACCTTTCAACACATCCACACCACCAGGTGATGAATGTATAGAAGTGGGGAACCGGGGCGAAATAAACGGACCCCTAAGGGGAACTTTTTCAGGGGATCTTGTGAAAGCAGGGGCGCTAAGCGGGGCAAAGCTGAGATGAACCTTGGTCGATGGTTCAACCACCATTCAGTACCAGCCATCCTGTTCCTTAGGATTTTAGTGTTTTTTTTGGTTAGTTGGCTTAGTGGTGGTGGTTTCTCCGTCAGATCCCAGCTGTGCCAGTGGGATTGCGACGGCTTCCAGGATCCAAACGCTTTACGAGTTGAACAGGGAATCAGCGTGAAGCTTGATCCGGGATTGATTTTGAAAGCCCAGAGGCGCATCGATCTCAATGCCCAATGGTCTTGATACCAAATCGCCCATTTGTTCAATGGAAATCGACAAATCAAACAGGCTTGGGTGTTCGGCCAAGTTAGAAAGTTGCTGGTAACCTAGGTTACCCACTTACAAGTACTGGGGTCAACCTTGGGGAGCAAAAAACCCGTGTCTAACCACTTACCAACGCGAATCGAAGACTCAAGTGGGGAACAAGCCGTTGATTGATGGCTTCCTTTGGGAATGTCCGGCACCGCGAGAATCCGATGCACCAATGCAAATCGATCGCCCCCAATCTGCAAAGCTTCGAGATATGCACAGGCAATACTCCAGTTGCGTCAGCTGCTCCCAAAAACGTCGAATTGCCAAGATGCAGTTTCCTGCACCGAGAGGGGCCATCCAGCATCATCCAGCCTCTTTTTGTGAACCTCAACATTTATCCTTCCGGCTAAACGTGCAAGAAATCCACCAAATTGGGAGGAGGGGGGAACCCAAGGGAGCACCCTTGAAAAGTTGCGGAGTTTCAAGGGCCCTCGGGTCGTCCCAGATTTTACTGGGAGCGCAAAACCGACTATTTCTGACTAAGCATGGATCACTACCCGGGCACATAGTGCTTGAGAGCCTAACGTTCACCCAGAATTCCACCAGGCAGGTTGATACTGTTGTCACGAAAAGGGAGGATCCCCTCTCAAATAGAACACCCTGTTGATTGACGTTGGGCGGGTTGGGGCAGAGGTGGTATTTTATACAATGAATAATTAAGCCGGTTTTCTTCCTGCATGTGTTTACAGACATGTAACCCAAAGGGAAGCTTCATTTCGCAAAAGGAGATTCCTCTACCAAAAGATTGTTGGGTGCATTTGGGTGCCATAGTACAGTTAGATGTGGTTTCGAAATAAGCTCAGGTGATATCCCCAACAGCATGCGGTGCTCTTTTTGGTGCTCGCACCACCCCGCAGCACTCGCAGAACCTCGTGGATCCCTGGTGGAACCCTGGTGGAACCGTGGTGGAACTCTGGTGGAACGCTGGTGGAACCCTCGTGGAACCCTCGTGGAACCTTCATGGAACCTTACCTCAGGGCCGCCCCGGACCATCCCGGAGCCTATCTGGGCTGAGACCCCAAAGCTTTCAGCTGTTGGGGGAAAAAGGAAAAAAAGGCAGAAAGCAAAAAACAGTTCTCGTCGATTCGGCCAAGGTGACCTTTTGTAGCGACTTCGCCGCGGTGGAGGACAACTTTGGAGGCCGTGGCAACCCACGGGTGTCGTACTTTTGAACAAACACGCCAAGATGTGTATACCACCTGCTTGTGACAAGTAATACCATCTTCAATTTTTGGTTTTGGACATATACAGTCCCCTTTCCACTTGAGGTTTGTTAGAACGCCTGTGGTTTATTGGGGTTCCCCAAGCCTTATGTTTCTGGGAGCCGTTGCCATCCCTCGTGTTTTGGGATTGAGGTGTTGATCTTACCAGCCCAGAGGCTCCTGGGGCTTATGGAAGACCCGACCCCTCCATGAGACACCCCACCAGGTTGTTTGAAGGCCCTACATCAATCGGGAGCCTCGGGGAGTGACACAAGGCAGGAAGGCCATTGGCATGGCTTCGGACAAAACAGGCAATAGTCTATTTGTGTATTCTAATGTCACCTTGCCCATTTCGCATGGTTGTTGTTGGGAAACATTTTACATGTTTGCTTATTGTGGTTTAGTGGTTGAAATCCAAATCCACTTTGCTAAAATTTAATTTGCTGCTCCCCGCCCAACGTCTACTAAGTTCGAGTACTGATTGGGCACTGCAAGGTTTACGGAATGGGGTTCCTCACATGGGGACACGAAATTTTTCGAGCAACGCCATGCCCGACTCGCTAGAATTCCCATATGGCTATGGGTCAAAATTAGACCACCAGGGCACCGCAATTTTTAGTCCTTGGTTCCAGTACCCCGGGTAACCCATTTTGGGCCTTTTGCGTATCCATTTTTGACCCACACCCATATCCCCCCCCCCTTCAGGGGGCCGCATTTGGGTGAAGGTCGTGCTTCGGCGAATCCATCCTTGGGGTCCCGTCCAAGTTTCCACAAGCGGTGTCTAGGGACGCAGGCAACCCCGAAATTCGCTCAATGTGTTGCAGGCCAATAGTTCCTTCGAGTTTTAAATGGCGGAACCTTTGAAAGGCCCTCAGAAAAATCTACAGGGTCCAAGAAGTTTTCATGGGTGTTTCAACTGAGGGGATAGATTCTAATGGTGCCTATTGCCGTGGCCTTGCCTTTTTCCTTCTTCTTTGTAGGGTTGCAGGTGAGCGACTGACAATATCGCTGGTAGGATATCATTGGTTTGGGGAGGACGAGAAGGGTGGACGACTCAAGGAACCCACATAAGTCAGGGGGTGGGCCCAACATTTGCCACATCCTTGGGTAGAAACATTCGTAGCGGTGTCCCCATGGAGTAGGGTACTTGGGTGTTCGGCCAAGTTGGTAAGTTGTTGGCAATCTGGGGTATAACCCACTTTCAAATAATCCCACGGGGGGTTAACCTTGTTATTACAGGGGGAAAAAACCCAACTGGCTCACCGCTTCCTAGCTTGGTGAATCGAACACCCAAGCACCCTTTCCAAAGGGCAGCCACGGGAGGCCACTGTACATTGGTTTCACTTCACGACAACTTTGGTATCCCAAGGTTAATGTTCAACATATCAGCAGACACGCGCAATTCAGGGAACAGAAAGGAGTTCTCCCTACCTGAATTTCTGGACTTGAAACCTTTTCGAAAAACCAGCTTGGCAACTAGAAAGCTCAGACTTGTTGTGGCCAGTCCATCGGCTGGTTTTGCATTTGAGCAAATCCACTAGCCATCTTCGGAACGCTTGTTTTGCATGCTTCGAGGCTTGGAAGTTTGTCGCAGCCATTTGGCTTGGCCAATAGTATTGGTGCTGTTTCCAACTTTTTGGCATGATGGAGACAGACTCGGACACCCAGACGCATGAGTCCAGCCTTCTGCCCGGCGATTTGAGAGAGGTGCAGAGGGACATTGCGGTGACGGTGCAATCTGAGATGATGCTCTTCGAGTCGCTGCTGGGCACATCCATTGACGCCTCTAGCTTCCGTGAGCGGATACAAGGGGCATGGAGCATGGTCGGGGTGGTTTCAGCACTGATTCTCACCATGGATCAGTACAATGAGGTTGTGACCTGCCCAGAAGAGGTGTCATCCCATGTCTCCTTTTGTCAGGATGTGCATCCTTTGCTCTCGGCGTGTTCGACCGTTTTTGCTGCCTGTTCGGTCTTGCTGTCGATGATGCTTTACGTGGAGATGAGCTTCGTGCCAGATGAGTTTTTGGGCCCCTGGATGCAGAAGCTGTCCTGGGCTGTGGAGGCGCCCGTACATGCCTTCATCATCTCCATGTCTGCCTGGGTCGCGGATTTTCTCTGGCGAGGAGTGCTGAACTATGGCCATCTCGGCTGGGTGGTGGCAGCAATCCTCTTCCTCGCCAGTTTTGGGGTTCTGTATCTGCGGCTGAAGCTGAAAGCGATGACCAACAAGTTCTTGCTTCAAGCAGCTGCTGCGGAGAAGGGCAGATGATCAGCGCCTAAATCGCAATGACGATCTGTGGCACAAGAGCCTAGATGTGCAATGTTCCCCGAGCAGCATGCGTGAAAAAAGATAATGTTTGAGTGAGCTTAGCTCCAACACAACTCAAGAGGGAATGCATGGGATTAATCCACGACTCAAGGAAACATCGCAATTTTAGGCTTTTAGCTTAGATGGTGGCAAATTTTCCGGGAGGATAATGTTTACACCCATGTGTTACATGTTTCTGTGAGCGTCAGAGAAGTTGATACCTTACTGGATTGGGCAACTCCAGTGCGCTCCGCGCCCTTGCCCGCTTGTTGCATCTTTCAACTCTGCTGATTCATATGCTCTTTCAACCAGTGCAAACCCACACACAAGCAAGCAAGCCAGCAAACGAAGCCAGCACACACATGCAAAACAACAAACAAACAAACAAACAAACAAACAAACAAACAAACAAATAATCGAACGAACAAACAAGCAAGCAAACAAACAAACCATCACACACACACAAACGCATAAGCTATATAGCAAGCGAGCAAGCAAGCAAGCAAGCAAGCAAGCAAGCAAGCAAGCAAGCAAGCAACCAAACAGGCAGGCAGGCAGGCAGGCAGGCAGGCAGGCAGGCAGGGAAGCAAGAAAACCATCAACGAAAACAAACATAGTTGCAACTTAATAATACTACATGCAAACGATCAAACAACGAACCAACACAAAGACAGTGCAAACACACACACACACACGCGCACACGGCAGAGCCACACACAGGTGTAACATAATATGACTCACAGACACATGTTTGTTTGTTTTTGTTTTGTTTTTATTATTATTTTATTTAAAAATAAAAAAAGAAAAAAAATGTGCCTTTGGTTTGCACTTCAGGCTGCGATCTCAATACCTGCAACTACTTTGATCGCAGTCCCGGAGAGCTGAGACATGCCCGGGCCCTCGAGCGGCAAATCGGTTCGGAGAGGTCACTCCCCGAGTTCCGTTTCGGACTTTCGAGTCGATTTTTTTGGGGGTTTGGACGAGTTTAGTGAGTTTAGTGAGTTTAGTTGTTTGTTTGGTTACTTTTGTGGGTGATCCACTCGATCGGAAGTGATATTAATGTGTGGCACAGACAACATGGTACAAACCACCGTGCATTTTGTCACAACCAAAACTGGCACAACATTGGATGCCACAAACAAACTGGCACCTTGACAAAGAAATACTTCGCGGCATGTTGCGATCGAGTTCCCCACTTCCGAGGCGCAAGAGACAGATCGCAGTGTTGGGCGGATCGAAATTGGATCCATCTTGGTAAATGGATCCCACCACGAACGACTCAAACATAGCTGTTTAATTTGGAGCCACACCCATATGGCTGGCTCGTCTGCTTTAGAGAACCCATACGGTGTGGCTCTTTAAAACCTATCAGAAAAGAGTACCCTCAAAAAGCGACACACCCACGGTCACCCACATATGGTTGTCAAAAGAAGCCGCCGGAGCGCAGGTGACTGTCCGAATTTGGCGTCTCAACGGGACTTGTCATGCCAGACAGGGTTTATCATAAGGCCCCCAAAAACGGGGTGGTTTCACCAGGTTGGTGTCCTTGACACAGGAAGTGATCAGTTGACATGCAAGAAGCACGAAAGGAACATCCAATGAAGGCTCGGTGTCCTTTTTACAGATGTGTGTTGATATCGTCTTTATCATCTTTTCGGTTTTTTGGGGCGCTTGACCCGGCAAAAAGCAAAAACCGTCCTGAACTGTCGGTGCAACTGGTGGGCCTAAGAGCTTTGCCTGCATCCCTTGTCCCTTGCGCTAAAAGTGGGGGATCGCCACCTAAGGTGAACCCCACTTGGGGTTGTGTGCAAGTGGCTCAGAACTTAGGTAAACCAAAGTTGTGTGTAAGTGGCTTAGAACTTAGGCAAACCAAAAAGCTTGCTAACTTGGCAAATCGACCCAAGTTCCATGCGGGTTGTTTTGCGAGCTCCGATGGGCCGCGCGGATCGGACTCCGGAGATCTGTTGAAATGGTTGTGTTTTCAGCGAGCCTGGCAGCGAAGTCCCACTCAGGTTTGGGCGGAACTTGAGTGTCCAAGTGTAGGCCCGGAGGCGGAGGCTTTCCCCAACCTCAAGGGCCCTATCCTTATTGGTTTTTTGGTTTGGGCATCTGACATAGTAGGGGGGATCTGATTTTGACTTGTATCGTGACTGGCTCAGCCTTTTGGGGGCAAAATGGCTCGAGTTCAACTTGTCTGCAAGGAGGGCTGAAGGGCCCTGAAAAGCTGAGACTGCGACGTTTTGTGCCGCCCTTACTGGGATCGCCCCCATGATTCCTGGCGAATTGGTTAGAGCTTTGGAACTTATTTTTTGGGTTGAAAAAGTGGGACTCTCCATGGGACCCACAACTACGTTTTTTCCCCACATCTTTGTGTGGGGTTGTCACTTTTACCGCTGCGCGCCCGCCGTCCGCCCCCACCCCGCCGCCCACCCACTCACTCACTCACTCACTCCCTCACTCACTCACTCACTCACTCACTCACTCACTCACTCACTCACTCACTCACTCACTCACTCACTCACTCACTCACTCACTCACTCACTCACTCACTCACTCACTCCTTCACTCCTTCACTCCTTCACTCCTTCACTCCTTCACTCCTTCACTCCTTCACTCCTTCACTCCTTCACTCCTTCACTCCTTCACTCCTTCACTCCTTCACTCCTTCACTACTTCACTCCTTCACTCCTTCACTCCTTCACTCCTTCACTCCTTCACTCCTTCACTCCTTCACTCCTTCACTCCTTCACTCCTTCACTCCTTCACTCCTTCACTCCTTCACTCCTTCACTCCTTCACTCCTTCACTCCTTCACTCCTTCACTCCTTCACTCCTTCACTCCTTCACTCCTTCATTCCTTCACTCCTTCTCTTCTTCACTCCTTCACTCCTTCACTCCTTCACTCCTTCACTCCTTCACTCCTTCATTCCTTCACTCCTTCACTCCTTCAGTCCTTCACTCCTTCACTCCTTCACTCCTTCACTCCTTCACTCCTTCATTCCTTCACTCCTTCTCTTCTTCACTCCTTCACTCCTTCACTCCTTCACTCCTTCACTCCTTCACCCCTTCACCCCTTCACTCCTTCACTCCTTCACTCCTTCACTCCTTCACTCCTTCACTCCTTCACTCCTTCACTCCTTCTCTTCTTCACTCCTTCACTCCTTCACTCCTTCACTCCTTCACTCCTTCACTCCTTCACCCCTTCACCCCTTCACCCCTTCACCCCTTCACTCCTTCACTCCTTCACTCCTTCACTCCTTCACTCCTTCACTCCTTCACTCCTTCACTCCTTCACTCCTTCACTCCTTCACTCCTTCACTCCTTCACTCCTTCACTCCTTCACTCCTTCACTCCTTCACTCCTTCACTCCTTCACTCCTTCACTCACTCACTCACTCACTCACTCACTCACTCACTCACTCACTCACTCACTCACTCACTCACTCACTCACTCACTCACTCACTCACTCACTCACTCACTCACTCACTCACTCACTCACTCACTCACTCACTCACTCACTCACTCACTCACTCACTCACTCACTCACTCACTCACTCACTCACTCACTCACTCACTCTCTCCACTCACTCACTCACTCACTCACTCACTCACTCACTCACTCACTCACTCACTCACTCACTCACTCACTCACTCACTCACTCACTCACTCACTCACTCACTCACTCACTCACTCACTCACTCACTCACTCACTCACTCACTCACTCACTCACTCACTCACTCACCTCGCTCGCTCGCTCGCTCGCTCGCTCACTCACTCACTCACTCACCTCGCTCGCTCGCTCGCTCGCTCGCTCACTCACTCACTCACTCACTCACTCACTCACTCACGCACACCCACACACACTCACTCACCCACTCACTCACTCACGCACTCACTCGTTCACTCACTCAGTGTGTTTGTGCGGCCGGGGCAGCATTTGGCAGCTGTCTAAAGGGACAGAATGTTGTCGCGCGCGCGGCTCGGGGCGCGCGTAACCGTGGCAGGCGTTGCACTTTGGAGATGCCATTGCCGAAATCGTGGCAGGCGCAGCATTCTGTGCATGTGGGCGTATTTTCTGTGGCAGGGGCAGCATTTGGCAGCTGTCTAAAGGGACAGGATGTTGTCGCGCGCGTGGCTCGGGGCGCGCGAAATCGGGGCTGGCGCAGCACTTTGGAGATGCCGTTGCCGAAGCTGTGGCAGGCGTTGGGCGTGTGCTTGTGCGCCCGCTCACTCATTGACTCAGTCAGCCACGCTCACTCACTCACTCACTCACTCCACTCCACTCACTCCACTCCACTCCACTCCACTCCACTCCACTCCACTCCACTCCACTCCACTCCACTCCACTCCACTCCACTCCACTCCACTCCACTCCACTCCACTCCACTCCACTCCACTCCACTCCACTCCACTCCACTCCACTCCACTCCACTCCACTCCACTCCACTCCACTCCACTCCACTCCACTCCACTCCACTCCACTCCACTCCACTCCACTCCACTCCACTCCACTCCACTCCACTCCACTCCACTCCACTCCACTCCACTCCACTCCACTCCACTCCACTCCACTCCACTCCACTCCACTCCACTCCACTCCACTCCACTCCACTCCACTCCACTCCACTCACTCCACTCCACTCCACTCACTCCACTCACTCACTCACTCCACTCACTCACTCTCACTCACTCACACTCACTCACTCACTCACTCACTCACTCACTCACTCACTCACTCACTCACTCACTCACTCACTCACTCACTCACTCACTCACTCACTCACTCACTCACTCACTCACTCACTCACTCACTCACGCACACCCACACACTCACTCACCCACTCACTCACTCACGCACTCACTCGTTCACTCACTCAGTGTGTTTGTGCGGCCGGGGCAGCATTTGGCAGCTGTCTAAAAGGACAGAATGTTGTCGCGCGCGCGGCTCGGGGCGCGCGTAACCGTGGCAGGCGTTGCGCTTTGGAGATGCCATTGCCGAAATCGTGGCAGGCGCAGCATTCTGTGCATGTGGGCGTATTTTCTGTGGCAGGGGCAGCATTTGGCAGCTGTCCAAAGGGACAGGATGTTGTCGCGCGCGCGGCTCGGGGCGCACGAAATCGTGGCAGGCGCAGCACTTTGGAGATGCCGTTGCCGAAGCCGTGGCAGGCGCAGCATTTTGTGCAAACCACTCATTCACTCACACACTCACTCACTCACTCACTCACTCACTCACTCACTCACTCACTCACTCACTCACTCACTCACTCACTCACTCACTCACTCACTCACTCACTCACTCACTCACACACTCACTCACCCACTCACGCGTTTCTAAACAAGCACAGACAGGTGGGGAAATCCGGTCCTTTATTTTTTGGAAGGGTCGTTGCAGCACCCAAGCATGCAGGCTCCTTTTGCATTGCCAGACCTTGTTTACTTGTTGCTTGGGTTGTCCTTCATGTTCCCTTCCAAGCAGGAACTTGACTTTTTGCAGGGGTCGAAGTCTAGCACGGCTCATAGCGCGAATGGTTTTTATGTGGGGTTGGAACACACACAAGTTGCAGGCCAAGGCAAACCCAAGGCATACAGTCAATATTTTGCTTAGATCCCTACATAAAACCTCTCGGGGTCCTTGTTACCCTTTGCGGTACCCTCGAGAAAAAATGAAAAAAAAACGGGTTTCCATGCTTGGGCCACCTCTCGCTCGCTGAGTTTCAGTGGCCCACGCGCGCGCGGATCCACAATGCGTGCGCTGGGCCGGTGCTGGCTGGCTGGCTGGCTGGCTGGGTGGCTGGGGGAGGGCTGGGGCGCCAAGCGGGGGGAAAGGTCTTCATGGGGCGAAGTTGCGGAATTTTGGTTGTTTTCCTTTCGATGTGAAGGGGACATGGTGATTGTGAAAGCCTCTTGCTTTCGGGGTTCGGAGTTTCCAGTTTGTGATCGTGTTTGAGAAACATTGGCAGTTGGGATATCTTGGGAACCACGGTCATTGGGAGGAGGGGGAGCACAAGAGCAACCAGCATGTATACTTGGTTATTTCCAACTTGCAGATGGCCGCACAACACAAAACAAACAACACATACAAAGGCCATAATTTCTCTCTGAATCACCTTACTTGGACCAAAAGCAGACAGGGGGTGGTGCTCCGCTCACGTCGTTTCTGTTCACCGGATCCAATTGTTGCACCCAACCCTGAGGGTTCCTGAATGGTTAGTAAATCCAGATGCAAATTCCACCGGAGATGCAGAAAAAAAAGGATTGACAGGTCCAGATGAAAGGGGGCTCAATGACCTTCAATGGACGGTTTCTTCCTACGGAGGGTTCTTTGGAGGCTCGCATCTGAGTTCATTACCCCACTTGGTGTACAGAGGGCGCTTCTTCCTTCAGGGCGGTGGTTGGGGCGTCCGTTCAGCACCTTGCCATGGCCATCTTTGGGAGATGGCCCAGTTTGAGCCACGGAGGCATCAGAAGCCACGCCTTAGGAATGCAATCTCGAATCGGGTGAAGATGGTGAAGCCAAGGCGAATCACTGCGTGGTTTTCATCTCCCTCAGGTCTTCAATTGACAATTCGTTGCGAAGGAAAGGTGTGCAGTGGTAAGGAATGCGCCGGAATTCAAGGTCAAGGTGTGTCTGTGCAAAACGCTAAAGCTCAGCCGCTTCGGTTTAAACATCAAGTTGTACCTGACCAAGTCAAACACGGGGCAACACTATGAGGGTAAGCTGTCTGCATGTGCAAATCATTTGTAGCCGGCGTGGCCTCCCAAACCTAGCTTTCAAGGCAGAACTGCGCGAAGCAAGGACTGTGCATGTCAAAGAAGCCTACATCGTCCTGACGCACTCCCTACATCGGTGCAAGGAAATGGTGGTCATAGGGTAATTCCAAGCGAAGTGGGTTTGAAAGCGTGAATTAAAGCTTGCTGGTTCTCAGTAGGAAATCAGGAATGACCCCCATAATCTTGGTGGCTACCAGCCATCCCCTTAGCTTTTTAGCTTTTTAGTGTTTAGTGGGGTTTTCCATTTAGCCCACTAAAAGTTAAGCTTTTAGCGGGGGATCTGAGGACAGCTCAGTTTTGATATCAGGTTGGGCCAACCCTTTCGGTTTCCCTGAGGCGAGGAAACAAGTGGCCGCGTCGCTGCATCGATGTGTTCCTGAGCCGGAATCTAAACGGTCGCTGTGGCGAAAGCCGGATGAAGAGATAAGACCTCAGAAAGTAGATGCAACCAACTCGTAGCTGGCACAAGTAAACAACCAAAACCTTCACGCGGCTTGTAGTCGGTCCCGTTCTTCAGGTGTTTTCTCCGTGCCCTTTAGAAGTGATCAAGCAACTAGACCATGGAGACCCTGTAAAAAGAGGACACCAACCAACTTGGGTGTTCCCAGCCATCCCCCTAGGTGTTTCGCTCTTTAGGGGTCTAGTGGTTGGTTTTCCATTCAGCCCACAAGTTATATATATATATACAAGTTATGTCATAGATATAATATATATATATATATATATCATAGATATAATATATATATATATATAAGCAAGTTATGTGTGTATATATATATAATATAAACAACTTTTGGTAGGGGATCAGAACATGGACAGCCGTGTTAAAAGTATCAGGTGGCCTGAGGCCTGCTTCTGACAGGTACATGCTCGTGTACATCCGCGAGGATTGCGCGGAAGATGTCTTGAAGGTCCCAGACCCCCTTCAGGCCATGGATCGAGACGGCCAGAAATCGAAAAGCCCATCACCTATGGAACTTGCAAAGCATTGATGGTGAAACCAGGGAGTGAGTTGAAATTCCAAACCTACGGAGCACCAGCAAGAATCTGGATCTGTCAGGAAAACCGAAGCCACTTTGGGGGATATGCCACAATCCAGACGGTCGGGAAAAGAGGTATTGCGGTGCGGGCCGATCCAAACCCCTTGTTTCGGCCGTGGAAGGGCCTGTTTCCTGACAAGTGGTGGAAAGGCAAGCAGACTGGAATGAGGTTGGAACAGTCAATTCTGTGATGCGCATGTACTTAGAGACAAAATCAGTTATCAGCACTTGCCTTTTTGGTGTTTCTGCATCTAAGCCAGCAACAAGTTATTTGTGCATTAGTCTAGTCATATCACCAGGATGGCGTGCCAGCGGAAGGTTCCCGCCCGAGTCTAGTTGGGCTTGCCACTTGAGGTCCGCAAAGACCCAGGGGCCGGTGGAGATCCGCCTCCCTGTAGTGGAGCACCAAATAGACCTGAGGCTGTTTACAGCCTTAGCCAACCGCTGACTTTTGTGGAGAGCAACCGTTTTCGTCGATTGGTCTGTCATTTGCCACCAGCCAAGCCCTTGAAGCCCAGGATCATGGCCTCGGCAAGTTCGCTTTGAAGATTGGGCCGAGTTGATGAGACGGGGCGGCATGGGGTGCCAAGATATACTGTAAAAAGAAACACATCAACATGTAAACACTTGGAAGCTGGCTTGGTCAGAAAGAAATGTTCAACTCCGGACGAATTCTAGACTAAAGCCAAAGAACTCTCGTCTTATTTTGTGTTTTTCCCTCTTTGGCTGGGGAGCGGATTTGAGACATTTCAAAGACTGGGGACAGAGTGCATGGCTCCGAAGCTGAGTCAAGAACCACTGGTCTTGAGCGACCTCATGTTTTTGAGGCAGAAATGCCGTGGATGGACGAAATCCATTTCGCACCACCTAAGGAGCCCTTGTTTCTGATGATTCCCCAGTACATACCAACAAGCAGTGGTTTCAACCATGGTTTCAAAGCGGTGTAGGATTTTGTCCATCAGGATCAACGTCAGGGTGGTGTCCCTTTCCATCTCTGGGCTTGACATTGGCAAAAAGAAAAAATGGGGCGCCAGTTACCCCGAGACTCGCCAGCTTTTCCACTTGCCAAGGAGCCCGTTGCCACGGAGGGTCTCTCGCTTTTTCACTTTCCTCAAAGGAAACTGCACCGACCAAATGCCCTCGGAAGGGATGAGTTCCTTTCAGGGGAACGTTCTCTTAAAGAACTCGTCACCAAGGCCTAGCGGCATAGAACAGGTTGACATTTGGGTGGCATTTTTTGCGGGTACCTTTATCTTGGGGATATTGAAGGGAGACCAAGAAAAACCCTCCATACTTGTTTGCTTTTGTATTTGTTCCTTTTTGTTTTTTTTGCCTGGCGGGTGGGTGGGTGGGGGTCCCCCAAAAATGCCATACGCATTTGTTCAATGCTAGTTCCTGGCGTTTCCTTTGTCCGAAGAACCCGCAAGAACTGCTGCCGACCTTGCACGGTCGGTGGGTTCCGGTCAGGTGAACCGAAGAATGGTGGACAGGTGCAACGCGGAGGCGCGCGCAGAATTTCCGGCAAGCGGCGAGAGAAGAACGTGAGTGGCGAGAGAAGAACGTGCTTTGGTGCTTGAGTTTTGTTTCCATGGGCAGTTATTTTTCAATCACGAATTGTATTTGGACGAAGCGCATTTGACTCAAGGTGTTTGGATCCTCCTTGCTTGCGTTTGTATAAGATGACCATGCGCTACATTTGCAAGTGCATCGTTTGTTTTTCAAATGCATTTTGATAAACTGGCCCTACATTTGGCAACTTTCTCAATGTAACGTCATTTTTCTACAAACCATGTCATGGACCTGCACAAAACGGGGCTACATTGGATCAAATGTCAAATTCGTTGTTTTGTCGCATTTCTTCTTTTTTGTGTAGGGGTCCAGGCTACATTGGTCAGGGGCAGACCCTGTTTTCCTTCCCATTTTCATTCCTTACTTGAAAACTCAGCTGTTTCATTAGTTGTTTTAAGCCCTAAAAGGGGGGGGGGCATGTCCACTTGTAAACCAACACTAAACTCAAGAAACTCAAGCCAAAAAATCATCCCATAGGTACGCAAAACACAACTGGGGCCACCTAGTAACATGCTTTTTCTGGCAAGACTGATTATCGTTAGGGGGAGGGGGGGGGGGATTGTTACAATTTTGGGGGGAAGCGACTGCCCTTTACGACCAGACAAAAGCGTGGCTGGAAAAGGGGGGGATTGTGCTTTGCCAGGAGATGGCAGCGACATGCAAAATTCTGTCTGAATGAAAGGCTCAGACTGATGCGGAAGCCTTTGTATGAGATGGCCAGCCATTCACCTGGACAGAACCTGGTCTGAACCTGCCTGCCTGAACAGGTAGGTTTCTTTCTCTCTTTGTCTCTGTCCATCTCCAAAAAGTAGCCTGTCGCAGCTCCGGCTCGGAAAGAACACTTTTGGCCAGAGCCAGGTCTGAACCAGGTCTGGGGCAGGTCTCAGGCTACATTGCTGTTTGGTCATGGAAATTCAAGGGCTACATTGAGCAAATTTGGCATATTTGTAGACATGGGGTTACACTTTGACGGTACTAGAAAAGAACCATGTAACGTCCAGATTTCGAAAAGCGGACGCTACATTGGCTGAAATGCAGCAAAGGGGGCTACATTGGCCCATTTTGTAGAGAACTTGGAAATCGTGGGGCAAGCAACGGGGATGTTTGCGACACCCATGAAGGTGTCCCTTTGAACAGAAGTCCGGCAGACCCTCTAATTGGGGGCTTAGGGCTTAGATAGGGATCGCAAGTAGAGAAGTGCGCATAGCACTCTGAACCCTTGGCATACACGCCTAGTTTACGGAATAGGCTCTGAACTATTGTAAAGAAACCCATAGCTCATGGAGAACATCACCACTGAATATGTCTTACTTGTGGGAAGCCAGCCAAAAAGGGGGCCCAACACGACATTGCTGTTTCGCAATGGGTCCATACAATCAACAGGTCAAATTTGTTTTTCAGCAGCCTCGGGCTTTTCTTGAATGTGAGCAAGGAGGTTATGGGGCTTAGGTCCGCCAAGGAGGATCCAATTTGAACAAAAACAAGCCACTGATTGCGTTCCGATTCACCGATTGTCTTTCCTTCAGGTCCAGGTGGAACTACGAGTAACTCTGTGAACAACAGCACACCAGGCAAGGAGTAAACCCTGCAGTCCAACAACAAAACAAGGAGTTGATTTGGAAACAACTTGCTTGGACAGTCTTGGGGTTGCATCTGAAGGATGCATTGCTTCTCTCATGACTGACCATACGAAGCAGACAAAATGGAGTTTCCCCTTCGGAGTCAAGGCAAATCGGACCTTTCGACCAGCTGGTTTTTTCATTTTTGTGCAACCACTCCAGAGGTCCCAAAAGTTGGACCTTGAATTTGCTCTCTTTTTTTTTGTTTATCGGGTGGAGAGTACCTCTAAGGTTGTTTCTTACCATCCTCTTCCACAGAGCCTTCGCGGAAGGTGAGAATGTTGGAGCAGCGCCGGCGAGAGAAGCTGGAGCTACAGACAAAGATCAGGACACGGTTTCCCGGGTCGCCATGTTGGTGTTGTCGAGGTTCGACTTGATTGTTGTCGCCGTGTGTTTTGGTTTTTGTTATCCTCATTTGGTTGGATTGTTTTTTTTTTTTTTTTTTTTTTTTTTTCGCCCTTGGTTGTTGCGTTCACTCCGTTTAGGCGTTTGTTGGGTTGAAAGGGCCTCCTTGTTTCAGACTTGGGATCTCATTAGACCGCCTATTGGAAGGGTTTAGCCTGCGTCATGCGAGGCGCCAATAAACTATCCTTTTCGCGTTTTCTGGTTGCATCTTTCCCGGTAGGAGACAGGGTGCCTCAAAATTAGGTGACGCACAACAATACCTGCTTTCCTGTTTGTTGTCTTCTAGACCCACAAGACCAAAAATATCGTTCTGTGACAGTGTTCGGAAATTCCAACAGCGGACACATGGCAACCCCAAGGCAAGCAAAGAAAGCGAAACCTATTTGGGTGTTTCTTTTTTTTAGGGGACCTACAAAATGGCTGCTTATCCTTTTGGTTTCGCTTTAGAACCCACAAACAAGATGGGTACCGTCAGAAAATGGGAGACCCACTTGCTACCGCACATTCGGGATGGTCCCTTGAACTCAAGCATGGGACTGGGAGGGATCTTCGGAACTTGGGACCTCAAAAAGCACTGCAAGTTTGTGTAGGGTGTAGGGTTTTCGTTGCTTTCCTAGGTCCCCCAGTAGTGCCCTTTTACTAGTACCCTTTTGGGGAGGGTTCCCCTACTAAAATAGACTACAGAACCTAGTTTCTCGGCGATGTGTTGCTCGTTGATTTGGTTGTCCTGTCCGGAGGTCCGGCCTTCGCCAGTCTGCGGATCGGATGCATTGGTTGGGGCTTTGTGTTGACACAGGGCCATGCTGGGGCCAAGCCATGGCCAGTGCGAAGCCCCAATCCATGAGATGTCCGCCAAAGGGTCCCGAATTCATATTCATATCCTTCAGCCCCGCATGGTTTGAGTTGACCTCAAGGGTAATTTCTGCCATGGATTCGTAGACCCTCAAAATGTGCGGACGTGCCAAAACGAAGGACCATCCACTTCCGACGAACTCACGGGCCCTTTGTGAACCCTGGTGTCTTGAATTATTTTCCGAAGGCAAGAGGTCCGAAAAGGCCTCCAGTTGGAACAGGGCTGTTATTGTGGTTTCCCTATGGGGATTTTGGATTAGGCTTGGATCCAGAAAATATTGAACAGCCTTGGCGGACGAGTTCGTTTGTTCAACTTGCCAAGAACTGACTGCGAGCAAGCCCCAAAGAGCACAAAGGAACCTCAAGCACGCCAGGAGTTTTGCTGCACAAACTGAAACAAGAATGCTGCCCAGTAGCACCCTTCTCGCCAAATATAAGAAGGATACCTGCTGGTAGTTCTTGTTTTTTCCCAGTAGGCCGCCTTTGAGTTGTCAGGATCAATTTGGTGCTGGAGCACGACTTGTCGGCGTCTTATGATCTTAGGGGCTTGGGCTCCAATGCCTGGCAGATCTTTGGTGGTTTTTTGACCTCTGAACAGGTTCGGTTGGTTCGGTTGGTTTGGTTGGTTTGGTTGGTTTGGTTGGTTTGGTTGGTGTGGTTGGGTTTGGATGTTTGGTCAGTTGGTTGGTTGGGTTGGTTTGTTTTGTTTGGTTGGTTGGTTTCGTTGGTTTGGTTGGGTTGGTTGGGTTGGTTGGGTTGGGTTGGTTGGGTTGGTTGGCCGGTTTTGGGTTGGTTTGTTGTTGTTGTTTTTTGCTGGGTTGGTTGGTTTGTTGTTGTTGTTTTTTGCTGGTTTGGTTGGTTGGGTTGGTTGGCCGGTTGGGTTGGTTTGTTGTTGTTGTTGTTTTTGCTGGTTTGGTTGGTTGGTTGGGTTGGTTGGCCCCGCTGGGTTGGTTTGTTGTTGTTGTGTTTTGGCTGGTTTGGTTGGTTGGTTGGTTGGGTTGGGTTTGGTTTGGTTTGGTTTGGTTTGGTTTGGTCGGTCGGGTTTGCTTGGTTTGCTTGGTTGGTTTGGTTTGGTTGGTTGGAGTGGTTGGTTTCGTTGTTTTCGTTGGTTTGGCTGGTTTGGTTTTGTTGGTTGGTTTAGTTGGTTTGGTTTGTTTGGTTTGGTTGCTTTGGTTTGATTGGTTGGTTTGGTTGGTTTGGTTGGTTGGTCGGTTGGTTGGTTGGTTGGTTGTCCGGTTGGTTGGCTGGTTGGCTGGTTGGCTGGTTGGCGGGCTGTTGGTTGCTGGGTCGGTCGGTCGGTCAGTCGCTCGGTCGGATTGCTTGGTTGATATCACAGAGGTTATCCAGGGCTTCTTAAAAGATATATTTTGCAACCATTTGAGACATGTTGTTTTTTCCACCAAAAAATCAACGGAAACCTTGCCATTTACAAGTTGCAATGTTCAGGTGTTTTTCATGCATCCGGATCCCTGTTACTCAGGTGCTCCATGATTGGCTTCTGGGATTACAACATCCCCAGCAGGTGCGGAACCCCAAGTCGAAGGGAAGAAGGGAAGACACTCCGAAGGGCCATCACCTTCTTGGCATTCCACTATTTTAAGACCCACATGTTGCTTTGGGGGTGAGTCATGCTTAGGGCTTGCGACGGATTTGGAGCTCTCAGGTTTACAATCCTGGAACCAACGGCTTGAAGCTGAAGTTTTTGTGAGCAGGGAACGAGCAGTTCTAGAATTCTAGCTGAAAAGTCCAACGAGTGGAGAGGTATATGTCAGAATTAATTGGGTACGGGGTTCCAGCGTTTGCGTTGGAGTTCTTAACTTACTTGCTTTGAGGAGGAGTCCTACCTTTGCCTCATGAAGAACTGGTCATACACCCAGCAGAACATACCCCCACCAACTATGCTAGCTTATTCACAATGTTTGTCATCATCATGCAAGCTCTCTCTCATGGCAAGTTTATATTCTTCTTACCTTCTTCCCAATGCATTTCTGAGGATTTAATGTGATGCCAAGAAGGGGTAGTGCACTTGGAGGTTCCTCAAAAGGCTTCACCTTGAAGTTGAACAGGCTCCCGTCTGTTGATGGCAAGTTGCACAAGGTAGCTTTGCCTCTCTTGCAACCGTCAGACGTAGGTTTCGCTGCTTTTGGGACTTGTTGCGCTGTGTGCCGCCTCCCCACGACAATTCCAAAGTGGCTGTTGAACCAAGCAGGTTCACGGATTGCCTTCAACCGTGCTAGGTCAAGACGCTGGAGAAGCTAGAAAAACGCTTCCCTCAAGTGGCTGGAAGAAACGGGACGATCAAGGTGTCAATGTTACTTGCTGGTGCGATTGGTAGGGAATGTGGGAATGAACCCAGGGGTCCCCTTAAAGGAAACCACCAGTTGGATGGTTTAGAGGGGTTATTCCTTCATTCCCTGCTGAGAACCAGCAAGGTTACCTAACCATTCTCTAGCCACGGAATGCAGGTGGTATGCCCGATGTTGCCAGGCAAAGTGACGCTCAATGATTTTTGTCAGCGGACTTTCGGTTGAAAGAACTGGCAATGCCTGTATTCAAGCTTTCATCACTGTCCCATGGTGTTTCCTTTGATTGGCATGCTGTGTTGTGAGCAGCCCAGCATTTGTTGGGGGGGCGGAAGAAGCACGCCTATTGGAGATGAATCTCGGTAAGGAACTGGTTTCTGCGAAACGTCCGGCAGATCCTTAGTGAACTCCAAACGGGGCTCCTTGACTGCGCTTTGGTCGAGTCACCCAAAAGGGTCCCAACCCTTTGAATGGCTGTGGTTGTCAAAACCAATGGGATCCCATTTTTTTTGGGGTAGGTGAATTCACCACCCATTTTAGAACCAATTAATTTAAGAATTGGCATGTTCAGTGGGGCTACGATTTGGATTTTGACCCATGGCCAAATGGGCCATTCGCAACGTGTCAGCCTTTCATTCGGCCTGTCGGCAACCTACCGCGAATTCTCCACGGGGTAGCGTACCCTGAGGCAGTGAAGCAAGAGCAACTGCAGCTCGCACACCCAAGCTGTTCATCGAACCATCCCTCGGGGGGGGATTAAAAAAAAAGAAACGCAACTTAGCTGTTCATCAAGACACTTTTCTCGGGAGAAAAACCGAAAAACAACACGCAAGTTTTTGCGGGCGGCAAATCCAATCTGTACTGGGCTTAGATCAAACTCGGTTTCCCGGGGCTTTTGAACAGCTCCCGATTGCAACTTGCCCACTGCAAGCTGTGTCGACGCGTACATCGCTTAGGGAACCACCTCAACAGTGATTGGTGGACATGAATCCCCACCTAAGTGATGTCCACAGGGCCCCTTATTCAAATTCATGCCCGCAAATCTGAATGTGGAGTATGAGGACTGCAAGTCGACCTTTGACCAAATCAGTTCCAAGATGCCCTTCTCACCATGTCGCCATGGTACCTGTGGACTTTTTCACCTGGGAAGGTAATGCAAGGGGTCGGAGCAAACCACCAACCCGAGGGAAACGGATGGCAGCCAAACGGGCTGGCCTGGCTTTAGAACACAAGCTGTAAGGGAAACTATCCTTGGGACCTTTAAAGCAAGCATGCTCGTTTCATTTCAAGGTCCAATAATTATGTATAGTTGGGACACACTCTTATTTGAGGCTCGGCCAGAATATCCACTACTCTGTAAGCATGTGCAGGGAACATGGGCCACTTCGTATTTTTTCTTGAAAACTCAGCGGGGGCATGGGACATGTCCACTATCCACGAATGTTCTGTTTGTGGCTCCTGCTTCGCTCGTCAATATGAAAGCTAATCATTTTGAGGGGTTCTTGGGGTGGTTTCCCAAGAGCACCCATTTGGAGACAACTTTGAGGATGCCACTGTTGTGGAGCCAGTTTATCCCAATATGGCTCTGTCATTTTTGTGGGTACCCCTATGTGGATTTCCCAATATTTGTTGATTCCCCAAAGGACACCTGGCATTTTGTGGGGCCCCAAAACAAAAGAGAAGCGCATGTGGTGTGTTTTTTATCTATCCGAATGTGGATTTTGTTTATCAAGCAACCACACGCTGCTGCCGTTTTTGTTGCAGGCGCTCCTTTGAGATGAATCGGGACCAGTTGGTGAAGGATCGGGTTGGGTCAAAAAGGTCAATCGAGCCGCGATCGACACCCGGCTAGATGAAGGTTCGCAAGGAAGAGTTCTGACTTTTAACCATATTTTGTACCGCCCTTTGAGTTCTTTGCATGGCTTGGGTCATTTGAGTGACAGGTTTGGACTTCAATGGCTTGGTCCCCAGAAGTGCGGGAGGGTTGCCCTACTAAAATAGACAGCAGAACAAAGAGTACCCTTATTCTAACCTCTCTACTGGAGGACCTAGAATGGGTTGGTCTCCAAATTCAGAACCACCGCCCTATCACCGCCTTATCACCGGCCCTCGTTTCCTGGTGGGTACGGGCGCCGCTCAAATGGTAGACCTCCCAACATGGGTGATTTCCCTTAGGTTCAAACCGAAGAAAAGCGGCGTTTCGAGTTCCGCAAACACCATGTTGGCGCTATGTCCTGCGTTGTGCTAGGACGGCGCATAACTTTATAGGTGACAAGAAGTGAAGCAACCATCATTACCTTGTGTGCTTGTTTTTTGTTTTTCTAGCAGAGATGAAACAGGGATTCAATCATGATGTGACCGAACCCATTGCAGGTAGTCAATGACAAAGGAGTTTCTGGGTTCGTCGGAGACGAAGAGCTCGAAAGGCCTGTCGGCGAGATAGACATAGAGTCATGCGCCTACTTGCATGGAGACTGATCAATCCTATGTCCAAATATGAAATTTAATGAGATTGACATGAAACCCTTCCTGCCGGGCAACACACGCCCAACGCGCAGTTTTCCGAAGCATGATGCCTTCATTGGCAGGCTTTGGGCTCGAACAGCAAAAGCCAATGGTGAAGTGTTGAATTGGGCTGCAGGTGTTTGATGCATTTGCCTGTGATCTAAGCGCGGAAACCTGGGAACGCCCTCGAAAACGGTTGGTGGACATCGATCCCCATGTTTTGTTTTGGTGATTCCCACCACATCGCACAACGCTATCCCCAATCGAAATTAATCTCATTTGTTGCTTGGTTCCAGACATCATCTTTGGTAAGGCGGGACTTTAAGGGAGGACAATTTGGAGGAACTCCCCCTGGGTTTAAGTCACATCAAATCTATCCTGTAGTCAAACAGTGGAGCCCTGCGCATGTCCGCTGCAAGTGACCCAGTCAGATTCGCTTCGGATTCAGAACAACTGAACCAACCCACAAAATTCCGTACCGTATCACTGGCTGGCACACGCGATTATGGTGGCTGCCAGTGGCTGCCAATACTCCCTCCCCCACGTGCATTTTCTGAATTTATAAGGTCCGCCCATTTGAGCAGCCCGCGACCCATCTGTTGGTTCTCCCTGGTGGCTTTGGCACGAGGCACCAACTCCCATCCGGCGTCAGGACTTATCGGCCCAGGCGAGCGCTTACCTACAGGCCCGGAGTCACACCGATTTGCCAGAGCCACAATCAAAACCGATTCGGGTGGATGAAGGTTAGTAATAAGTAAGGGGCAGTCCCAGCCGGAAATAGTTGCGACCGCCTTTCTAATTCTTTGCAGGGTTCTGTGTTCACCATTTTTGTACCGATCGGTTTTGATTGTGACTCAGTTGAGCTGACCCAAGGCTCGTGGGTTCGGCCACGGGGAATTCCATTCGTGAACACGTGGCTATGGCATTGCGAAGGCCCACATGGGTATCACAGGGACTTGTCCCACCAGAGGATCAATGGACTGGCAGAGCTAAGTTATCTTCCAGACATCCCATCACCATGTCACATGTTTGAAATCCTACTCATGGATTTGGGTATCCAGGGGAACCTGCCAGATGGGCTTTGGTCTTCCTTTGGTCTTCCTTTGGTCTCCATTTTTCCTGAACTTAAGCAAGGGGTCCATATCCCATTTGGAGATGAGTATGGGTGTTACTTGTTTGTTTGTTTTTAGTACCTGTTTTTGGTGGCTTTAAAGGGGAAGCCGCTTGGAAAACCGAAGCCATCCTATTCACTAAATCAAGACGAGCCATCCATATCAGCCTTTCCGAGACGTCTGGCGGGGGGGGTGCGGGGGACTTGGCAGGTTGATGCAAACCATGTGGCCCTCTTCAGCCTGCACATGCGGTCCACGGCAAGACAGGCGGAAGTCTCGAGGGCTTACCTGTTGGGTATCTTCAGATGCGAAAGGTAGGGAATGCCTTAGCGAGTCCAGGAGTTGGGAATGAAAAGGTTTCGGGGTCATGCCATGTCTCATTCCCTGCTGAGCACCAAGTCAGACATGGAATTGGAGGGCGAGCTGTTGAGTTCGAAACCTCCCCAACCCCCAACAAGGCAGGGATCCCAAAGCAGACCTAGACCCCTCTCCCCAAATTGCATGTGTTTGTATCGTTTGCTGTCCGCTTAGCCGTATGCGCCACAGGCTCAGAGCAAGCCTGGCATGTCGGTTTTTCAAGCTCGTTTTGCGGCATCCAGACATTTGCTTGGGATTTCATGGGAGAACTTTTGGGAAACGTCAGAGTTTTTTGGCCGAAGATTTGGGCATCAGAGTTGTGGTTTGGGCCGAAGGTTGACTTAACATCTTTTTGTTGTGTTGGTTTCCTGCCAGAACATCCCTTGTTGGGATGGCTTGAACGGCCCCCAAGAATCATTGTAATTACTCACATGTGGAGGGGTCGGGATATTGATGTTTTGAGGTCCCAAGATGGTTAGGAGAAAGGTAATAATAAGGGAGCCGATGCATGTTGGGGCGTTCCCCTGTCCGCGTGGCAAGGTCATATTGTTGAGAAAGCAGATTTGAATCCCCAGCCTGAGTTTTGGGAAATCAAGACAACCACCCCTGAGTCCAAGTCTGCTTTGGGTGAAATTGGGTCAACCAAAAACAAACAAAAAGGATCCTAGCTCAGCTCTGTGATGGCTTTTCAATTGTCGGAGAGGGGGGAAACTCCGAGAGCAGCCCGCAGAGAACCCAATTGGCATTAATTCTTCAGAAGTGCGCTGAAGACCCTAGCACAATTTCCCCCAAGATGATTAGAACGCAGCAGAGAAAGAGCATGTGTGCTTACAACGCGACGAATAAACAACGCCATTGCAACATGTGAGACTAGAGATTATTCATCCGGAGTGGGCATGAGATCAAGAGGGCATCCTGTCTATCAAGAGCTCGGCTTGCTGACTCACGTTGGCAGCCTGTCAAAAAGCCGTCTCCAAACAAGGCTTGGTGCACTGAGTTCATTGCCAAACTTACTTCCAAGTTCCGGGCTTCATACTTTCGGAGATCATTTTAGCAGTCGGAACATGTTTGGTTGCTCTTTTTGGGCGCCGATTTAGTCCTAAAATTGGGGGCATGGGAAAATCGCCCAGCAACATAGCTTTCCAATTTTCGGACACAGGCTGATGAGGACTGCCATGTTGGCCCATATAGTCTTAGACGTTATGCTCTGCTGCAGAATTGGTTTTAGTCAGGGCCGATATTCCCCTTTGTTGCCAACTTAGAACCAAACGCCTGGGTGTTTGGACCATGTCTCTCAAGGTGTAGGTGCCGAGGAATCTGTGGAGACATCATTTACATGGGGGATTCATGCAACCAGCGACCATTTGAATGGGTGCTTTTAGAGGGCAAAGGTTATGGGGGGGGGGAGTGTTGTGCTTGTGAAGGAATTACATGAGCAGCGCCATAAACCTTGACAATACAAAGTAGTAAAGGGGTGTCCTATAGAATCCCCGCGAAAGCCAAAACGCAGGCCGCGAAAGCTTGCGAAAGCTTATTGCGAAAGTAACTGAAGAAGGTCCCGCCGCGAAAGACGCGCGAAAGCCTGCAGGCTAGTGATGATGCGGTGTGACAGTCCGCCGCGAAAGCAATTCTAAAGAAAACGAAGCCCGCGAAAGCAAAACATGGGGTCGCGAAAGCATCGCGAAAGCGTTCAACGAAAGCAAGTTCATAGTACTGTACCGCTTTTTACTCGGCACGGCTCACATGTACATTTTTTTCGTGCTTTGGAACTGGTGGGGCCCTTCTGTTACCTTTTCACCACCGAGACACCACCAAACCACAATTTTACCTCGCTTCGAGCTGGAAAAAGGGACCAGAACCGTCAACCCCTGGATGGCTGGAGGGGGTTTACTCCTTACGGGACTCAGGTTTTGGGACTTCCGCTTACCCATAGCCAATCCATCGACCTAAGTTTTCTATGCTTGGTTTCGGAGTGGATGTGGGGGCCGTCCGAAATTGCAGGTCTAAAGCTTATGAAGAGCTGCAACTTGTTGAACCGCGCGATTGGTAAAACTCGAGCCGCGAAATGCCGGCGATTGGACCGCGAAAGGGCAACGCAATTATTCTGAATTTAGATGGTGCCCGTCATTTTGACAGCGCGGGCTCGCGCAAAAGTTCCCTCTGAAATCCTGAATGTGATTTCGTCTGCGCCAGCGCTTGACACAAGACGGCGGAAAGCGAACCAGAAGCAGCAGCGATGCCCACTGTTGCTCAGCGATTGGACCCTGTGCAGTCGCGATTGGCTGGCGATTGGGGGGCCCCCAGGCAAAGTATTTTTGTACCACCCCGATGCGCACACTGAACATGATCTGTACTGGAATGAATGTGCACTGTACGTGATGGCGGCATCGGTGAGGCCTTGCCAGAGCCGGAGCTACGCTGTAGTGCGTTGCACTTGAGCCCAATTGCCGTGCCACTTTGACCGGCTGGTTCCAGTTGATGGACCCACCATTAAAAAGTGAATGTGGGCGAGTGCAGAAAAGTTGCACAATCATCAACCCCGTAGCGGGCCTGGGTGGCAGAGATGCACATGCAACTATGAGATCATTGCACACGACCTTCAAGATGCAGAAACAAGAGGTGATGTCAGGCCTTTTATTTCCGGGTCTTTGGGCAAGTCAGTTGACAACCCCCCCCCCCCTGCGATTTTCTTCATTTAGCTCGGTCGTGTTTTTTTCTTCTGGGCTTCTCTCTGAACATTTCCCGCCCTCAAAGACCCAGATTGCAGGTGAGGTTCGAGTTCATGCCGTTGGACAAGACGTTGAGGCATCACTCGGTCCAAGTTCATCGCTTCCTTCAATTTGAAGGGACACTTGTCATTGGTGTACATGTTTCATGTTGAAGTGCGGCACGCATACGTTAATGTGGGGCTGTCTCAACATAGGGATGCCACCAAAATGGGTGGGTTCCCTTTTTGTTTCCCTTGAAAACCGACCCTCAAAAAGCGGCCCTCCAAAACAGCACACACATGTTGAACCCCATTGCTAGAGCGGGGTCGCAGGTTTCGCATTGCAAAGGGTCCGGTTGTTAGTTTGTGGGTCACAAGACGACTCGGCGGCTCCAAAGAGACGGCCGGTTCAGAAGTTTGTTGGGTTGCACTTGGATGTTCAACCCACTTAGGCTTTAAGCATGGTAAGGGAATTAACCCCGGTTGCCCTACTTACAACCACGGTTACAACCTACACTTACTAAGTGGGTTGAACATCCAAGCAAACCCTAGGTCGAGTAAAGAAGGAAGCTTGGTGCTTGGTCAACGAGTCGAAAGCCAGCTGGCATGTTTGAAATGCTATTTGTCAGAACCGTGAACATGGGTGTGGTTTGCTTGAACAAATAGAGGGCCCTGATTTTGGGGGTCCTTCATCTACCAGGACCATCTATTTGCCCAAAAGGACACCTATGACTATGCAAGTCTTGAATTTGCAACGACTCCAGAGTTTTGGACCAGGTCCAGTTTCGGACCTGCAGATGATAACCCCGGCATACCTTTCCTGCCAACCTGGAATATGTCAAAGCTTCCAGAGACAGTTTTTCTTGTAACCCCGCTCACAGATTCTATGTTTCTTCGTCATTTTATTCCATTTGCTTAACATGTTGTTGTTATTTCCCCAGTTGGGCAATAAGCCAAAGCTGGAAACCCAGAATAGGTTGGTTTGGATAGAAATGGGATCTTCTTGCCAACAATCACCCATGGGAAGAGCTTTGGCAATGAAAACTCTGATTTTGCCCCTTGGCTTCTGACAGCGTTTTGCATGACATAGATCCAATTTGAGTTGTGCTTGCTTGCAAAGCGTAGAATGATTCTTGGAAGAAGTGCACGCTCCCAATCACAATCATGGAACCAGGTCGCCTTGTGCTTTTCCAGGGTCAATCTAAACCGGAGGGTACTTTGTTTTTCGAGCCCTACCCTCCCTCCCATGCTGCCATGGCACCTGACCAGGGATCCCTTGAAGAGGAGATTGATCTTCCAGGTACCCTCCCACCAACGCCATGCTGGCGGGAGGAAGGGTATCCTCAAACAGTACACTGTCGCAAGTCGGCAGTTCATTTTTCGGATAAACACTGCATACGTTTCATCATGGAACCAGCAAAACCCTGGCTTTTGGGTCCCAGATTCCCGCAACTTACTGCTCGCAAACCGCGAGCAATGATTTGACTTTCGGCGCCAGGGGGATTCTAACCATGGGATGAGATTCTGCGACAAAGCAAATCCAAGTCCTTTTAGCACCTAACTTCACAAGCGTCTTGTGCATCGTTCGCAGATTCCGATGCTTGGCTTTGACTCCAACTTGATGTCATTGAAGTGGCATGCCACTGGTGGAAGACAATACCTAAGCGGGCGAATTTTGGGGAAGCTGATTTGCTTTCTCTGGTTTCAACATCATCGCCAGAGGCCAGATTGAAGTGAGGTTTGTCTTGGCGTGTGTGTATTGCATAAACCTGTCCGGTTCTCGCGTTCAACTGTCTAACACTCTTGGAGCTGCCAAGCAGATTGATACCAAACCCCTCATCACTTTCCCTCCACCAAAAACGATCTGTCTTTTGTGGGTTTCGACCATGAATTTGAGGCAGCCATTCAGTGCTGAAGCTGATGACTTTCGAAGGTGCCAGAACGGCTTGCGCATTCATCTTTTGGGAAAGCCCCAACAAAACTCGCTGGCACTCAGTAGGGAGTGAGGAATGGAATGACCCTTGTAAGCCATCCAACTGGTGGTTTGCTTGGAGACCGCCTGGGTGCCTTCCCTCTTTCCCTAGATTTGGCGACGGCCTGGCGACGGCTTCTTCAGGTCGCAGATCCCGCAGGTCACCTCACCTCACTACGCCCGCGCGCTCGGCGCCGGGGTTGTGAGAAATGGGGCCTTGGTACATACAAGCTGTGTTTTTTGGTGTACCAATTGTTTGTATACATCATATCATACTTAGAGAACAAAGAAGAAAATATGGAGGACAACATGTGTTTACCAACGAAGCTTTCGTAGAACGACTCCTTTGTCGGGCCATTGCAACAGATCACACTGTCGCTCGCCGTGTTTGTTGGGTAATGCTGGTTCTCAGTCGGGAATGACCCAGGGTGTTGGGAATGAACCGTTTGGGATCCCAACGAAAGGAAACCAACTCGGAGGATGGTTTCTTCTTGGGTCATTCCATTTCTCATTGCCCATCGAACCAGCAAGTAGTTCAGGTAACCCTTAGATGGCGGTTTGGATGGTAGGGGATTTGAGCCCAAGAAAAGCCTGGCCCAACAAGGGAAACCTGTGTTGAACTCACTAACATTTTGGGTTTGGACCATTTGGGTGGTGAATCACATGTTCAGACCTTTTGTGGTCCACTCAGGAAGTGAGAAATACCTCCCCCCCCCCCCACAAAAAGAAAAAGAACGAGTACAAAACAAAGAACAAAACAACAAACAAAACAAATTCAAATCCCCCCCAAAAGCAAAAACAAATAGAAAACAAAACAAACCAAATCGGACGTCGTATGACACCGAGGACTCCTCCAATCCCAGCTTGACGGTCCTTTGCGTGGCCACCTCAGAGCGCCGAATTGCGTTGGAGCTCGGATGCGTTGACCGTTGGCGGTGGCGAAATGAAAAATGCGCCGAAATGGCATCTTGGTAAATGGAACCAAAGAGTAAAACCTGCGTAACCCCTGCTGTTTGATTTTGAGCCACACCCATATATATATATGTATTCAAGGTCCTCCAGTAGTGCCCTTTCACGCTGTTTTGGGGGAGGGTTCCCCTTACTAAAATAGACTTCAGAAAAAGGGTGCCCGAATTCTAGCCCGTCCGCTGGAGGACCTAGTATATGTATGGGTGTGTCGTTTTTGAGGGTACCCCTTCTGAGGGAAGACAACAGGGAAGCCAAAGGGAAAATAGAAAGAATGTGCTTTGAGGGTCTTGAGACCCGGGCTGGTGAAAAGGCAGGCCAGAAGCAACAGCACCCATCCGAGGGAAGTTTGAGGCAGACTCCTATTGAAGAATAGTCACCCCCCAAGCATCATTTGGACCTGTGATGGAGAGGTCAGGATGGGTCCTCAAAAACGTCTTTGGAGGTCCCAAAATGTCTAGGGCATACAAGACTGGACACAATTGCTTGTTCCCCAAGAAAAGATGCAATGGGCCGATCGCAATTTCAGTAGACTGATCGCACCTGGGCAAGCTAGTTTCACTCACGGGAACTAAGGAATCCCCTAACACGTGGTCTTGTCTTACCCCGTCAATTCCTTATATGTTCTTTTGTCAAATCCATATATATATATATATATGCACACATACATAGATGCTGACTAACGACTACCACGACCAAGATGACAGGTGTAGAGTTGGATGACGAAAGATCCATTTTGCTGGGCACCGCAGCTGGTGCAGCAACTGCTTGCGCTTCGCACCTCTGCTTCCCCTTGAGCTGCGGTTCCCCACGCACTGGAAAACTCGGACACGGTCCTGAGGGGCACCATGGGGGATGGAAAATGGAGGCTGTCCTGTCCTTTGGAGGAACCCCTGTTGTTCCAAGTTGGGCACCAAGTTTTGGTAACCCTTCTTTCGCCGTAGCCTTTCGGTGCGGAGGAGATGATCTTGCTGTTTGATGTGACCTTCAATCTTTCAACTTTTGGACAAGCGCAGTCCTGGACAGGATGCTTCCCAATGAGTCTTCCAAGTTCTCTCAGCTTCCATGTTGGATGGTTGGTTGGTTGGTTGGTTGGTTGGTTGGTTGGTGGGTGGGTGGGTGGGTGGGTGGGTGGGTGGGTTGGTGGGTTGGTGGGTGGGTGGGTGGGTGGGTGGGTTGCGTTGGGTTGGGTTGGGTTGGGTTGGGTTGGGTTGGGTTGGGTTGGGTGGGGTTGGGTTGGGTTGGGTGGGGTTGGGTTGGTGGGTTGGGTTGGTGGGTTGGGTTGGTGGGTTGGTGGGTTGGGTTGGGGTTGGGTTGGGTTGGGTTGGGTTTGGGTTGGGTTGGGGTTGGGGTTGGGGTTGGCTTGCGTTGGTTGGCTGGCTGCCTGCTTGGTTGCTGGCCTTTGGGAAACGACCAAAGGTGACAAGAGGTCAGCCCTTCAGGTGGCTGCCAATGGCTACGAGGTGTCACCTGCACCTCTGAGGCACACGAGAATCGATCGATCGGATTTTGCCGAATCGGCCTGCGATTCGGTTTATGGCGAGCTCTCCGGTTTTTGGGGCCAGACGCTGCTTTTGAGGACTCGAAGTCAAGCGAAGAAGACATGTGGCCGTGGGTCAAAACCAATGGGATCCCATTTGGGGTATATAGGTGAATTCGCCACCCATTTGAGTCTATTTTGTCGGGATTGGGATGTTCACTGGGGGTACAGGGTTTTGACCCACAGCCATGTGTTAAAATTTGAAGACCCCCCCCCTTCCGAGTAGGAGTAGAGGATCAGACCCCAGGTCATGGGGGTAAACGAAAGGGTGAAGCTACGGAGGCGCATGTGGTTGCATCTGAGGGGTCTATGAGTCAAATCCGTTTTCAGGTGGGTTCTTTGGAGCCGAGATTGCATTCCAGTTTTACCAGGGATTTTTCGCAGTTAAGTGGTTGGTCTCAGATTCCATTTCACAAACCGACACGAGTTTTCTTGTTTTTTTTGCCACTTGCGCCCGGTGCTCTTTTCATTTATAGTGTTTTTCACTACTGATTTTCATCCCTTGCCAAGTCCTCGGCCACTAAAGCGGAGGGCTATTAACAAACTGGGGATTTCGGGGGATGAACGCCAGCCCCAAATGGAGAAGGTTTCCCTTGACTAGGTCTCCCAGTAGTGCCCTTTTGCCATGTCTTTTTTGGGGGGAGGTTTCCCCTACTAAAATAGACTTCTAGCCTCTCTACCGGAGGACTTAGCTAACGACTCAAACATAGCTCTGGAGAAATTTGGAGCCACACCCATATGGGTGGCGCGTCTTTCGGGAGCCCAAGTATTTCCGAACCTAGTTAGCTGGGACCAACTTATGGAGACGTAGTTAACTGGGAGACCCTCTTCTGGTTGCTACTGGAGGACCAAACCGTGAACGTCGAAGCCAAAGCGTCACCTTCGTTGCGACCAGGTGGAACCCACCAGCGCCCAGCGACCGCCCGGAGGAGCTCTCAAGGCTGGCGTGACGCTACGTGGGAGTTGGGTCTTTGGAAGCCAAAGGAACGTCACCATTTTTGGGTAGACTTAGGATACATTTTGCATTTTACCCTGGTGACTTAAACTGAAGCAAACAATATAATATACATTCTACTGGTTCCCACTCTAATCATGATCCTTTTTGTTCTGAGGGGGTCCCTAGTTGGGTGTTTCTTTGTTTGGAGCTGGTACCTGTCTTGTCTTGCTGGTTCTCAGCAGGGAATGAGACATGAATGACTCCGATTCAAACCATACAACTGGTGGTTTCCTTTAAGTGAATCCCTGGGTTTATTCCCACATTCCCTACTGAGCACCAGCAAGTTGTTGGTGGTTTCAAAGGAGCACCAACAGGAGCACCAACAGGAACACCGTTTTGTCATTTTGCGGGTCCCCCTCCGAAAAAGGGGACACAGCTGAATGGGCGTGGCCCAGTCAAGGTAGGGCTGCATATTGCCCCGCCCCCCCCCCCCCCTTTGAGCCACGCCCAGATAGGCGAAAAGACAACTGGTGGTGTCCCTTAGCTCTCTTTTTTTTGTTTCTAGAACCTCCAGGGAAAGGCTCTCTAGGGCTCCTCACACCACGGCTTTCCAGTGCCCACGGACTGTCCGACATTTGGCGTGCTGAAAGGGCAATAGTGCCCTTTTGCCATGTCTTTTTTGGGGGAGGGTTCCCCCACTAAAATAGACAAAACCGAAAAAAGAATCGGTGCCCTTTTCTTCACCTCTTTACTGGAGGAGCTAGTTGAGCTGGACTTGATCTTTGGGATACGTCAGGCTATGTAGGAGCACAGGGGACGGCCATACACACGAGCAAATGAGCTGGGGGGCATTTTTTGAAGAGGAAGTTGGTCCAAGCATGTCTCCAGATGCTTCAGGGTTGCTCCCCCGGAAGTAGAAACCGCCCGAAACATCGGTGCTTGCTTGCATTTCAGCGATGTTCCCTCCCCTCATTCTTCCCCGAGTTCCTGGACTTTACACCAAGAAGTTTGGTTCCTTTTTTGGTTGCCAATCCACTCAATCGGAAGTGAGCTCCCCAACTGCACGGTTTGGGACGCAGGGGCTTACTAGGCTGAACCCGCATCGCGAGGTGGGACGAGGAGCAGGTGGTGATGCGCCGGCCTCAGAACACCTGATGCCAAAGCCGCCCTTTGAACATCCAGTGGGCTATAGAGAGTCGGACCTCCAACATGGTGGCAGTTCCTTATGGTTTCCCATTTTTCTGTCGCAATCAGGGTGGCCTCAAAACAACACACTCCCATACGTGGTTGGAGTGTGCAAGCCGCCAATTTTGAGAGGGGCCCCATGTTTGTGGGAGGGGCTCCTAAGTTTCCTCTTCGGACTAAAAATGGCAGCAAATCATTTGAATCCACGAAACGGATCTAGTGAATGGGAAGTCTAAGTGGCATCCAAAGACAGTTGAGGTTCATCAACCCTTGAAGCCACCAACCTTCTCTCGGCGAGCTATAACCATTCTACAAACGGCTTGCAAACTCACCCGTGACCTCCAATTGCTTAAGAACATGCTTTTGATTTCCCCTGATGGCTTTAAAGGTGATCTACCTCTACTGGAAATATGTGTTTTTTTTCTCAGGGGACAGAAGCAAATAGAAGATGATGAAGGTCTGTGCTTCGGGTTCAATTTGTTTGTTTCACGTCGAAGAATCACCATTGACCCACTTCCACCCCCTTGTCAGAGTACTCCAGAGGACCGTGGTCAGAGGATTCCGCCCAAATTGCCTCCAACAAAAAGGGGAACCAAACGGTCCGGATGACTCCGAAGTTGACATTTCACCCCATGGGGTTCCAGTGAGACCTCAAAACCCGCATGCGCATCTCGGTTCAAAGGCTGAAGATATAGCTCCATTCAGACTTCAGCCTTGGCTGAAAGCTGGAAAGCTTCGAGCCCGTGAATTCCCATTGTGGATGCATCTGTGCCTTTGGCGCTCCGAGCCGCATGGATCTTCAGCCAGCGTAAACATGTTTTAACCATGGGTGTGAGGGAACCAAGCCCCGTTACCCTACTAACCATGTTCAGAACCTTAAGTGGGTTGAACCTTTTAGTAAACATATGTCGACCATGCTTATAAGTAGGGTAACTGGGGTTGGTTCCGTTATGGTGAAACAACTTGCCACTAAGTGGGTTGAACATCCAAGTGGGGCAAAAGTGCCTTCCTTGCTCCGACTTGCTTCCAGAACATGTTGTTGCTAGTTTCCTTTTGAAGGTCAAGGACATGTTTAGCCGTGGGCTCGGAGGCACTGGTTCTGGCTTATATACCACCAATATGAGACTGTCCGGCAGTAAATACCCCAAACAACAGTAAAGAACATTCAATTAGAGCGAGAAGACGTCCAGCAGTAAATACCCCAAACAACAGTAAATATCCTTCAAATAGAGCGAGAAGACTACTTTGAGGGCAACACAGAACGCCCCTAAGTAAAGACCACCGCTTTCAGAGATTCTCGAACTCAACAAACCGCGCCATTCTTGGAGTCTCCGATTTTGGGGCTTTAAGGAGACAAAGGCTTCTCCACTTGCATTGGGATATCAACACGAAATATGTCTGCGGGCGCAAGTGGGAAGCAACAAGAAACGGATCATTTGGCAGGATCTTTTTTTGTTGACCACGTGCTCTATATGAATCTGTATATATATATATACATCTGTAGTGTATATATATATATATATATATATATATTTATGTTAATATATACATATTGTTCATATCGTGTGTATACGCATGTGATACATATCGAGAGAGGGAGAGGGGCTGTTTTCAAGCCTACGTGTGGCTGATTTGTAGACTAAGCAGGAACAAAGACATATATGAATACATACTTGCTGAGTTATGTTTGTCTGTCTTTATTAGCCAAGCTTTGGACACTTGGGCAGCACCCTAGTACAATACTATTTGGAGGATTTCTCAATGTGTCACATCCATCCTGTTTGTCTTGCTGGTTGCTCACATGCTCAGTGAGTGGGAGGTTGGGAAGGTCAGAAGCGATCTTTTGACTGAGGCTGGTGGTAAAGTACTTCTGCGTGCAGACGCGGAAGATCATCACTCTCGGCTGCCGCGACCTTACGAGCATGCGCTTGGTCCGCCAAGTACCGGCCATCCGTCCAGAGAGGCTTGGTTTGCAACCAAAGCCAAAACCAACGGTCCCCTTTCCCTCTCGATTTCGAGAGGGGCCAAGGATGTTTGGGGATGCAAGTCTCTTATTTTGGCTCGCCTTCCGGGCGAGCCATATCGAGGCTTCCAAGCGGGGGCCCCTTCATGTGCATTGGCGACATGCAAATGGGTCGGCGATGAAGCCTCACTGTGAACGGACGAAATCCTGCACCACTTGGAAACCATGAAAAACCAGGGGAACCATCATTCCAGGGTTTCTTAGGTGGTGCAGGATTTTGTCCATCCCACAGTATTTCTGTGGGCTTGTCTAAATTTCGGATGAACGAGTCGTACATTTGGGCGGCTACGACTCTCTTCAAGCATGGTTTGGCGTACAAGCTCGCTCCTTTCCCAAAAGGTGTCGTGTTCCGAAAGCGCCCGCGTGGTGAGGTGAGAGGCGTTTAGAGGCAACCAAAACCAACACAAATACAGATCCCTGAAACTCGATCCGCTCGTTTTGCCAGAATCCTCTCTGCTTCAAAGGTGGCGCGAAACACTGGCTTGGAAGCGAGGCTGGATACCCAGTTGACTGGTTGACTGAGGCTTCTACATGCCGACCACTAACACTTTGGTGGAAATGGCTTTGGACCCAAGTGGGCGTGTCGACGGTGAGGGGGCGTGAAGGGCTTTACATGGACAGAGGCGGCACCCTCAGCAAACTTTACAGTGACGATGGGCCTGTTTGTTGTAGTTGGTACCTCCTTCTTTGTGGTTTTGAAGGGAAAGCAGAACAAACACCAAAGAGGTCCCCAAAAAACAGACACACCCATATCAGTTCAGCCATTGATGTTCTGCGATCAGTTGTGTTTAGTGCTGGGACCTGTTGTTTGGAGATTTCTTGCGTTTTTCAAGAGACCTGAATCGCAGGTGTAGGCCACAGGGTGCTGAAAACAACGATGCTGCAGTTTGGTCCTGACCTGACACATGGCAGGCTTCTTTGAAGAGACCTTGGACAAATGTATAGCCCGCAGACCGAATGTGGCAAAAGGATCCCTCCGAAAATAGACCTTGGGATTCTTGTTTTCTGCTTGATGTGGGAGATCGCAAGGAGACCCGAGTTCCTTATCCCCGGCAGCCTCCCATTGTTTCGCGTGAAGCCACCAAACCTCCAGTCTTTGAGCCGTCAGCACCAGGCCTAGTATCGTGTCATTTGCTGACCTACACGTTTCTTCAGAGTTTATACCTTCTTTCCCTTTCGTGAGTAGTGATTTGAGGCAAGCCCTGGTAGAAACCTGCACCGACTGGTATGAATCATGTGGACTCACTGAAGGATCTGGAAAAGTGTTTGGGTGACCTTTTTTGCCAAACATGGAGACATACATTTTGCTTTCTTTTCAGCCGAGCTTGTTGTCAATGGGACATCCCAAACGACATGAGGGTCCACTTCAGGCTTTGCTACATCTAGATGCCGGAATCAAACAATATGGCATTAGAGCGCAAACATCTGAGTAGAGAAGAGCCCAGCATATTTTAAGATGAGTGTTGTTTACAGGTTGGATTCCAATGCCCCCCTTTGTTTCCCTTAGTCTGAGGGTTTTTGTCCCTGGGATACACGGTTTTATTGGGGTCAATACCCATCAGGTGTATTCCCAGGGTGTAATACAAGAACCCGTAGACTTAAAGACTTAGGCCTGCGGGCGTATCATGAGGATTTGCATGGATCTGCGCGCGAGGTAAAGCACAAGTGGGTCCACGAGAGGCTCCAACCCTTTTTGGACACTCAGCAGGCGCGCAGAAGCTCCTTCCAGGGGCCGGCCCAAGCCGAATGTTTGAATCCAGGGCTCCTTACAAGATACATGTTGCCCATTTGAAACATGGCCTTTTCCACCAAAATGAAGGGACACCACCTTTGACAAGTTGCAATGTTCAGGTGTATTTCATGCATCCGGATCCCTGTTGAACTTGTCTGCTACCCCGAAAACGAAAGGCTCCCTGGCTCATGACTTTGAACGTTTGGACTCGCTGGGCCCAAAAGGTGAATCAACTTTCAACCGGTGATTTGGGGAGGGGCTCAACTCGCTTCACTTGCCGAATCCCACATCCAAAGATCCGCCGTTTTCCGCCCATAAATGTTGCAAGGGAACAGATGCAAGACTGAGTACCCCGGAGTTGGCTGATTGCCTGGCAATGGAAGTGTTTGGTGGTGGGAGGTTGGAACGAACCGTGTTCCCCACTTGCCAACAGAATGAGGGCTTGTATGGCTTATTTAGACATGAGGAAATGGCTTCAGACTTGCCGTTGTTTTATCTTTTTTTATGGCTGAACAATAGACAAAGGGTGCCATCACGAACAGTACAATCGAAGAATATGAAAGAGCTAGTTATTCAACTGTGCTTTGTTCACTCTCGAAGTGTGGGGAATCCGCTCGCTCCTTTCGCGGGACTGCACCCCAGAAACTGGGAACAAAAACTCTTCGAGGCGGGACTTGAGTTTTCGGGGATCTTACGTGGTTGCTCTATCGGTTTCACCGGAACGACTCGGAATGACTATGGCATGTAGGGGAATTTCGGCGTCTCTCCACCAGGGACAGTGTATTGTAATGTTGACCCCATATTAATCAACCCCAGTTCATTAGTGGGGTGGTTCCCTTTAAAAGTGGTCTGATTGCCCACATTTCACCCAGTGACACCCCCAATTAATGAATTAGGGTTGAATCATGGGGTCAGCATTATCCTTCCCAAGGTACACAAATCCGGCTCCGGCCACCACGTGGATTGAAACGCAGGCCATGACCCAGAAAACTTTGCCATACTTTGCCCATGCACGTACGTGCATGGCGCGCTTTATGGTGCATCATTGTTGTCATGCTTTGTTTTCGGGGGTGAGCAAATGAGCAAAGGATGTCATTTGTTTCTGAGGATGAAATAAGCAAGATGAAGCTTGAACCAAGAAATGGTCATGTTTGAGTTCATTTGAGATGACGAGAGCCAAACTCGCATGACCTCAGAAGGTGACCAAGCTGCGCAACATCAATTCTTAGTCATTTTCAGTTCCATTCATTGTCAAGGGCCCCTTTTTGGGCCCTTTCCTTTCGGGAAGGCCTGGGGCCCATTGTGGGATTCAAGGGGCGCGGATGCCCCCTGATAGGTCAACGCACCTATTGTGCGCTACGGCTTGCCCTCGATGGTTCGAAAGCTCCATGTAAAGCTTCAAAGCTCCGGGTCATTAACCTCTCTACCGGCTCATCGGTGGCTTCGCCGTTTCTGCCTTTCCCCGGGTTTGTTTGGAGCGTCTGAATCGAAGGTGGCGCCTCTGCCTCCCAACATGAGCTCTGCGGCTAGGGAGGACGCTGGAGGGGAGGGGAGTCGCGAGTCTTCCTCTTGGAAGCCCCTGGCGTGCTCGGCGTTTTTTTGGAATCGCAGGCGACTCTTTGAGAAGCTAAAAACGAACATGTTGGGGGGTCCAACCCTCAAAAATAGACGAGCCGCATCGAGCCCCCGACACTCGGGCTTCTTTCTTTTTGCATCGGGCATGAGGGGTCAAGCACCGTGGCTTGACAACACGAAGGGGAGGTTGTTCCAGGGGCAAGTTCCAAATGAACGTTGCAACGTAAGAAGCCTCTGGCCACAAAGCCAGCGATTCTTCAGGAAACTGAACGGCACGGCACCGCCTGGCAGACAAATACTAGGTCCCCCAGCTAGGTGTCTCTCTCCCCTTTTTTGGTTGGGAGGGTTCCCCTACTAAATTGGACTACAGAAAAAAGACGGTACCCTTATTCCAACCTCTCAAATTTGGAGGACCTAGAATAGTTCTCGCCAGAAAGACGGCAGCGCCCGGGAACGTCAAGATGACGGGAGCGTGCTGACCCAATTGCGGCAGGGAAAGCAGATAATGTTCACCCCGGATTAACAACCCCCTGGTTGATTAATAGGGGGGGGGTCCCCTTTTAGTGGGGATTCAGACCACTGTTGGAGGGAACACCCCCCTAATAATGGGACGGGTTTATTATTCCTGGGTCAACATTATCAAGAATACAGAATCGACTCAGGAGTTTCAAGTCCGTCGTCTTTCCTGGGCCGCAGCTCCCTAAGGGTGACCTCATGATTCCTTTCATCGCCAACCTGGCTTTAAGCGTACTTTAGAGCCTCCGGCTCAGTCCGCCGACATTGTCCTCTCCCTTTTCTCCTTCTTCCTCTCTTCCTTGTCTCCCTTGTGTGTTCTGTCGTCCTCTCTCCCTCCCTCTGCTCCCATCCTCCCCATCCCCCCAAGCCTCTCTCTCCCCAATCTCCCTCTCTCGTATGTATGCATGCATGTACATAAGTATGTATGTATGCATGTATGTATGTATGTATGTATGTATGTATGTATGTATGTATGTATGTATGTAGGAATGTATGTATGTATGTATGTACATAATGTATGTATGCATGTATGTATGTATGTATGTATGAATGTAATGTATGTATGTATGTAATGTATGTATGTATGTAATGTATGTATGTATGTATGGATGTACTTATGTATGTATGTGTGTATGTAATGTAATGTTACGTAATGTAATGTAATGTAATGTAATGTATTGTAATGTAATGTAATGTAATGTATGTATGTATGTATGTACTGTAATGTATGTATGTATGTATGTATGTATGTATGTATGTATGTATGTATGTATGTATGTATGTAATGTATGTATGTATGTAATGTATGTATGTATGTATGTATGTATGTATGTATGTATGTATGTATGTATGTATGTATGTATGTATGTATGTATGTATGTATGTATGTATGTATGTATGTATGTATGTATGTATGTATGTATGTATGTATGTATGTATGTATGTATGTATGTATGTATGTATGTATGTATGTATGTATGTATGTATGTATGTATGTATGTATGTATGTATGTATGTATGTATGTATGTATGTATGTATGTATGTATGTATGTATGTATGTATGTATGTATGTATGTATGTATGTATGTAATGTATGTATGTATGTATGTATGTATGTATGTATGTATGTATGTATGTATGTATGTATGTATGTATGTATGTATGTATGTATGTATGTATGTATGTATGTATGTATGTATGTATGTATGTATGTATGTATGTATGTATGTATGTATGTATGTATGTATGTATGTATGTATGTATGTATGTATGTATGTATGTATGTATGTATGTATGTATGTATGTATGTATGTATGTATGTATGTATGTATGTATGTATGTATGTATGTATGTATGTATGTATGTATGTATGTATGTATGTATGTATGTATGTATGTATGTATGTATGTATGTATGTATGTATGTATGTATGTATGTATGTATGTATGTATGTATGTATGTATGTATGTATGTATGTATGTATGTATGTATGTATGTATGTATGTATGTATGTATGTATGTATGTATGTATGTATGTATGTATGTATGTATGTATGTATGTATGTATGTATGTATGTATGTATGTATGTATGTATGTATGTATGTATGTATGTATGTATGTATGTATGTATGTATGTATGTATGTATGTATGTATGTATGTATGTATGTATGTATGTATGTATGTATGTATGTATGTATGTATGTATGTATGTATGTAATGTATGTATGTATGTATGTATGTATGTATGTATGTATGTATGTATGTATGTATGTATGTATGTATGTATGTATGTATGTATGTATGTATGTATGTACGTATGTATGTATGTATGTATGTATGTATGTATGTATGTATGTATGTATGTATGTATGTATGTATGTATGTATGTATGTATGTATGTATGTATGTATGTATGTATGTATGTATGTATGTATGTATGTATGTATGTATGTATGTATGTATGTATGTATGTATGTATGTATGTATGTATGTATGTATGTATGTATGTATGTATGTATGTATGTATGTATGTATGTATGTATGTATGTATGTATGTATGTATGTATGTATATGTATGTAATGTATGTATGTATGTATGTAATGTATGTATGTATGTATGTATGTATGTATGTATGTATGTATGTATGTATGTATGTATGTATGTATGTATGTATGTATGTATGTATGTATGTATGTATGTATGTAATGTATGTAATGTATGTATGTATGTATGTAGGTATGTATGTATGTAAGTATGTATGTATGTATGTATTGTATGTATATTTCCCGCAAAAACACGGTTTTTCCAGCGTTTTCGCAAAGAGGACGTCCAAAAACATTGAGTTTTTCCAGATTTTCGGCAAAAGGATGCAGGAAGCCCAAGCCAGCAAAAAAGCCGGCAGGGGGAATCGAGCCTGGGACCCCTGTTTTGCGACACCGGCTCCCCGAAGACTACGTTTAGTGGAACGTCATCAAATTGCCGCGCGGTACGTGGGGGACCCCCCCCCCCTCCCCCCCAAAAACCTACGTAATAGACGTCGGGCGGGGGGGGGGGGTTATCCTCTATCCTCTAGTAAGTATCCGACACGCCGAGCAATGTCGGCGGATTACAAGTTCCCAGGAAATTATTTTGCAACCACTTCCCTTGGCGCCTTACCCCTTCATTGCTTCAATCAATCGGTTTCTTTTTCGTCAGCCCCAGAATCATGGGACTCCACGTGTCGAATGTGGGACAGGTTTGATGACTCCATCACTCCGGAGACTTCTAAGGCTAGCTTGCCATTTTGCCAATCGAAAACGCGTCTAAAGGACGCAGAAAGCCGGCAAAGGTGCCCCCCACGAATCGAGTCGTAATTTCAATCCCTTCCCGAGCAGCTCAAAGTCATGCTGAGCTTATGGTTTAGCCATGAAAGCAACCAAGACTTGTGGCGAATGGTTGGAACATTAAACACACCATGACGAAGAGGTCACCGGAACATCAGTTGTGTTGGTGTTTGGTGATTTCAGGGGAATCCCTTGAAAGTAGTCATAGATATGAATGGGCCATGTCAACTCACTGAAAAAAGTGTATAGGTTATAGGTTCCACAGCCATGCCTCTTTTCGTGTCCTCTTTTCGTGTCCTCTTTTCGTGTCCTCGTTTCGTGTCCTCTTTTCGTGTCCTCTTTTCCTGGAACTTTTCAGGCATCCATGCAGGTACTGCCTTGCGCGCGCTTTGCGAGCCTAACCAGCGTCTTCCACATATACCATACCCTTTGCTGAGGTACGTGTGCTCCCGAAGATATGTGGGCACCATTGAGAAACTCTTGTTGAAGGGCCACATATTTTGGGAGCGCCATGGTGTACAGAGGAGCAGCAAACTGAACCGCTGGGTGCAAAGCAAATGAGCAAGAAACAATTCAGGAGTCATTGAAGATTTGTGCGGAACTTCTCAGTCACTTGCCCAGCAGGTTCCACTCTTTCGGGCCGTCTCTTTCCCCTTCAATTTCGAGCAACAGAGACGGGGTACTCCAACCATTGCAGTTGAACAGGAGGCTTCCCAACATTGTCTTCCACCCCCCTCAAAAGTAAAACCAGCTCTCCAGGGGTACAGTTGTAGATTTGTTGTTTGCTTCTGCACTGATCAGTGTGCTGTTCTACACTGATAGACTGCGTGTTGCCAAAAGGAATGATATGGTCGGCTTGTCGAACGCAAGGTGTCTCCATTCAATCTATCAGAGTGTCTCAAATGTTCGGCGTTCCTCCCGTTTGTATGAGCTATGAACCGTGGCCAGATTCAAATCACCCGAGCAGAACTTCCGGGGGTTCCAGTTTTAGGACTCCCCGAGACCCAATTTGGGCTCAGACTCGCCGAGCCAAGCCGACCCCAAAATGGCTCAATTTCAGGCGAGTGTCCCTTTAGCCAAAGGGATGTTCCCCAAAAAATCGACCCCCTGTCGCAGTGACCAAAAGGCTTCGATCCCAGTCCTGGGGTCTGGTTCTGGGTCTCCCCCGGGCCCTGGTGAGCGACCGGACGCCTGCGACTTTGGGGAGGTTTGCTTGAAAAGATAAGTTGTGGGGGCCCGGGAGGCCCAAACCATGGTGGTGGGATGTTTGCTTGATTGGATTGTTTTTGGATTGTTTTGTGGGGGAGACCCAAGACATGGTGGTTGTCCTTGTCGCCGTGCCAGTGTTTGAAAGCCCAAACATGGCCACATCAAGGGGGTAGCCTCAACAAGAGAGACGCCCTCGTGTGTTGTGTTCCTTAAACACATGAACCCACACCCCAAAAAGGGAACTTCTTCCAGATGCCCTCCAGGTGCCATGTAGGAAGGGTAATGGTTTAAGCAATCCTTTGATCTTCAAAGAGGGGTTCAAAACCCTCCCACAGTGCCATGTTAGTGGGAAGGGTAATTAGCCTCAGCAATCCATGTTGGGAGGAAGGCTACTCAAAAATACACTCCAAAAAGGTTGTTCTAACACAGGGCTCCTTAAAAGATACATGTTGCCCATTTGAAACATTGTTTTTTTCCACCAAAATACAGGGACACCACCATTTACAACAGACGCGCCCCTCGAAGAAAAGTCAGACGCGGGCGCAAATCCAAAAAGGCGCCCGGCGAATCGGATCCAGGATGGCGCGCTCACCTGGGAGTGCTGGGAGGAATACACCGAGCTGGGCCCCCAGACGTCCAAGAGCTCGTCTGGTTGAGTGCTTGGCCTTGTGTGTGTGTGTGTGTGTGTGTGTGTGTTTGTTTCTTTGGTCAGGTATTTATCGGGAAGCCAAACAGAAAACCGTTGTTCGCCTGCTTCCATAAGTCTTTGCAAAACAATTTGGCTGTTCAGCGAGAGCTTCCTTGGAGCCTATTGGTCACGTTGGCGGGTTTGCCCACCTTCACGGTTTCTGATCGGACTCGACAATTTTTGATCGGACCAGGCATGTTGACCAGCCCCTTTTCTGACCATCCAGGCATGATCCCCAGAAAAAAAATAAGGGAAAAACAAAAACAACAACGGGTGAAGGGGACATGAGCCACTTGAGTTTTGCCATCGATAGCGTGAAACACGATCATCAGAGAGCTGCCCGGATTGGATCCAAAGTGTTTCGAAAGCCCTGAGGATTTTGGATCTCAGCCAGGTGGAGTCGGGTTTCATGTTGACCCCATATTCAAAAAGAATCAACCCCTGGTTGTGAATAGGGGGGTGTTATTGGGTTTCGTGGGGAATCATCACTTTGCCCACCTCCCTATGAACAAACAGGGGTTCGGGTTGATTCATATGGGGTCAAAATCAAACCCCACAGACTTGTGCAAAGTGTAAGTTGACACGCGGGCTTCATGTCTAAACTCCTCGCTCGGAGTTTCCGTGCAAAAAAAGGCGGATCTGCATCAACGCCTTAAGATCCCATTCGACATGCACAAGTCTCACTCGAGTTCCCTTGTGGACTTTAGGCACTTGTTGGGTTTTGGCCCATGGTAAGCACAAAGCTGGGACTTCTTCTGGCCACGGAAGTGAGAATGGCGGTTTGGAGCTGGAGAACGGAGGCCTTTATGGCCAATTTAGTTGGATCGTTGGACTTTTTGGTTGAACATGTTGAAACGGTGGGTTTTTCTATTCACAAAAAGTCACAAAGGCTTTTGCAGAAGCCAAGATGCTCCGGCACTTGCCGTTCTTTTCAGTGGAACAAGCCTCACTTCCTGAGTTCCTGGACTTTAGTCACTTTTTGGGTTTCACGACTTGAAGATTGATGGGAATTGACCATTTTTAGCGGTGAATAGAAAGAATTCGGACCTTTTTGGGTTGCCTTTCCTTTCTCGGGGAGCGAGAAACAGAACGCTGGCCCATCGGGACCCACGGGCCGCCATCGAGAGCGAGGCGAGAGGTGCAGCAGCGGAACCCCCGGAAGACCGTGAAGTCCGAGCGCTTGTGGCCGGGGATCCCAGCGGATTCGGATGCATGCTCTTTGTGGGGTTTCAACCCCCTCAGTCTGAAGCCCCACAAGGAATTGGACACCCCTACGCATGCTCGTTTTTTGGGGATGGGGGGGTTCAAACCCCTGCAAAAAGTGGTGTGAACACCCACTCAAAGGGTTCTGGACACCCTTATCAACGTCAACCAGGGGGTTCTTATTTTTCGAGGTTCATTCTCATGAAATCCGGGTTTTGAGTTGTTTAAACGTCTCAGTTTTCAGTGCTTGGCCTTTCCGGGGACTTCGCAAGAAGTCGAGGTGGTTTTTCCATCCTTTTGAACCATCCGTTTCAGAGGCCCAGCCCTTTCCCGTTGTTCTATTGTGTTTCTGCCACTACAAGGGCCTCAATAATTTTAAGATTGAAACCTGAAATAGTCTAAGGCTATATTTAAATCATGTCACGGCAACAAAGTACTCAGTGGCCACTGCCCCGGTCGCGTGCCTTTCGCAGGTTTTGCCCTTGGGGCGCCCGCAGACGAACGGACGGTTTCGACCACACGGGAAGTTTCGCTGTCAACCGGCTGGGCCCAGAGGCCCAAGGTTGGGGTCCATGGAGGTAGGCGACCGCCTTCTTTTTCGAGTTGAACCAAAAACCAAGAAGGTGTTCCAAAAGAAGCAGCTGTCAGACGCGGCCCCTAAAATAGACGAAAGAGAATGAAAAAAGGGTACCCTGATTCTCACGAATACCAGGGTTTTGATCTCGGCCCAAGTGATCGCCACTGAAGTGAGAGAGAAACCCGAACAAACTTCTCCCGGCGACCGGTCTGCCGAGCCGCATGCGAGGACCGGAGACATCCTCGTGTGGCAGCAGGTCTCTCCCCCGCCCGAGGTGGCTGGAGAGGCTCGATCCGCAGAGGGATCCTCTGGCCTTGGTTTGGCCTTGTGCCGTTGAAGTGGAACATGCTCAGGACCGGCAAATATATATATATATATACATATATATATGTACGTATATATATATGCATATATATATATATATACACATATAACATAATATATATATATATATATGTATATATATTTACATACTCTTTTTTGGTGCGTCCTCCCACCACGCATAGAACCTGACGTTCGGGGGGTCCTGCTTTGAACCATTTTCCTTTCAAAGGGACAGCCGAACGTCGGGTTCCCTGCTACTTGGCGGGAGGAGGTACTTAAGATCACCGTTAGCTGGGTATCAGGGTTCTTCTTTTAAGACTACCTGAACCCTCAAAATTCCTTTAAAAATGGGTTTGACCCCCAAAATTATGGGGTGATATCCCATTTTTATGGGTAGTTTGAGGGTCCAAGTACCCAATCTTGAACATGGGGGAACTGGACAACCTCCTTTCTTTTGCCCGGATTTCTGGGGCATCTCGGTGCATCTCTTAGGGTGTGGTCCCTTGTCTTGAGCGTCCTGCGTCCATTTGTTTGACTCTTTGGGGGGTTGGAAGCCTCAGTCCCTGAACTCCTGGGCTTGAGTCGCTTGGTTGGAAAGATGGGCTTTGTAGATGGAAGGCTCAGTCTTGTTGGCCAAGCCACTCAGGAAGTGAGAACCGGGGGGGGGAGTTTCCTGTTCACCTGTTCACCTGCGGCTGGCCGGGAACTCTGGCCTATCGCAAGCTGGGCTTTTGGGCACGTGGGCTCCTAAACAAATGGTTTCTCGAGTTTCCTTGTTTCCAGAACCGGTACCGAGCAGCGGGACAAATTTATGACCCTGCGGCTTGGTTGTAATGGGTTCCTCTCCCTCACCCCTTTTTTGCGTATTCCGGGTCAAAGTAGGTATGCGCGTTCGGTGGGCATGCACGTGAACCACAGATAGAGTTCATGGGTTCTTAGGGACATGGGCAGTAGGTCATGTTGTCAGAGTTGGAGTTCTTGGCGGTGAGAGTCACTTAGGGAAGGGTTAGCTCATTTAGATCACCTTCCGGGTAGTTTCAGACGAGTGCCTAGCGCTTGCCTTGTTTCACACTCCCGTAGCGCTTGAGCTGCACGAATTGGCCGCAGGAGTATTTGCTTCAGCCCGGTCAGGCTCAACGGATCGCCCGGAGCCGCGTTGAGTTTGGGGCACGGGTCGTTTAAAATATGGGGGTTGATCAAGATCCTCGGCCCACAAATGACCAAGGGCTACTTTTTCCCTGGCGGTTGAAATTTGTCATCTTGTGGTCGCCATGGTCATCCCAGGTAAAAGGACCTTTTGATCGACCCCCACATGTTCATGCCGTTGAAAGAAGGCCCTTTAACATGTCCCGTGAATCTTTCACATGAAGTGGGGGTGAAGTGGAGGTGAAACTACTAGCAGCCTCGTTCCGGTTGGCTTCTTTGGGTGTGTCTTTCTTTGAGGGTACTCCGTTTTTGTGGGTTGCAAAGGGAAACCAAGAGGAACCCGTTGCGCCATTCTGGGGGTCCTCTGAAAAGTGACATACCTGACTGGGCGCATGAATTATAGCAATCTGACGACATTTGCCCGGAAGCCGCTCTGGATGTGTCGATCGTTGTGCCTTAAATTGGCAGCTGGAACTTAGAGACACGTTGACACTTGAAACACCTGGGTGTTGAACATTGTTGTTTTTTGCTCTCATACTCCGTGGACTTGCCTTAAGCTGGTTGGAAGGGAAAATCAAGATGGGACGCATAGTCCTTTGCTTTCCCTTCAAGATCCCGCAAAACGTAGCCTCAATAGACGACACACCGTCCTATGCCGCAAACCCCCGTTCCATGTTTGTGGACGAGAGCGTACATCACTCCCTGAGTTCCTGGACTGTGCAAACTTGGTGTTTCCCAGCCGTCCCCTTCGGTTTTGGGGTTTTGAGGGTTGAGTGGGGCTTTCCATTTAACCCACTAAATGTTCTTTTAGCAGCGGATCGGAAAACGGACAGCCCAGTAAAAAAACACGTTTCTCGACGTCTTTTCTCCAATCCACTCGTTGGACAGTGAGACGAAAGCAGTTGGGAGTCGGAGCTGAGCTTCAACTCTTGTCTCGGCCAACCTACGCATCATGGACGAAGTACATTTGGCATCGTTCATCAACCTGAAATGAGTCGATTCCCCAACGTAAATACCAACAACACGTTCTGGTTTCATTCCGATAATTTCTTAGGTCCTGGGTGGCGGGAGATGGATATCTCAACCATCCACAGTGTTTCACTTTTCCATTTCTTCCACGTCCAGGCAAGAGACTGAAGCGACCTTCCTCAGAGTCTTGGATCAGACTTTACGGTTCCTGGGGGTTTCAGCCAGGTCAAGATAGATCCATGGGTCAGAATCATGTCCCCTTTTGTCCCCATTGGGATTCTGATTCTGGCATGTCGGGCTGGGCTTCAAGCAATTTTGACACAACATTCCAACAACTGAGAAAGGAGCGTGAAGATCCACTCGAGCCACAAGCGATAAATTTGAGTAGGCTCGCAGGGCTTGTGATCAGGTTCGGGAGATCGCTGTATATGCGCCGGACAAAATGAATGTGTCCCCCCCCCCCCCCCCCGATGATGAATCGGGGCTTGGCCCATATGGTGTTTACAATGGCAGCACAAGTTGTGACCCATGATGTTTTGGGTTGTTATTCTCCCGAAAAGGGCCAAATCTCCCCAAGTGGTTTTAGGTCTAAAGCAGAGGGGAGAACCATGTTTGGGGCAATCATGTGCATCGCCAGGTTGCTCCCACCTACCCGGTGAACAACGTGGCCGATTTGGCCGCAGCACCGGCGAGTTGAATCGGAATTGGGCCCCTTGAAGCCAAGATCGCAGATCGCCGCTGCCTTGAACTACGGCTCGATGGCTTATGGCGATTTGGCTGTGGGTCGAAAATATGAATTCCCAAAATGGAATTCTGGTAAATGAAAACATGGACGAAAACCTGCGGTCCAATTCCTGGTGGTGCAAAATTTTGACCCATACCCATTTGGCCTTTCGGCCTTTTGGACTTCGCGCTTTAATTTGTTGGTAAGCGGGGGATTTGGACTTTGGACTTTTGACTTTTTTCAAAAAAAGTGGACTTTTGGACTTTTTGTAGAGGGCTTTTTGGATTTACTTTGGACTTTTTTGGACCCGCAGAAGCAAGCGCACTTTTTGTAGAGGGCTCGTTACAGCAACCGGGATTGGCACCAATGACGGGTCGGCTTACTTTTCCTGAGCCGTCCGGACCGCGATGGCGCACAGCCATGGTCGTGCGGGAACCAACTTTGGTTGCCCCACCATGGCGACACATTTGGGTGTGGGTCAAAAGCCTGTACCCCTGGTGAACATCAAACTAGGTGGTACATGGGTGTTCATCCGCCCCAATGGAGGCATAGACATATTTGGGCACAACCCCTGGTTGATTTTGATTGGGTGTGTCCCCTTTTAGTGGGGAATCAGACCACTTTTGGAGGGAACACCCCCCTAATGGGACCGGTTTATGAATCCAGGGCTGTGACGTGGGTCAAACAAAAATCGCCACCAGGAATTGGACCGGTTTTAGTCTTTTCCATTTACCAGGGTAGCCCATTTTGGGAATTCATATTATTGACCCACAGCCATTTCTTACAAAGCCAGAATATCCAAGGGAAAAGTTCTGGGGTTAAAAAATAATAATAGCGGGCTTGCAAGAGGGCACAACAGCCGGGAGGAAGGTTCCGTTCATAGGAATCCCTTGTTTTCCTGCACTTGACCCAGATTGGACAGGCCCCGCCATGAAGGTGCCTTAGGCGTTCCTTGTTTTTGATTTGTGAATCATTGGGGGTGGTGGTGTGAAGGTGTTTGAATTGAGTTTCCCTTGGGTTTGCTTGACGTGTGTAGAAACGGAAAGACGTAACCAGGATTTACGAGAAGCAGTTTGCTACATGGGCAGGTTGCGTTTTCAATTGCCCCTCGGACGTCTTTGGTCGTGCAACAATTTCCAAATCTTGGGGCCTGCGGTTGAACAACGTACCAACAACTAGTATACCTGGAGTCTCTACAGCTTCATGTTGAGACTCCATTTGGAGTCACAACAAGAATATCAATGAACAAGACAAAAAACACATAGCATACTGCTATTTGACACTGGCTGGGCAATTTGCAAAGCTTGCGGGTTTGGAAGAGCCACACGAATGGCACAGGACGACCCCTTCCTGGGCCATTTTCCCGGACGAAAAATCCACGGGATCATGGATCATGGTTTCCGGGCCCGGCGGAATCATTCGGCATCGTTCAGTGGTTGTTACGTCCTGTTCTGGGGCACCGGACCTTCTGAACTCGAACTGGGCAACCAACTTCCGGTTTTGCCAGGTTCCGCGTTGGTTTCTTTGTTGCATTTTGCTTGGCTGTTAGGACTCTAACTTTTTGCCAACTCATGGGTTTGTTATTAAACCACTAAAAGTTCAACTTTTAGCAGGGGTGCAGAAAGCAACCGAGGTTTGTCCGGTCTTTTCCCAGCTCCGAATGACGGTTGCTAATGGTCAAAACTCCGAGTGCTGTCCAAAATCCAAAAAGCATTGCTCGGGTGGAGATGCCACAACGCAGTCCATTGCCAAGGTCCTTGAAATTATTATTTTTTCCCCAAAGATGCTTGTTTGCTTTCTGGCCAGCGACTGAATTGGATCGGACTTAAACAAGCACTTCCCACCTGGTTCGATGAATGGCAATGGGCTTGTTGGCAAATGTTGATGTCCACGTCGTGCTTACGATCAGGCCGCAGTGAATTAGTTGACAAGGTATCTGGGCAAGCTCGGGCGGCGAGTGCTTCTTGCCGCATCGCGCGCCTTTTTGATGACATGATCTAAGATGCGTGACATTGCGTGATAATGAGCAGATGATCCACACGGAAGAGCCTTACCCCGCATCTCCTCTTGCCAGCGGGACTGGTCGTCTCTCAGGAGCAAGAGCCGTTGTAGGACACTGAGTTGAAATAGTCGATCCAAATTTGGGTGTGTGTGTTTCTTAAGGGATACCCCCCCCCAAAAAAAAAAGGAAGAAGAGTAAAACATAATCATGGCTTCCTTTTGATTCCTTTCAACAAAAAGGGTGACCTGCAAAACCACACGCTGGTGTAGTAGTTGCTTCTGATAGACACATTCTAGAAGCAACAGTCAATGAGCGTTGAGGCTTCGATTTCAATTGGTCTCGGATCATGCTTGTCGAAGAACAGGTGATGCCAGATTTACAACGTATGTTGATCGTTTGCTCCAAACCCTACCTTTAGATTTGTTGGGGAAAACCCAGAGACTCACTCCCCCCACTACCCCACAAGCACATTCAGGGCAGCCGCGTTTGTCAGGCCAGTTTGTGGGAAGACTTGTTTAGAGAGAGTTGAGCCACTAACCTCGGTTGAAGGCTAGTTGGAGGGGAGTGTTATGCACGGATAACTATGCTATTTTGCTTCTTGACCACTGTAGACCCCTTCTGAATCCCTTGCCTACTGTCAAAGGTGGGGGGGAGGTTGGGCGTAGCCCTCCCATGATCCAGCCCGTTGCGGGTTTCGCCAGGAGCATCAGTTGAATACCATCGACGTGCAAGTGACTTTGGTGGACAGCAAACAGGCACGATGCCCGTGAACAGTCGCTGTCTTTTGAGGGATGCTTCTCTGCACAAAATGGTCAACCTCCCAGGAACATTTGAGGTCCCAGGTGCTTTCAAGGAACAGCGGGCGGAAAGAATTGGGCAAGGCCAAACACGTTTTGCCAAGGTAGTCTAACAAAAATAACTCTGGTGCTTCCGCCATTAAAGGGGGGGTTCCCGGTCCAGCCTTTTCGACACAATCACTTTAGGATCAACGTTTAGACAAATGCCGCGATGAGCACCATGTGTTTCGATGGACAGGCAAACCACTCGCCAAGAGTTGGCGAGTCCGAAGTGATGCGCGTCTCTCTTTCTCTCTCGCCCTGACCGTGGAGGCCTCATTTGGCAACAGCTTTGGCACTGGCTAGCCTTAATGAGGCTGATTCAGCCCAAAGTTGTTTTTGGTGCGTCTTTTGTGGGTGCGGCGGTTAGCCTCACCCAGGGCTTCTTTCCTGAAATAGCTGGGCAAGCAAGCTTGTCTTGCTGGTTCTGAGAACAGATTGAGCCAGAATTTGCCTTGTGGAACGTTGGGATCTTTTCCATGGCAGACATTCCATGGGGCACGAAAGCTATTTGCTGAGCGTCGTGGGCTGCGCCGCTCTAAAGTAGCGATTGGTCACACCGTTCTATTGGGGATGGAACTTTCTAAATTGAGCCACACTCAAAACCCGTGTAGATGAAGGTTAGTAAGGAATCATCCCATAAATAGGTGCATCCGCCTTAATCAATGGTTTGGGTAGACCATTTTGATACCGGAGTTTGATTATGACTGACTTGACGCTGACTTGACTTGGTTGCCTCTACAATACTGTCATGTTTGGCCATTAAAGTAAAGCTGGAGCCTCCTCAAAAGTAGTTGGTGGACATAAGTTCGCACCTAGTTTATGCAAAGAGTCCTCTGTTGAAATTTGCGCCCATGTCTATTGTTGTCGGATCCGCATGCCAAAACCCTCCCTCAGAGGTTCCTCGTGAAAGTAAAACCCTCCTCACTGTTTCTTTTTTTTATTTTTTTATACGAACATCTTCAATATGTCTCACTAGGCTGTAACCGTCCTTTCTGGTCCAACATTGGTCTGTGCTTTGTGAAAGATGGTCACCTTTTCCAGATTTGTGTGCAATTGAGGCCACTCGTTCAACCATCAGTTCGCCTGAAGATTTGGGTCGCATAGGATACCTTCAACGCGTCTCTTTGTTTAGCTTTTTGAGGTTCAAAACCAGCCGTTTCTTTCTACCAGTTGGGTTGCAGCGGATGAACCGGTCGCCAGGTAAAACCAGCTTCTGGTACCGGTTTTTTAGTGGTAGGAAAGCCAGTAAAAACACCAGTCATTATTGGGGGTAGCTTCTTTTAGGAAACACCGAAGGAACGGTTCGGACTGGTAAGATGTTATGACATATTCAGGGAATCGTGTTGGATGGCTTGACAGAACGATTCTACGGGCATTGTCTTGCTTGTTCCTACAGGCCTAGCCATTGCGGGCCCCCAGTGGGGGTCGGTTCAAGTAGGGTCCCGTGGCAAAGTCTCAGTGGGATCCTTGTGCCTCGGTTCACTCCCAAAGCCAGCCACCCATCCGATTCCGCCCGCGCTTTGCCAGCCACTTTGCATCGACGGCGTGGTGATGAACGGCCACTGGGGGCCTTACAGGCACGTGCGTGGCGCTTGACGGCCACTCGGTTTGATCGGTTCACTCGAATTCCCCCTCGGGTTGAAAGAGGTTTCGTGTTACTTGGTGTTAGTTTGGTGCTTGTTCTTCAATTGCTTCGTTGTCCGGCGTGTTGCAGTTGGTTTTGAGAGGGAGGACACACTTGGGCATGGAAGGAAAGCCTGCCCAAGTTTTCAACAAAACAGGGGGTTGCTCTGCGAATCCGTCCTGCTCTGCGTGTAAACAAAAGGAATCACACAGATCGCCGTGGCCAATGGGCTGCGGATGCGACTCTGTTCGGCAGTTGTTTGGTCAATGCAGAAGCGAGGCCTTGTCCGGTAGAGATCATTGGGTCAGGTGAAGAGAAACGCCGATTGCTCATCTAGCGGCCATTCCTGAAACACAAAATCATCAGAGACCTGCGCAGGCCGGCCCTTTCACTGGGACTGGTCACCAACCGTGGCGACCAAAGACCTGCTAGCTTGCTTTGACAATGTCTACATTTCTCGTGTTCAAGGCCTCTCATAGATTGCGTTGCGAGGTCAGGGGTCTCGCCAAAAACTGCCTCGGTGTTCCTACGAGTGGTCCTTGGCTGCCAAGCACTGACATCCCCACCAGTTGGGATGGATGAACCCCCCCCAATCTAAACATAACATGTACAGGTAGATACACGTTATGTGGACAAACCTCTGCACAAGACGATGAGTCTTATTTACTTTGCCGGCGCCTCGCTCCATCGTACGCTGGAAGCTTCAGCCACGGGCTGATTTATCGAACGGGGAAAGACACGCGTGCCACTTGAGGGGTTGACGATTGCCTTGGGAAAAGAAAGGGAGCTCGATTTCCTCAGAGGAATCGATCAAAAGGCACACTCCGCCCTGGGTTCTAAGTCTGTAGATGTCGCTCAATGGAAGCTACAGTGGATTTGCGTGAGTTGTTTCAGACCTATTTTTGGACCCAGTAGCCTGACCCAGGGGCTGATATTTACGGCCTGCTTTTCGGACTTTTGGGCCATTCGACTCTGCAGGCCATCCACAGCCCGGGGCACCCAGTCGCCAGCATGCGGTAAGACCTAAGGCCCGTGTTCTAAGTTCCCCATTGGCTTTCAATCCTCCAAAAAGAAATCGACAGTGGCCGGTTTTGGTTGAGACCTGATACAACCAATGGCTTCCATGAAAGTGTAGGGTTGACGTTATGCCCAGCTAAAGATTGCTGACGTTATGCCCTGCTGGTTTCCCTCCATTTCGGCGGAATGGGGGTTTGTCTCTAACAGAACAATGTGGAGCCCACAAAATGGGTGGTCGCCCTAACGCATACCCTCTAACCACAAAAAAAGGTATCCTCAACTTGGATGCATTGGTGTGAGCAAGGAACGACACGCAGTGAGCCTTCCATGTTTCTAAGCAGTGAAGGTGGGGTGTTTGTTTGAGGGATGCTGAGCGTCTCCGTTTAAGGCTTCGGCGAGTCCCAACCACCGTGGGTTCCGGCGCCTTGAGTTGACTCCTTCAATAGACTGGTCCGTGATTAGTGCGGTGCTACATGCGATGATGGCTTCGCAGTTGGGTGCTTGTTCACATGGTAAGTAATATAGGAACCACTCCTGCAAGCGAACACGAAGTCCAAAAAGAGGGGATGCTTCTATGTTGCTGGGTGTCATGTTAATGTGCAGGAAAGCATGTTCAAGGGAATCGTCGTGTATGAACCCGTGCTAGAGGTTGTTTGGTACTCATGTTAATTTCACGGACTTGTTAATCGATGGTGTTCCTCCCCCAAAGCATCAACTAGTGGTTTGTTTGCGAACAAAAAACGCACACCAACCTTTTTTTGGAAAAGCAACTCCAAGTGAGGTACATGTATCATGTCGCGCAACTCGGGTTTAGCCAAAGATCAGCAGGGCAGCTTCAGGCGCCTCACCCGCCGCAGGACTCCACAGACGTGGCATGAAGGAAGAAAGGCCCCTCCAAGTAAACAGCACCGACATGACGCAACAAAAACAAGAAGGCGTGGTTGGTTGTAAGGTAAGTTGTTCCTCCAACACAGGCAACTCTGGGATGTAGCGGTTTTCGTTTTCATTCCAGGTTCAGGTGCCAGCCAAAGGAAAGATACTGTCATAGTTACTCTCCCCTGTCCACTTCCATGATTGTTGGAGGGAGGGTAGAGCCTGTGTACTGAGTCTATGAGACTGCTTCTTGCAACCCCGTCGAACCTGCGGCGCTCGCTGGCCGTTTCCCGGAACCCTTTCTCGCGCGGATGGCAACGGCCACGTGTGATCGCGCCGCTCACCCGAGGGACCCCTGGTTTTTCGAATGGCAAAGTTTGAGGGAAGGCCGCCCTCCTTTTTCCCATATTCAACATCCCACGTCCTCCAAGAAGCCGGGTGCTGGAGGCACCCTGTCGGGTTTGTAGTCCTAAGGAGGGTGGAAGGGAAGAGAAGCCAGAGGACTGATCTGAGAAGCGACGAGTGGTGGGGGAACGCTCGGGTGTGTCTGCTTTGTAGGCAACCTCCTTTTTTGGTGGGTCTTACTCTGACGGAAAGCCAACATGAAAACCACTCATTTTTTGGGTACCCCTCAAAACGAGACGCCCCCAAAAATCTACGAACCGGCCCAAAAGTGACGCTGTTGCCATTTTCGAGCAATAGCTCGTGGTGAATTGCTTGAATTGATGCATGAAACCGAGGTTCATGCTTGGTCCAAATATGAACATGTGCCTTTCTTGTGGGACATGGTGGTTTTTCTTTTGTTTTCCCTTTGAAACGACAAAAAAAGGGGTACCCTCCAAAACAAGACACGCCCAAATGCACTGTGACGTACCAAGTGTTGCTTGGATGTGGTTTTATTGAAAGTAGCCCCCGAAGCACTGACAGGTTCGAGGTTTGAGCCACATTTTTTTGGGATAACCAGCAGCAACGGGGAGGTTCTCCCGAAAAAATAAATAAACATGTTCGAGCAATTCACCCTCCCTCTCCCCACACCTGCCCGGTCGTGTCGAGTTTTTCCCGCTATTATGAACAGCCTAATTGAAGCTATTTGGCATTGCAGATGTCAGAAGATCTTGTGAGGTAACTGACAAACACCGGGCAAGCAAGCAAGCAAGCAAGCATGAAAGAAAGCAAGCAAGCATGAAAGAAAGCAAGCAAGCAAGCATGCATGCAAGCATGGAAGCATGAAAGAAAACAAGCAAGCCCCAAAAAAGCCGAGCGGAGAAGGACAGGCCACCCAAACCAAGCCTGATCAATGACAGTTTCTTGAGGACGCGGCGCTTGCAAAGAGCCCCTCAGCCTTCACTCCGGCAGTGACCAAGGAGCCCGGTCGCTCGCAATCCGGACGCGCGATGAGTGATGCGGCGTTTCTGAGAACCGGGCTATGGTTTCTTTGCTCAGAGATCCTATGACCATTTGGTGTTCCCATTGTTCTAGGGGTTGATTCCCCATTCTTTTCAACCATCGTTCTTTTCAAAAGCCTTCTGTTTTCCCGGGGGTTTTGGTGGTTTTCTAGAAAGATTCGGATCCCTGGAAAGAATGGACATGGAAGCTACCCTCAGAATTGTGGACCATTTCCGCCATGCCCCACAAGGTGAACTGTTGTCTAGCACCTTTGGGCAACTGAGTTTTACACTTGTTTTGACCGGCAACTCGAGAAATGTCTCCAAGCCCAAGCCTGCATGCTTCTTTAGGTTCAGATTCACTTGGTTAGGAACCGGGAAGATTGGAACCAACGCAAGGACACAGTACTCAAAGTACCTCGTATTTTTCTGTTGGGAATCCTGGGTGACTACTTGAAAGGTGGTCGAACGAGTTTCAACTGTTTTTGTTCATGGATGTAGAGGAGACTCGCTTTCCATTCTTCTTGGTTGGATTGGGTTGCTACACAGTTCATGAGTTCTGAGATCATTTCGCAAATGCAGAGGCCCTATTTTTCTTGGGAAGCTGGTCGGAAGTAATTCAGCAAACCATTGACCATTGTTCGAGCGGAATGTTGTCTGCTCGTCCCCAAGGCTCCCAGATTTGTATGCTAGGTTGTACCTTTCCTAGGCCCTTCAAGAGCACCGAAACAGCAAACCCCTGGCACGCAGATTCTATGCGGGTGGCACCTATGAGCCAAGAGCCACTTCCAATGCCGAAAAAGCTTCGGCATTGGGGGAGGTCCGCCAGGCTCCTGGGCTGTGCTTCATGTTGTGTGTGTGGTGTTGAGTCAATCCTTTTCATCTTGATGTAAAGTGATCTTGCGGGTTTTTGAGTGAACCATGGAAGCTAAAAGGACGCAAAAGCAAAAATCAGGTTACTTTATAAATCAACCAGATTTGATTTTCAGATTTGCTTTTTTAGGTGAATTTTCATGGACACCAAAAAGGACCTGGTTTGATGCCCATCGAGGAATCGGGAAGCCACAGGAGCTCCACATGGATCTGCGCTGGCAACAGCACCATGTGGTAGGCACCGAGCATTCTGCCGAAGGAGGGGTGTCCTTTTGAGAGCTTCATTTAGCCCTTTTGAAGAAATGGAATTGGGCACCCCCCCCCCAATAAGGATGGGAGGTTTAAAAAAAAAAAATCTTTGGCCCTTTTGAAGAACTGGAATTGGGCACACCCTACCCCTCAGGATGTTGGGAGGATGTTCCAGACCTTGGGACCTCGAGGCCCATGAAGTCCTTCTCAAGAATTTCCGCGTGGCAAGTTGGGATCTGTCGTGAACCCATTTTCTGCGATATCTTTCTAAGGGACACTTCCCCATTCGATCCAGGGATCCTTCTTTCCAGAAAACCGTCAGAACCCCAGGGGGAACAGCTGGTTTTTGAAAAGAACGATGGTTGAAAAGAATGGGCAATCAACCCCTAGAATCTCATCCATGTTCCGCAACCATGCCCAGTTTTGGTGCCCGGCATATGTCCAAAATTTGGAAAACGGGTTGAAAGGGGAGCCTTTAGGAGCAAGCATAACATCCAGTTGCCATAGACGCCATCCTACCAGGGGTCAATTTTGATTCCTGGTGCCAGAGGTTTTGTGAGCAACACTGTGTACATGAGTGTTTTTACAATTGGCCCTTTGTTTGGCGACTGGATTCTGGATACCAGTGATTGTGTCCATGTGCGGAGCCAATGTCTGGATCGGCAACTCATGTTGGTGTTCTTGGAACAAGCTGGGCCTCGCTTGTCTTGCTGGAGCTCAGTCGGGAATCCGAGGGATTGTCTTAAGGGAAACCATTGGGGATGATTTATAGTTCCCTCATTCCCTGCTGAGAACCAGCAAGTTCTTGAACTGTTGGTTTTGAGGCGTTCCCTACAAAATCAATGGCCCTTGGCCAAGAATCAGGAAGCGGCTGTCTTTGGCTTGGCCCACAACCCACATAACCAGCTCCGGACCCCCCCCCTCCCGTTTTGGGCGGTTTATAAGGGACGCCAAAAGGAAAAACACCATGTGGGGGCACCCGTGCAAAAAGACACATCCATATGGCCAGCACCCTTTCGAGCCCGTGTTGCTTCTATTTCTTTGGATCCAACAAATATCAGCATCTGTGTGTCCACCCCGGTTTGGATGTCGAAATGAATACTCCAGTACTTCGACAAGTGATTTTGAGTGCGACAAATCGAAATACACAGCTCTTGCTCCAAAGTGCCTGGAGTGAGTCATGTGAGTTTGTTAGACCCCCCACCCAAATAACAACATATAACAACATTGGGCTTCAAACTGAAGCTTCAGGGAGGCGAACAAAATACCCTTGCTGTTTTGGAATGTGTGTTGAATGGCTTGCAGGGGGCCGAAATGCGATATTGCCCGCGGCACAGCAGCTCCCTTTTGCAGTCCGGATGTTCTTCTAAGATTACTTTCTTGGCCACATAAGAACATTTGGATGTTTCAAAGAGACATCAAGTGCTTGGTTGGTGGTTTTCGACTGGTGGTTTGGATTTGGATTTGAGCCCCTTCTCCTGGAAGGTAAATGGGAAAGCAGCCTGGAACACCTAACCAATCCACCAGTTAGTGGGAAGCTGAAAGCCACCCAGCTTTGCAGGGGTTGATTCCCCGTTCTTCCCCATTCTTTCTAACCATCGTTCTTTTCAATAACCTGCTGTTTTCCCTGGGTTTCCGGAGGTTTTCTAGAAAGACCCGGATCCCTGGAAAGAAATGGAAGGTACCCCTAGAAGCTTTGGGGGTCTCCCCGGGTGGCAGTTCCAAGCTCCCCGCCCGATGCCTGCAACGACGCCTGCAACCGCCGAAGCCTCGCGGAGCGCGAGGCGTCCTTGCCCAAGCCTTTGATCTCAAAAACGTGGCGTGCCGCCCTCAGAGAGCCTGTGGGACATTGAGGACCTTCTTTGGGCCTTTGGGTTGGGCCTTTTTGGGACACCCCCAAAAAAAGGCATGGGGGGGCTAATTGTGCGGGGTGCCCTTAAACCGAGCAACTCGCGGACTGGGTTGTGGGATCAAGGGGTTTATCCAAATTTCTGTGATACAAAGGAATTTTCTCTTTATATGGGGGATTTCCCACAGCCCTGATGCCGGACATTTGGGACACTTTCTGGGTGAATTGTAACGACCTCACACGACCTCACCCCAAATGGGGGTTTATGAGGGGAATAGCCCCAAACCACCTTATTTCGGGCTGGGGAAATATTATGATTCACCGAGACACTTTGCATTCCGGACCGATTCCAGGCGCGCGCGCACACACACACATTCCAGATCGGCTGGCCGTTTTCAAACCTTTTTGTGGAAGGGAAAGGTTGCCCTTGAAAGGAATCCGAAAATGCAGTGGCGTTCTTTTTGGTTTGGTTTACCTCCGCGACCTCCGCTGGAGCTGTGGGTCTGAAACTTGTCCCAGTGCTTGTGCATGCAGACGCCTTTCTGAGGCAAGGTCCCAAAGGCTTCAGTTTGCATGTGGCGTTGTCTTTGTTTGGGTGCCTCGTTTGGTTGGCTTCAAAGGAAGCCAACAGGAAAACCACCATTTTGGGAGTCCCCTAACAAAAGACACACCCATTTTTGACGATGCAGGATTGGTGTGCTTGTTTGTTTGTCCATTCTGCAGCTCACCATGATGTCAGGTGTGCGTGGTGGATATGTTGTTTGCGTTCAAAACCAGCCCTAGACCTTGCCGTGCAGGCGCAATAGCTTTTGTTGTGCTAATGATGGATATATTTTGTTGTAGACATGCATCAATTTTACATTTACAGCAAATCATGAACTTCAAACGAAAGTATGATCAGGCGCACACCTATCTATACACAAACACACATACATGTAAAGCAGCTGAACTTTACCAACACGTTGTACTCGGATGTTCAACCCACTTGATCCCTAGGTTACAATTATGGTTACAAGTGGGGTAAACCGGGTTGGTTCCTTTAGAACCATGGTTGAAACCTACAAAGTGGGTGCCGTGCTAACCTGCAGGCCTTAACGTGTTGGAGGTTGGGGGTTGAGTTGCTAGGTGGGTCGAGTATCAACTAGGTCCCCCAGTAGTGCACCTTTACCGTTTCTTTTTGGGGGAGGGTTCCCCTAGTGAAATAGACTACAGAAGAAAGTTGGTCCTTTATTCGAACCTCTCTACTGGAGGACCTAGTGTTGGTAGGGGGGGGCTTCAAACCCCTCAGTGGTTTGAACGTTCATTTTTCATAAGAAGTCCTGGTTTTAAGTGGTTTAAACGTCTCAGTTTTCTTCAGGGCTTGCCTTTGAGGGGACTTGGCATGAAGGGTAAGGGATGGTTCCCCATGCATTTCAGCCATTCTTCGTTTCAGAAGCCCAGCCCTTTCCTGTTGTGTTATTGTGCTGCCAAAGAATGCGGCTTTGGGTCGAGTAAAGTAAGTTCCGTGGGTTGGGCCCCTCCTGCGAGCGCATAGGACGGCAGCCGATCCCACTCCTCAGCCGGAGACCTTCCTGTGGCGCGGTCCCCGGTGACTTTGACCTGCGTGAGGGAGGGTGGGTGGTCTTGTGTGTGTGTGTTTTTTTTTGGGGGGGGTCAGTTTTTTGTTTTTGCTTTTTCGGGGTGGGGGGGCCTTCTGGGTCAACATCCCAGAAGGGAACTCAGTTTTCTTTGTGGTCCTTTGGCACAGGGAGCTCATGAACCTATTTTAGTGGGATTGGGATGTTCACTGGGGGTACGGGATTTTGACCCATGGCCTTGTTGGTGTTTTGTCCGGTCTTTGTCATACTTGTTGCGCATTTCCTAAGAAAAAGAAGAAAAACAACAACGTTTTGGTTGGATCGGAATCAACCACTGCGGTACTGCAGAAAGGGAGTTTTCCCAAACGCAGCAGATGAGGGTGCGGCGCCAAGCACCGGCAGCTTCCAACTGCGAGAAATGCTTTTTGGCGACATGTCCTTGTAGGGTTGCCCCAAGCTTCTAAAACCTTACATCACGAAGTGGTGTCTTAATTGGTTTTCATTTGCTGTTCTATGGTTCGTTGCTTGTTTGGTTGGTTGTTTGGTTTCCTATGTGGTGTTCATTCCGTATTTTTTGTTCTGCCAGTCCAGGGAGCTTTCACACAGTTCTTTCCCAATCAGCTTGGAGGAAGCTCGTACCCGGAAACTGCGCGTGGCCGGCGCCGTTTCTTTTTTGTTTTTTCCACGCGTGAGGCTGTTCCAGTCATCGCCCTCCAATGGTGAGGACTGTGATGGAAGCCACGGACAGGCGTCTGGGCCCTTTGCTTGGCTCCTTTGACTCACCTAGGTCCCTCAGTGCCCTTTCTCACACCTTTGGTTGGGAGATTCGGTTCCCCTAAAATAGACTGCAGAAAAAAGGGCACCCTTATTTTAACCTCTGTACTGGAGGACCTAGCCTGTTGCCAACTTTTGGTTTCCCCTGGATTCTCTCAAAAGAGTCAACCTTCAAACGACGGAGACTCTTTTGCTCACTCCTGGAAGCCACCAGACGAGCAAGGTGCAATGGCTTATTCCACTCGGCTGGTGCTGTCGTCCTACATTCTGCGAGTCCCTATCGTACTCATTTGGAGGTATAGTCCAATGAAGAGACCCTTCATGCGGAGGGGGTGCCCCATGTCTTTCCTAGTTTCGATCTTGCGGGATTCCTTGTGCTGGATACAGATCTTTGTAAAGTGCAATCCTCTACGCTCCGTCTCTGTGCGGGTGACACATTGCATCCTGGGATTTTGCTTGCGACTGATTTCATCCGTGACGGTTATATACAGTCCTTCCATTTGGTTAAGAACATTTTTGACTTTCCCCTGTTGGTTATAAAGGGAATCTATCACTACTGGAAATATGTTTATTTTTTCCAGGGGACTTAAGCAAGTGGAGAAGTCTTGGAGGTTTCTTGGTATCCGGTTGAATCCTTGGAATTTGCCGAGTATCCGCCACAAGGCGTGGCTGTTGTCTCATGGTCCATGGTTTCCCTTGGGCCAGCCAAAATGGCTAGATCCGTATTGGGTTGGATATCAAGAAACACGGAACGCCCTTTTCCAAAGGGACACCGCTATGTTCAAACTAGTAGATGATGACCATGCCCAGTTGATGCAGTTCCCAGAATCGATTCCCATTTCTTGCTTACTTGAACTGTGGCACTCTTGGCTACCTCAGGCAACCGGAGATAACACTGGCCTATGTATGCCTAGGTCACTACGATGTGGTGTTCCGGGTTACCTACCTACTATATGATTAGCATACGGGGCCAAATAATTACAACCACTATAACATTATGATGATGGTGATGATGATCATGATGATGGTGATGATGATAATTATGATGATGATCATGATGCTGATGCTGATGCTGATGCTGATGCTGATGATGATGATGATGATGATGATGATGATGATGATGATGATGATGATGATGATCATGATCATGATCATGATCATGATCATGATCATGATCATGATCATGACAATGATGACAATGTTGTTGATGTTGATGACGAACATGTTTGTATCCTGCAATCCCATTTCAATCCCAATCTACTGGAAGGGGGTGGCAGGTTACTTTGAGCTAGCACCTGGGGTTCCGCTTCTCTCAGCCGACGAAGTCGACAAAACTTTCTGCAGGAGCCGCTGCCGCACTCGTTGAACCGGACGATTCTGAAGGACGGCGGATCTTGCGACGCAAAACCTGCAAATTAACGGAAGGAATCATAAACTTGCTGGTGCTCAGTAGGGAATGACCCAGTGTGTTGGGCATGAAACTTGGGATTCCCTTAAGGAAACCATACGGATGCTTCATAGGGGCCCCTGGTTGATCCCCTAGTCGCGCAGCATTTGCAAGCACATCAAGAGTAAACCGCTGCTTCTGTATCTCTTGCAAAGCATTTTTGAGGCTACCGTCAGCATAGTAGTTGATGACGCGAAACTATGCTCGTCGAGCGGTGCCGGCATCAGGTTATTCAGATTCCACGCTTGTTCCCTTTGTGTTCAGTGGGGTTGCCGCTAAATAAGTGCACAACCCAAAACAAAAATAGGTATCCTGTTTTCAGCAGGATGACTGGGTATCTGCATATGTTGGCAGATTAGATCCCTACTCACAAATTGGTTCGAGCGTGCCGGGCCCATGGTGAAGGTTAATGGGATATCATGTCATACAGCAGCCAGATGGTTCCGTTGTTCAGTTTCATGGGCACAATTACAGTACACGTTTTTTGAGCACATACCTTGGAAAAAACTGTTTTGTCTTTATGTGTGTGCTGTGTCTGCTTCAGTGCACATTCTGCTGCCGGGGATTGCAGCATAACTTTGCGGCGGTCGGCGCTTCTTTTGGCTCCAAATCAGGGCTGCTAGTTTTGAGAGTGTCACTTTTATGGGCCCAGTTTAGAAAAGTAGGTTATTAGGACAAAAACTCTAGGGGTTGATTCCCCATGATTTTCAACCATGGTTCTTCTCACAAACAGCTGCCTTTCCGGGGTTTTGGGTGGTTTCTAGAAAGATCCGGATCCCTGGAAAGAATGGGGAAGCGACCCGTTAAGCGACATTTCCCCGAAGCGATCAGTTTCAGGGAAGCTCCTGAATCTTAGCTCCAGTTCCAGCAGGGTTCCACGCCCCAAAAAGCCATCGAGAAATGAAGGGAATCGCTGGCAGCGGTGCACAAGGATAGCGTTAGACGTCATCTCAAAATAGGGAAACCCCCCAAAAGAAAATGGATGTTTTAGGATGGTTTCCTATTGGTTTCCTGTTTCCTTTTGAAGCGAGTACCACACCTCCAGCAAACACATTCCAATTTGTTGGTGTACACCTGTTGTCTCTGTGTTCCAGATCCTGACTCCCAGAGGCTCGGGGGGGACGTCTTTTTGACAGGACATCCAGAGGCTTGCGCCATATGTCCCGGCGTCCGCAGGCGAAGACGTGTGCGGGGCGCGGAGTGAGTTAACTCATTGGAGTCGGGTGTGTCTGAAGTTAGACCCTCAAAATGGTTTCCCTTTGAGACCAGGTTCCTTTTGGGAACCTTGTCCTGGGAGACCGACTCACCTTGTCCGTGACGATCCAGCTGAGGCGGTCCAAAGCATGCCGATGGAAAATCAACCGGGTCCACAGAAGTTGGAGCAAGCCAGGGGAAAAGAAGGCTGTCCCAGAGGCTTCTCAGAGGGAAGTCTTTGGAGGATTCGAGGGGTTGCCTCCATATGTCCATTCTGAACCCAGGGATCCGGATCTTTCTAGAACCCCACGAGAGAAACAATGGGGAACTGGCGGGGGTTTTTGGAAAGAACGATGGCTGAAAGAATGGGGAATCAGCCTCTAGAGGATGTTCTTTTCGTGGAACTTGTCTTGAAGGTTTCCGGCCCTTCCCTCGTTTCCTCGTTTCCCGCGTCCACACATTCGTCAGGAAACATGAATTTCTGAATGCGCGACGGCGCTCATGCGCGACTGTGGTTTTGCAAGCGGCGCTTGCGTCAGGCAAGAAGCCTCTGAACGTCCACGCAGTTGA